GTGGATCATTTTGGTGAAGGTGTCACACCACACATGAATTGCGTCATACCCGTTACTGACCGGCAAGGGTCCGATCTGATCCATGGAGATGATTTCCCACGGCACGTTTGGAACTGCATGCGGGTGCAGAGTCCCTGTCCTTGCTCTCCTGGTCTTGGTCCGCTGGCACGCCTCGCACGTCTGGATGTATTTCCGGATTTGGTTCCCCATCCTTGGCCACCAGTAGTTCCTTTCCACCATTTCCTGCGTTCGATTGATCCCAGCGTGTCCGACCAAGGGTGTGTCGTGTTGTAGCCCGATGATCTTGTCTCGCAGTTCCTCGTCCCTCGGTACGTAGAGCTTCCCGTGGTATGTGATGAGCCCATCTTCCTTTCTCCATCCAGCGAGTGACTTCTCCAACGCCACCTTGACGCTTCCATCAATCGATCGAGTGGTCTTGATTTCATCGATTAGCTGCTGATCCTGTCCCTCAAATGTGACTTCTTGTGATCAGAAGAACTCGGGCTTCAGTAGCGTGACGTCCTTGTTGTCGTTCTTGCCCTGATCGTGATCTGCTCGTCGAGACAGGAGATCCGCCTTGCGGTTGAGTGCGCCGGGTCGGTGTCGTAAGGTGAAATCAAACTCCGCCAACTCCGTGATCCATCGTGCCTGCCGTCGATTGAGCTTCTGCGGCTTCCGGAAGTACTCGAGGTTCTGATGATCGGTGAAGATCTCAAATGTTTCCGTGGCTCCCATCAGTAGTTGCCTCCATTCGTCCAATGATAGCATGATTGCGAGCATTTCCTTGTCGTAGATCTCGTAATTTCGCTCGGTTTTGGTCAGTGTGTGCAAAATAAATGCGATTGGGCGCCAAATGCCATCTTGGTTTTGGCTCAAAACGGAGCCTGTTGCCCCTTCCCAAGCATCGGCTTCCAGACGATATTGGCCGGTGTCATTTGGCAGTGCTAGGACCGCATCCTCTGCGATTCTCTTCTTCAATCCCTCAAATGCCGCGTGCTCATCTGTACCCCATGACCAACCTGCATTCCATGTCAGCCGTGTCAACGGCTTCGCAACCTCCGCATATCCCCGCACAAAGCGTCGGTAGAAGTTGGTGAACCCTAGGAATGCTTGGACCTGTTTGACGCTCCTTGGTTCGGGCCATTCCATCACGCCCTTGATCTTGACTGGGTCCATCCGCATCGAATTGTGTCCTATAATTACACCCAAATATTCGATCTCCGTGCGTTCGACCTCGCACTTTTCGGGTTTCAGGTACAACTTGTGTTTTTGGAGCAATTCGAGTACTCGCTTCATGATCTGTCGGTGTTCGTCCAAGTTTTCTGTGAAGATCAGTATATCGTCCAGATAGACTACCACGTGACCCTTGTTGATCAACTCTCGGAGTATGTCGTTCATCATGTTTTGAAAGGTTGCTGGGGAGTTGGTGAGACCGAAGAACATGACCAAGGGCTCGTACAGCCCACGGTTTGTGCGGAACGCGGCCTTCCACTCGTCACCCTCTTTGATCCGTACGTTGTTGTATCCCCACTGGATGTCAAGCTTGGTGAAGAACTTTGCACCACATAGATTATGGACCAGTTCGGAGATCAGCGGCAGCTGGTATCGGTTTCCGGAGATCGAATATTTGGGTGTAATTATAGGACACAATTCGATGCGGATGGACCCAGTCAAGATCAAGGGCGTGATGGAATGGCCCGAACCAAGGAGCGTCAAACAGGTCCAAGCATTCCTAGGGTTCACCAACTTCTACCGACGCTTTGTGCGGGGATATGCGGAGGTTGCGAAGCCGTTGACACGGCTGACATGGAATGCAGGTTGGTCATGGGGTACAGATGAGCACGCGGCATTTGAGGGATTGAAGAAGAGAATCGCAGAGGATGCGGTCCTAGCACTGCCAAATGACACCGGCCAATATCGTCTGGAAGCCGATGCTTGGGAAGGGGCAACAGGCTCCGTTTTGAGCCAAAACCAAGATGGCATTTGGCGCCCAATCGCATTTATTTTGCACACACTGACCAAAACCGAGCGAAATTACGAGATCTACGACAAGGAAATGCTCGCAATCATGCTATCATTGGACGAATGGAGGCAACTACTGATGGGAGCCACGGAAACATTTGAGATCTTCACCGATCATCAGAACCTCGAGTACTTCCGGAAGCCGCAGAAGCTCAATCGACGGCAGGCACGATGGATCACGGAGTTGGCGGAGTTTGATTTCACCTTACGACACCGACCCGGCGCACTCAACCGCAAGGCGGATCTCCTGTCTCGACGAGCAGATCACGATCAGGGCAAGAACGACAACAAGGACGTCACGCTACTGAAGCCCGAGTTCTTCTGATCACAAGAAGTCACATTTGAGGGACAGGATCAGCAGCTAATCGATGAAATCAAGACCACTCGATCGATTGATGGAAGCGTCAAGGTGGCGTTGGAGAAGTCACTCGCTGGATGGAGAAAGGAAGATGGGCTCATCACATACCACGGGAAGCTCTACGTACCGAGGGACGAGGAACTGCGAGACAAGATCATCGGGCTACAACACGACACACCCTTGGTCGGACACGCTGGGATCAATCGAACGCAGGAAATGGTGGAAAGGAACTACTGGTGGCCAAGGATGGGGAACCAAATCCGGAAATACATCCAGACGTGCGAGGCGTGCCAGCGGACCAAGACCAGGAGAGCAAGGACAGGGACTCTGCACCCGCATGCAGTTCCAAACGTGCCGTGGGAAATCATCTCCATGGATCAGATCGGACCCTTGCCGGTCAGTAACGGGTATGACGCAATTCATGTGTGGTGTGACACCTTCACCAAAATGATCCACGTCGAACCAATTAGTACTGACATCAGCAGCGAAGGAGTGGCACGATGAACCAGGGACCGAGTTTTCCGCCACCACGGGATCCCTCGCAAGATCATCACCGACAGGGATTCGCGTTACATCAAGGGCTTCATGAGGGAGACAAATCGGATGTTGGGCGTGGAAATGAACCTGGGGACCGCATATCACCCGATCACGGATGGGCAGACAGAACGCATGAATCAGGAGATCGAGCGTTATCTCCGTATCTACGTCAACTACCATCAGACGGACTGGTCGGAGTGGCTGGGAATGGCGGAGTTCGCATACAATGACAAAATGAACACGTCCACCAAAGTATCGCCATTCTACGCGAATCACGGATATCACCCATGGAAGGGAGTGGAACAACGGATGGAATCAAGGAACGAGTCAGCGGAGGAGTTTGTAAAAAGAATCAAAGAAATACAAGACGAAGCAAAAGCAGCATTGGAAAAAGCAAAAGAAAAAATGAAAAAATACTACGATAAACAAAGAAAAGAAGTTCCGGAGTTGAAGGTTGGAATGAAGGTGTACATAGAAGGGGAGAACATCGAGACGGATAGACCATCGAAGAAGATGAGCGACAAGAGATTAGGACCATACAAGATACTGGAGAAGGTTGGAGCGGCCGCATGGAAGCTGGATTTGCCGGACACGGACCGAAGACACCCGGTGTTCAACGAGTCACTATTGACACCATATCACGAACCACCCCCCCATCGCCAAGAGAAGAGACCCGTAGCCAAGATGATCGGAGGAGCAGAGGAGTGGGAAGCCGAAGAGATTGTGAAAGAGCGAAACGTTGGCCAAGGAAAACAGTACTTGGTCAAATGGAAGGGATGGCCGCATAGCGAGAACACCTGGGAACCATCACGTCACCTTACCCACACGAAGCAGGTCCTAAGAGATTGGCAGAGGAAACAATCAAATCCAGACACACACATTCGCCTCCTGCTAACGCTCAAAGCCGGACACTGGGATTATCTCATCCATCGCTACAAACCCAAAGACGAGCGCCTTCCATATCCACAACAACAACTCTTCGACCCCTACAAAAACGTCTTCACGCCCATCGGCCTAGTCGATGAGGACATCGACCCTAGAGAGGGGGTAATGTCATAATTCGACTCTTTTTCATCTTATCATCGGCGATCTTATCTTATCACGACACAGATTATCTTATCACGGATCACGGCATCTGACGGTCCGGACTAGGGGGATAGGGGTCATCTTTATCGATTCAAGGCTGCGCGACATATGCTCCGGAAGGTTCTACTACAACCCATGACCAGTGTTCCATGCGGTACATAGCCCCATGACTCATTAGTTGTAGATATGACTCAGACTGGATTCGGGTATAAATACTGTAGCTACTTTGTTGTATTCTCCAGTCTTCAAATTCACTTCTCTTTTTGACTTTGTTTTTGCATTGATTGTCACACTGGGCCACTAATTCTGCTATCAGTCCTATCATGTTTGTGTGCATCCAGTAGACCAGAAATGTGATGTTCTGACTTCCACAGCAAAATTACCTCCTTTTGTACTGACACCATGGATAATACTTATTGTAATGTGTAGAATGTCTAATTTCAGTATCTATTTGATACCTATAACCTCAGAACTGTCATTGGAGACTTGAGATTGCCGCAGTGGTGCAGTTCATCATCCATCAATCCATTGCACCCTACTACACTTTCATTCAAATGGACTAAATTGGTCCAGATTATGCCCCACCTTTCTGCTGTTATTTGGCCAGAAGAGACGAAAATGTAGAAAACTCCATCAAACATTAAATTCCTTGCCTGAGGCTCCTGCGCTTCCAAGAGGAACTGTTTCACCCCACTGTCAGGGAATGACATGGGCTCCACTCCCCTTACACCCATTTTTGCAAGGGGCCGGGTCAAATGATGCGGAAATGTGGACTTTTCCCCGATTATCACCTGACTGCGTGGACTCTAATAGGTGGTGCGCGGGGTCCGATGATCTGCGCAATCAAAATCACCAGAAAAGACGATGCCCACTGATTTCGGTCTCCACGTCAAAAATTTGATCTGTCGACCGGGGCCCGGCGATGCGCAAAATCCAAGCAGTGGGACCTTAGCCCGTGACTGGGAGCCCTCGAATTTTCCCATGGGACCCGTGTGAGGTGGCTCTGTGGCGGCGTGAAACCTCGTTTCACACTGTAACAGGTGAGGATGTACATTCAACACTAGGTATCTACAATGATGACAGACTGTTCGTATAGCGGACGTATGGATGACAGAGCACAGGAAATAACATGAGCGCCTTGCGGCGGAATGACAGAGAATGAAACAAAACGGAGTTTGACAAGGAGACAGCGGTCACCGCTCAGCCGCTCACGACAGATCGTACGCGACGATGTGTCGCATGATAAGTAGCGAGGCGAGAATTTCTAGACACAACACGATCAGTACTCGACTGTCTTTCATAGGAAACAACACCGATCGAGGTCACACACCCACGGCTAGTCCGCCAAATTGTTCGGCGATATCGAGGATACAGCCGGACGAGTTCGGGTAGGTGGGCTCGCCTGGGGGCTTCAGGCTGTATGAGGCAATGATATAACCGTTGAGGTTTGTGCACTGGAGGGGGAGATAGAGAACGGGCACAACATATGAGGAAATGAAGAACGGACACAATATATGAACACGGTCAGCTAGAGGCGCGATGTCCGTGAGGGCGGCGTACCGTCCATTCTTGATTCATCTTTATCCTCCTAGCCCACTGGTATACCTGCCCGTCCGAGGCGCGAAATTGTCGAACGCGGTGTCCGCCGCTGCTGATCCTGCCCAGGAGTCAGCCTGCACAGAAAAATCCCTTGAAGCTGCTGCGGACGAACCCAAGTGATGCGGCCTTGGTCTCGGGTCTGACGAGGTACTTACGCATCGGCATACCCCGCGAAGCGAAATTGATCGTCCCAAGCGCGTGCTGCGGCCCAAATTCCAGCCCAGCAACGGGCAATGGAATTGCTGCACTCCCAGGAGTCGAGCTGTGATGGGTGTTGTAGATCATGTAAAAGGTGTGCTGGGTGTCCTTGGCTGTGCACTGGACACGGAGGTGCATGCGCCCGTTGATGTCGACGAAGTCAGACTCGTTGAGGTTCCCTGTCGTGTCTTCGAGGATGTAGGGAATGCCGTAGTGTGAGGAGGACATCTTGGAGGGACAAAAGGATGAAAGACCACAGCGAGGCCATGGGTCTGCATCTAAATAGTATCGTGAGCCGGCTTGATCTTCGAGGTATGGATGGAGACGGATGAGAGACGGAGACCACAAATCCGAAATGACGCTAAGATGCCGCTGACAATTTTTGATGACTTTCTTTGATTTTCAATTCGGCACTTACCTGCCGACAGATCAAACGACGGGCTTCCAAAGCATTCAGGACGCCGGATTCAGGCCTCGACCCTTGCTATAATAGAATGCGAGTGCGTCGCATCTCCTTCAGTGTCGTCGTGCCTCTCGCGTCCACTCAAGACCTCTTCAATGTGGCCTGGTTTCAATAGATTTTCAAATGTCCCGCAAACAATCCCAGAAGTTCTGAATGATCGACGCATAGCCTTGAGGCTCGCGATGTTCGCTGCCTCGCTCTAATATCCCTTTGGGTGTTGACTGTTCTATTCACGATCTACGGTATTGATTGCCATCCACCGCTTACCTGTTGGAAGGAAGTAGACCCGAGGCTTCGTCTCTTCAAATTTCTCCGAGACAAGTTCGCGCGCAAGCCTGCCTTGGCCGAATGTCGGCCTTACGACATCTTTACGGACACGATCTTCCTATCCAAAGCCCGTAGCATTAGGAGGAGGACGGATGCCGTGAAAAGATGGTCACCGCATGGTTCAACGCGTCGTAGGAACTATTTTCGCAAAAACAAGATAGAAGAGACATATTTTCGATTTCATCAAGGTTTTAGAGTGTTTCAACACAGACCGCATCATAACTCCAAGAGCTTGGAGATGCCGGCAGGATGCTGTGCAATCTCATCCATCACGATCTCCCCGTTGCAGGATCGAACCCTCGTCAAACATCGCATGTCATCCGGACGACTTGGCTTCGAAGATCCAGTTCGAGCAAGCAGACATGTCTAATACTGGGCTGGATGGATGGCCGGCATAGTTGATTGGACCAAAGCTGTCGTCCGGGTGCCAATTTAGTGTTACATAGCCTCATTCCAGCTCAGAGGACGACTCGGAGAGTGAAAGAAGCTCAGCGAGTGTTCATGTGATATGGATGGCGTTCCCTGTGGCTTTAGCAGGGGTGGTGCCTTTGCCCTTGAGTACTACCAGTGGTTTTGATATCTGGTGATCCCGGGGGAACTATCTCCTCTTCTTTATCTCTTATCGATGCTACTCATTTCCACAGTGGTCGGGAAATCAGAATTGTGAGCCCACTGCTGAAAAAACACATGGAAGATTGCTGTCGATCTTCAAGTTGCCAGTAGCGACGCGGAACTTACCAAACACGGTGGATTGAACTTTGTAGCACCTGCCCTGCACTCTCGAGAAGCTGAGCACGCGTGTCCGTCTCTATCCGACCGTCTTCCATACATCTGTGCATTCTGATCAGTCAGGTAGTAGCCGAGCACACACATTTGTACCCCATATTTTGTGAGACAGGAGTCAACGTGCATAGTGCCTCACTCTGCCCCAAGCAGCTGGTTCTTCCTCCAGTTTTGCCAAGAATTTCTTCGGATACCCGTATACAATTCCTCGAGGAGTAGACTGACGAAGTACAGATTTATTCAGAAAAATTTCTTTAGCCCAGTCCAGCTAGCGCCTACAAACTGCCGGCGTTATGCGGGAGAATCCCGGCTCATGTTCGATACGGCCCCCGAGCGTGGGGCCGCTTCTGTCTGTGCGGGTGTTTGTCTCGTACTACAGCTTTCGCAAATCTAGCTTTATGGAGCTAATTGGTAACATTCCCTCGTCGCATCGGGGACGCCGCTCTTTACAGTCACATAGCAGGAATGCCGTGGGCTCGAGCCATGTAGTCGGACCTCACAGCACAACAGCATCTTTTTTTTTTTGCTGGAGATCCTCCCTCGCTATCTCTCGACCGATCATCCTTCTTCTAGTCTCATTTCAATCACTAATCTCCGGTGGTTAGGAGACTAAAGTCACTAAACCCGCACGACTGCGGATCTGGCCCTAAAAGGCCTCGATCCCGCCAGATGCCCCTCACGCGCCGCCCGGAACACCGCCTGTCTGTGGGCAGCAGCCGCCAACTCCGCTTCACGCGTCGTCCCTGCTCAGATGTCTGTGACCTCGAAGTCCGGTGCACGCCGGTGCGCGATGCACGCGGCGACGATCAGCATCGCGCTGCACAGTTATGTAACTCGTGAGGACTTACCCGATGACTGGCGTGAGAGAGAGCAAGCTACGCATGCAGTTGAGCACGAACACGTACTTGATCGCCCCGAATCGCGGCCTGTGTGAAAGCAGTCTGTTAGGTCGTTGTGCCAGTGCAGCGCCCTTCCTGGTGGTGTGGTAGAGGATTTCGACCAGCAAGGATTGCGAAGATCACTGCGACCCGTTGGGTAAGTCACGTGGGGTTCACGGTGCAATTTCTGTATACCGCTTTTGCGGGCATTGCCTGCGCGCATGTAAGCTTCCGCAATACATCGGCTCCGAACCTTGGGCTCAAAAACGGAAGTTTCCGAGTTATGCATCCTACAGCAAGCTTTATCAAACATGAGGGACGGGATTCCGGGAAGGTGCTCAAGGTGGGAACAGATCTGGAGCTTCTTGTGACCGCTGGCGGCGGGTCTTGCAAGGTCTCAGGGAAACGTGTGTGCGCGGAGTAAAGGGTAGTAGAATTCCCTCGGTGCTTATTTTCGAGCTGAACATCGACGTCCCATCATTGCGAGTGTTCTGTCACAGCGGATACCCGAGTATGATCTTCCCATGATTATGGGGATTGGAAGTAGAACAGGCCCCCGGTCACTACCCACGACGGCAGTCTGAGACAGTGCAGATCATTGTGCGGGTCGGTCGGAAACGTAGTTCGAATGACTCAAGGGCTCATGGCTAAATTAGAATGGACTCATGGCGCCGGCACAAAATTTGCGGCCTAACAAAGCCGCAGCCATGAGCCACGAAAGGTCCCATAGGCCAGGGCTTCGAAGGCGCCGAGTTTTTGCCGCTTGATGTTGGATTCAACTGACAGTAAGATCTTGTTTGCATGTAGCATTTGGGATGTAGGGGGTCGTATTGGAATAGCAAGATTCGGCCCAACTGGAATCTGAGTTCCTCCATAACCCAGCGGCCTTTCCTCAATCCCCACAGTATGCCCATGTCCCAAAGACATGATGATTTCCTGCTGCTTTCTCATCAGCACAACACTGCCAATCGTGTTCGGCCTTGATTGGAGCTCGAGCTTTGTTGCTGTCGTCCAAATGTGACCAGAACCTACAGGCCGATCCCAGACCAGTTGAAAGCAGGTCCTGACTGACGGGCCAAGATGACACACGCTTCAACATATTGATTCCGAGCTCTTGAACACGTAAATAGGTCAGACTTACAGAGGTAGACCCTTGATTACCCTATGACTGACACGAAATAGGGATGAAACCAACAAAGAGATTGGATACTCATAACAGATATGCCGCGATCGCGATCATCAGTGCAGCAGGAATAATTCCACTGCGTGTCCTGCTGCCAACAGCATCGTTTTTCTTCTGACCGCTGCCACCGCTTCCACTGGAAGACGAGCTCGAAGGCACGCGCTCCGAGCCGTTCATCACTTTGACCAGGTCCACCGGCGTCAACTCGGTTGGCATCGTTTTCAACAGACCCTGCCGCACGCTCGTGAAATCCGTCAACGACGCCGTCGCATCGGTCGTCGGCAGCATCTGCACAAACGGCGCAGTATTGGGCACGTTTCCCTGAGTTCCGAAGTCGAGTACGGTGTACGAGTTGCGCAGGAACGAGTCGCCGAACAGCGCGTCAAAGCGGCCGCCGGAGATCTGATCCGGAGTGCCGATGTCGGTGAAGGCGCCGATGCAGACCGTGAAGTTTGTTTTCCCGTCAGGGGCTGTGACGATGGTCATGTCGGCGAGATCAAGCGGGTGGATCGGGAAGTCGACGCCGCTGGAAAAGCGGGATGTGAGAATGTGGTGCGGTCGTGTGCGATATTGCTCACCCAAATGTGGCGGCGACGGCGACTTGGGCTGTGCAGGGCACGACCCACACAGCATGGCTCTCGCTGAATTGGACGTTTGGCACAAAGTTGTCTGTCGTTAGCACTGCACCAGGTATCGCCGAGTAGATGGCCTGTGCATGCATGTCAGTTGGGCACGACTCTGAAATATGGCCGGCTCACGTCGACTTGTGCAGTGGGCATTAGCACGTTGGTCGTTCTGACAGAATATTCGAATCAGAACGCAATTTAAACCACAACTAGCCAAAAAAAACGCACCCCGTATCAAGCGAGATGATATTGCTTCCCGCAAGGGTTCCCTGGACGGTACTCGGCCAGGCGATCTTCTGCCCGCCCACTTTGAGCGCGTCCATCGGTACCGTCCAAGCACCAGAATTCGGCGGCGACTGCTCCAGCACAGGAGACTTCGACACCGCGGTGTACTTCTGATCCAGCTGCCCAATTTCGATCGAACCGTCGGCCGTACCCGCAGTGTCGTTCAGCCGGGACAAAGAGATGGCAAGGAAGTCATTCGACTTGGGGTTCTGCTGGAATATGTTCGCCAGCACAGACTGTCCGTCGGTGACTTTGGCTCCGAAAGCTTGCTGGATGTTGTCGTTCACTGACGACTCCGCTGCCGGCCGTGCGCGAGCTAACAATAATACAGGTCAGCTACTACGCAATGAACAGCAGAAATAAAAAGAAGGCGAGGGTTCAACTGCTCCGGGACGTATCGGGCAGCAAAAGGGGTGTCGGTTGTCCGGGGGATGGAGTGTCTAAGTGTCGGGGACGATGGCCGTAGTCGAAGGCGAGGTACGAGAATAAAGCGGAGCGTGTCGAAGGCTCGAATTTGAAAGGTAGTCCAAAATCTGTCTATTTTGCAAGTACAGACATACAGGTTTATATAGTGTAGAGATAAATTTACCGGTGTCTAATTAATGTAGAAACATGTGGGAAATCAAAATAGAGAAAGCTCGGCGTCGTATGGACAGGGATAATATAGGACAGCCAGGTGGTTTTTGGTGGAAGCAAGGGTAAGTCCGCGAGGATCGACCTTGGCGTTGTCTAAGCGAGCTCAGCTGAGCCTGGTACATGTAGCCACATGCGCCGAGTCGTTAGAAACCGCGCGGTGGTGTCGTCCGCAGCCATGAGTCGACGTGGTCGAAGGGAAAAGGGTGGTGCCGCTGAACTCAGGTGCTATTGATCACGTACCGCCACCTGTCAATCACGGACCGGCTTGTCCGAGACTCGTCCCCGACCTCCATCTGCGTCTTCGACTTGCGTATACGTGCGAGCAAGCGCGTCATCTCCTCCCGACTGAAAATATGACCGTCCTCGGTCATTCGAAGGTGCGTGGGTCCGTTGTAAGCAACTCCAAATTGAAAAGGAAGGCTCAGTAGCTTTTCATAGCCTTGGTTCTGAAGAATCGCGCAATACGACGACGAATCGGAGGATGCGACTTTGGGAAAGGGTGAATTGAGGCCGGAGAACCTTCTGGTGCGTCCTCCCGACTGAAATCTTCTTCGTCCATTAATCCTGCCTTAGCTCAGGCTGTTCTTCGTCATCATCTCCGTCCGGATCCTCCAGTGTCGACTGCTCGAGCTCGCGCAGCTTTTCGGTTGAAATGTCCAAGAAATCTTCGAGGGAGGGAAGTGGGATGGACGTCCGGGCGAAGTACGGAATTACTCGGAAGGCGGCGATTGGGCGGTGAAAGACGGCGCCGTCAAGTTCGCAGAGAATGTACGCACCCCCACGGTTGCGCGAGATGACAATTAGAGGGCCAAGGTACCGCTTGCGCATCTTTGCGCTCAGCGACTTCTCGATCGCTGTATTCCGCATCAAAACGAGGTCGCCACGCTTGAAGTCGAAGTCGCGCATCGTTACTGAGTGGTCCAACTCGAACCGGGCAGCGTCGTGGAGTCGGGCTTCGTATACACGGGAATGGAGCGCCGCAAGATCCTCTCGTCGCTTCTGGAGGGCAATAGCACGTCGGGTGATGAGTTCGGTGGTCGAAAGCACCGATTCAGGAGGCGGAAGCAGGTACGTTGCTTCTGATATGTCGAGCGGCAGAAGGGGATGCGTCCCAGTGACCGCGAAGTAGGGTGAACAACCCATTCTCCGGCGAACTGTGACACGATCCGCCCAAAACACCGAGTATGCGGCTGAGCTCCAGCGCTTCTGGTCGCCGTCCACGGCCTTGAAGAGCGACTCGCGGACATCAAAGTGCGAGTTCTCAATCATCCCATTGGCGCGTGAGTTATATCCCGAAATGCGGATATGATGAACATGATACTTAGCTTCTAGATACCCCAGAGCCTTCACAAACGGAGTACCGTTGTCGGAAACGATCTCGGTAAGTGTTCCCCATCGGCAAATGAAGTCTTGAAAGATCCACTCTCCCAGGGTGGCCGCTGTTTCGCGCCGGAGCATCCGGAACTCGGGGAAGTGCGAAATCGAGCACCTTCCTTGAACAATGTAGCGGAATCCGCCGCTAGGAGGCATGTACATTGTGTCCATGTACACCTTCGAGAAGAGCGGGGCGGGAACAGCGACCGTGGGTGGTATTACAAGCTTCCGAGTTTGTCGCAGCTGACAGAGATGACAGGTTCGAAGATACCAAGTCACGTCTTGTGCAAGGAATGGCCACCAGAACCGTTCGAGAAGCAGCGCTCTGGTCGCGTGGAATCCCTTGTGGCCGATATCGTCATGAGCAGAGCGCAAAATGAAGAGGCGCCGGTGCTGAGGTACAACGAGCTTGTGACGTCCATGAGAATCCTTCCGCCAGAGCTGATCATCGACAGTGTAGAACTCCATACTATATCGGACGAAGGCTTGGTACTGGGAGTCGGACATCTGCCGTGGACGACGAAGCGTTTCGAGCCAGTTGCGGACCAAGTCGATGCGAACATCGGCAAGACGCGCATTCTCACTTCGAGGGACCTGGTCATAAGACAGCGGCGGTGGCGTAGTTGATTCTGTTGGGGCAATCTCGGCAGCGTAGATCGAAGTTGCGGGTTGGCAACGCAATGTAAATGGTGAGTCATTGATCATATGCATGAAACCATGCACCTCGTCGATCCAGTCCTCAAACCCATCATCTTCAGGCTCTAACTCGTCTCCAGGCTGCGCAGGACGACGCGAAAGTCCGTCTGGGCCGTGCTGAATCCCCGGGACGTGGATGAGCTCGAAGTGGAAGGTAAGGATAGCGAGGATCCAACGGTTGATGCTGGCCGAAGGCAAGAGGTCTGGGTTACGTAGCATTCCCTTGATGTAACGAGCGTCTACTTCAACAACGAGATTCCGGAGGCCAATGAGATATAATTTCCACGACCGAAGGGCTCGGAACAAGCCATAAAGTTCAAGTTTAGGCTGCGAAAAGCGAGCCTCACGGTCGTTCAATGTAATAGAGCCAAAACGAGCATAGAACCGTCGAGCTGGAGCTGCTGGATCACATTGCGCAAGGAGAAATCCAACGGCAATCTGTGAAGTATCAACTGCAAGAATTACGGGATCGGTAGAATGGTAATCAATGGGACGTAACGCAGGAGAGGAAAGCAACGCCCGCTTGAGGTCTTCTTGTGCGGCAATCTGCGCATCTCCAAAATGGAATGGCATATCCTTCCGAGTGAGTAGAGTCAAAGCGTGCGCACGATGCGCAAAATTGCTGATAAAAACTCGACAAACACCAATGGTGCCGAGGAAAGCGCGAACTTCTGAAAGCGTCTTGCATGGTCCCCAGTTGGAGATCTTCTCGACGCGTTTCTGATCTGGAATTCTTCCCGCAGGCGTACAGACGTGTCCTACAACCGTGATATTCTGATCACAAAGCGTCAGCTTCAAGCCCGAAAAGGTGCCACCACAAAACTTCATCCGCTGCACAATGCGATTGAGGTTATTGAAGTGTTCCCAAACAAAACGGCGGATCCCTGGGTTATCTGGGATCGTCTCGGCGGAGCCATCAGATAGCAAGTAAGTTGTCTTCGGCCCTCGAACGGGTACGTCGTCAATGTACGGCCAGGTGAGTTCGGGAATCTCCGGCTGTAAGATAAATGTCACGTCGTCATGGAAGATTGGGACAGAGTTTGTCCAGCCCATTGGTAATGTAACGAGTCGAAGCGCTCCAAAAGGCGTCTGGAAGGTTGTGTAGTCACGAGAGGAAGGCGCAATTAAGCGCTCGTCGTAGCCAACGTAGAGATCAAGCATAGCACCGCATGCTCGTCCCGCGAAGTGCTCGGCTAGTTGCTCAGTGAATGGTGTAACTCCGGAATGTTGGATTGTGACGGCATTGAGAGGTTCGAGCGAATGAACCAGCCGAAGACTGGTCCCGTCCTTCTTTACTACACAAAACCAGCGAGAGCGATATGATGAATTGGAAGCTTCGTACACACCGGCAGCAATCTTCGAACGAATGATCTTGCAGACCTGATCGTAGATCCCGGGCGGAATGGGGATATTACGTTGTACCCATGGCGTATGGGGAACGACGGGGATGTCGACGGGGGGGAAGAAGTCGGATCGAAAGCTTCCGCGCTCGGATTCTTGCCACGCAAACGCGCCTTGATGCAAACACATAAAATGATGCATCAGTTCTCTCTCTGCAGGCCGCAGAAAATCACCGCAGTGTGCGTCGTCAAGAGCGGCCTTTCGTTCGGCCGTATAGCGTCCGGTTGGCGTGAATAGAGGGGGATTGGGCTCGAGTTTTGGCAAATCCGTGAGTGGATCACCAATAATCCTGCGCTCGATCCGGAATTGATCAGGAACTGATCCAAGTACTGGTCGGATTTTCTGTGCAACTGGTTTGTACTTTTTGTTAGCATAGTGCTGAAGCGGCGGCAAGAGACAAGAAGAGGGGGACTTGTCTGGTAGTTGTACATGCGAAGAAGAAAAAGAAAAAATAGGAATGAATTGTTTTCCGTGAGTTGAATCACGGCTCGAAGAAAACACCGGTTGAGCGATGGTATGTGCGAGTAATACGGTGTCGGAATGCGAACCAAGGTTACTGCAAGCAGATAAATAAGCATATTGCAAGTGTGCAGTGGTATCATAAGAAGGAAGTGAAGCATAAGCAGAAAATACGTAGCGTTCATGTTGGCCAGGATTGGCCTCGACCACCAAGGCGAACTCTCCTTGATCTGGAATCAATTCCTCGAGCTCCAAAAAACCTGAGGACGAGCGCGTGGAGCTCCTCGAGGAACAGTCGGCACTGTCGCAGATTTGCCCGTATTCGGATCGGTAATCGTGATTGTCTGATCGGAATTTGCAAAGTTCCGGACCACGCTTTCAGTCAGAACGTCGAACGGTCGTCCGAGCAAGATGTCGTAGGCAGCGTCTCGAATAATGTGAATCTGGAGGTAGACAGTAATATCACCGATGCGAACTGGTACGTTCCGAGCAAGACCGAGCGACGGAGTAATCGTTCCGTTGGCAGACTGCATTCGCAGAATTATCCGCGGGTCGTAGACAAGGCCAAGACTATGGCAGACCGCTTGCGACATGGCATTTATCTGAGATCCGCTATCAACGATGCACTCGATCTGCTGCTGATTGTCGATAACCGGGAGTATAGAACGAATCGCAGAAGACTCAGCAGAAACGATCAAATCACCAGCCGGAGGAAGCTTCCCCATCTCCTCGTAGTACACCGCAAACTCGTCCGGCACGACCCAAGCATCCTGCGGAGGCGGCCTCGACGCGTTAGCATAGGCAGCCGGAAACTGCTCGGAGATTGACGCCAGATGTGCATCAAGATCTCGCTGTTGATGCAGCATCTGGTCCAGCGCATCCTCGTCTTCGTACGGCCATGCCTCCGTCTCCACAGCGACCGCGACAGATGCAGCATTGAAGAACTGCGGAGCGACATCGCCGGTCTTGGCCGGAGCACGGCGGTAACTCGTAGCTTCGCGCATCTGCGCACGAACTTCGGGAGCTGTTGACAGAACTTGCCGGAGCGTCTGGGTGATAGGTGTGTCGAGAACGCTATCAAATACGGTTGCTGCGTCCTTGGGATTGTAGATGGGCGCCGCAGAACGGGGGGGTAATGCTTTTGCAGCTGGCACACCCAGATTTCGCTGTTTCGGAGGCGCATATGCGCCATCACGAGCCGCGGCGAACGGATGAGTTGACGGAAGAGGTGCGGAGGTCGGTGGAACCGGGGCAGGCACAGGAGCGTGCACTGGAGGCGGGGAATTGCGAGTCGGAGCTGGAATAGTGCGATCAGGTGCGTCAGGCTGATTTCTTGTTTCCATGGCTCGCTTTGCCTGAGCACGCGTTTGGAGCTGATACATTTCGGCTTTCAGCACTTCCATGCGTTCCTCATCCGTCAGCGTAAATGTTCGCGCGATTTCCGGGCCCGAACACGAAGAGGAAAACATATTTTGGTGAGTAACTTCTAGCATCATCTGCGCGGCTGCAGTCTGACCTGGATTCGCCTCATGCCACTTGCTGATGCGCTCTCGTAGGTTGCGTCCCTGAATAGAACCAGGAACAAAAGCACCGGATGGGAGTACAACCTTCCCATCCGTGTTTCGCCGACACTTCCCAGCACGGGTATCTGTAACCACGTGTGGGCACTGGCCAATAAAATGATCCAGTTCGCTGCAGTAGCCACAGCCATCGGGCCGTGGGCGTCGAGGAGCAGGTGCAGTTGTCACCGGAGCAGCCGGCTGAGTCGATTGCTGAGCCGCGATAATGCGCACAAGGTCTGAAACCGACGAGACAAGCGCAGAAATGCCTGGATCAGGCTTCACCATAACCTCAGCCTTTGGCGAAGGCAATGGCAACGACGGGAACGAGCTTGACGATCCTGCGAGAACGAATTTAGCAGCATCATAAAGGTCTGTTAAATCGTATGGATCCTCGGGATGCACATCGGGCTTCTTGATCTGTAACCGTTGCCGGACAGCTGCAGCTAACGAAGTCGGATGCATTGCTCGCAGGAAGAAACGGCTCTGCTCAGATACAGAGAGCCGCCCCTTGCTGATTAAAAACGTCGTTATGTGGAGGAATTGGCGATAGAACAAGGTGAGATCCTCTTTTGTATGAATCCCAACCCGAGACGTTTGTCCAACCAGCCGGTCTAGGTCATCAAGACTGAACCGGCGATCAGCATCGTTGCCAGCGTAAAGGCCAAGTACTTCAGCCTTGAAATCTTCGTAGGATTTTCTCACATCTGAGAAGGACGCTAATCCTTCCCAGATCTCCTGATCATCGACCGAAAGGAAACGAACTGCGTGGCCCTTCTTTTCGGCGGCATCCGTGACAGCGGAACGGGTCAGCAGGAATTCGAGATCAGAGAAGTAGCGACGCAGCTCATGTGGCCTCGACGAATCGAAGACTGGAGCATTGCGATCTCCTCGAGCCGGCATCGGAATTGGATTGGCCATGATCGGGGGAGTGTGGGTAGAAGGAGACGAAGGTGTAGATGGATTCGAAGGTGTCGAAGGTGCGTTGAATAGCCAAGCTAAACTTGGCGAACTTGGGGAATGTGGCGAGAGATTGTTGTGTCGTGAAAGATGATCGGGTACAAGGTCAAAGAGAGACTCGTCGTCAAAGGAAACGGTGGTGGGGTCGTGTACTGCAACGAAGATTTCTTCCCGAAGATTTCGACGAAGATCGGAGTGAGCGTTCTCTCGCAAGCTGCGCGAAGAACCAGAATCAATGTTGAAAACCCCTCGCGGTGGGCTCCAAAATGACGACTCCGCTGCCGGCCGTGCGCGAGCTAACAATAATACAGGTCAGCTACTACGCAATGAACAGCAGAAATAAAAAGAAGGCGAGGGTTCAACTGCTCCGGGACGTATCGGGCAGCAAAAGGGGTGTCGGTTGTCCGGGGGATGGAGTGTCTAAGTGTCGGGGACGATGGCCGTAGTCGAAGGCGAGGTACGAGAATAAAGCGGAGCGTGTCGAAGGCTCGAATTTGAAAGGTAGTCCAAAATCTGTCTATTTTGCAAGTACAGACATACAGGTTTATATAGTGTAGAGATAAATTTACCGGTGTCTAATTAATGTAGAAACATGTGGGAAATCAAAATAGAGAAAGCTCGGCGTCGTATGGACAGGGATAATATAGGACAGCCAGGTGGTTTTTGGTGGAAGCAAGGGTAAGTCCGCGAGGATCGACCTTGGCGTTGTCTAAGCGAGCTCAGCTGAGCCTGGTACATGTAGCCACATGCGCCGAGTCGTTAGAAACCGCGCGGTGGTGTCGTCCGCAGCCATGAGTCGACGTGGTCGAAGGGAAAAGGGTGGTGCCGCTGAACTCAGGTGCTATTGATCACGTACCGCCACCTGTCAATCACGGACCGGCTTGTCCGAGACTCGTCCCCGACCTCCATCTGCGTCTTCGACTTGCGTATACGTGCGAGCAAGCGCGTCATCACCACGGACGCGCCGGGGGTATTGAAGCCGAGTCCCCACAGCCCAAAGATCGCCTCCGCCTCGTCGGCTTGATTATCGGCGGATTCCTGTATATGATCGCAAATTGACCCCACTCGCGATCAATGATGACGCGCACCTGCTGCACATTGACAAAAGCTTGGAAAGGCACTACCGCCCCTCCGAGCTCAAATTTCGCGATGCAGATTTCTCCTGCAACGAAGTCGGACCCGTCTCCGAAGGTGAGATTAGCCGGGATTCGAGTGTCGTTGAAGAGGTTGGAGGAGAGACCACCGGGGGGATGGACGTAGAGGTCGGAGCTGCCGGTGTCGAGGATGACGTTGACAACTGGGCGGCACTCAGGGACAAGGCACGGGACACTTTCGAGACCACCATGAGGACGCACCAGTCCCGGCAATAGTGATATTGGCCGTGTACTATCTTCCCGTCAGAGAGTGTATAGGATCCCGGACTCCAGCACTTACACGCTGATCTCCCTTATTAATCAGATTATTGTCGCCGCCCGTGGAAGAAGAAGAAGAAGCCTTGGGCGGACGCGCGATCGCAAACTTGAACGCCCACGACGACTGAACACAGTGAAGAAAAGAAACAAGGAGGACGACGCCACGCATCGGAGAGGAAAGCGAAGGGGAACGAGGAACAAGGACGACATGGCATCAAAATGTTACGAGACTATTTATACTTGACAAGAGCAGGCGATGAGAATGATGGCTATTTGACACACCCATGATGGGCGCTATTGGCAATGGCCGATCGTCTCCCGTTCGGCCAATGAGAGAGGCGGATCATGCGCCGGAAAATTTGCATCAGCCGCCGGTGCAAGCGCCGACGTGAAGGAGTGTGCGAAGCGCCCGAAGAGCTGGGGGGACCATCCCGACCATGCAACGAGGGAGTCATGACGTCCGTGCCCCCGTTTCTCACTGGGGTTGTTGAACAGGCTCTGTAGCCCTGGTGACTGACTGATCAAGAGCGCTCGCACCGCTTCAGCTGCCAGATTCGACTCAGGGTCGAGGTGGAAAGTCTGGCTGCTATGAGTCACAATACGTCAATCAGTGACCTTTGACAGCTCGAAGTCACCAACAACTCTCTCTGTAACTGCCACCAATGGCCGCCTCGCCCTTCGCACGCAGCTCGTCTATCTATGACGAGCCCCAATTTGGCTCGCGAACGCAAACCGTGCGTTCTTGCCTCCCAAATCTGGGAAGAGTCTCGAGCTAAGGCATGCACAGATCGAGGAGATGTACAGCGTGCCAGAAAGCTTCCTCGAAATCGACATCCGGAATCCGCAAACGCACGGTGCGTCGACAGACCGACTCGAAGATGGACAGACAGGTGGAGGCTGATGTGGCACTAGGCTTCGGGCGGAAGATGTACACGGACTACGAGATCGTATGCAAGGTGTGTACGCCACAAGATGTGTACTGCTTAGCAGCAGCAGCAGCCTTAGCGCTGCACCGCTTCCACCTCCGGTCCGTACTCACACCCTGTGCCCCAGACGAACATCCCTGCGTTCAAACTCCGCCACTCGACTGTTCGCCGACGCTACTCGGACTTTGAAGCCTTCTACGACATCCTCGAGCGCGAGTCCACGCGCGTCAGCATCATCCCCCCGCTCCCGGGGAAAGTATTCACCAACCGGTTCTCGGACGAGGTTATCGAGGCACGCAGGGAGGGCCTGGAGCGCTTTCTGACGGTCGTTGCGGGGCATCCGCTGCTCCAGGTGCGTGCATCCGCATCTGGCCACCGTCCTGCCCTTTTCGTGCGCGCGGCTTATCAATCGTCCGTCGTAGACGGGGAGCAAGGTGCTTGGCGCGTTCCTGCAGGATCCATCCTGGGACAAGACGCAGTGGTCCTGAATCGCGAGGCAACGCCGACCGCGGCTGCTGCGGAAACGCACCAGTGAAGGGAAAGGGCAGCAGCAATACCAGCAGCAGCCGCCGCTTGATATCGGCGTTCAGCAGCCTCGGCTGGGATGACGTGAAAAGATTGGGGTTTGCGTTTCCGGGGTTCTTGCGTGTAAAGGCATGCTTGTACATATTGTAATCTGACTTGGTCTACATCTTATATACGTGGGGTGGGTGCTCTTTCCGAGAATGCGTCGGTTCTTCGCCGATAGGCAATCATAAATAGCCGTCCGATTCTTGGAATGAGATTTGTCAAGTCTTCCGGAGAGTGGCATGTGAGCTGGTATGTCGGCAACGCTGGGGCATCTCATCACCAACTCGCTGGGGCGGAGCCGGCGGGCTGACGGGTGCGCGACGGGTGCGCACGACATCACAGACAGCACATCGCCCGGGGGTAGGCTCAGCAGACGCGATGCAAATTGCCCTGGAAAGCTCCAATCGTCGAGATCGGCCAGAGAACAGGATCGACGCAGGCTTGTTCATCTCAAAGACTGGGGTGGCAGTTGTGGCCTCGAGCGTGGGCTGGAGTCAAAGACATCAGTCGCGCAACCAAAAGCCCAGCAGGATGTGGAGGTAGCTCGCAGTGACAACAGGCAGCCTTGGTCTTTAAACGGAGGCCGACTGAGGCTGCTGGCAGGGAGGACGGCAGAAGTTCAGAGGGCTACTCGTGTGAAGAAGTGGTAGCTGTGTAGCTCAATATGATGAATAGATAAGATAAGATTGTCTCGTGTCATTATTACTAGTATAGAATCTCCGTCTCCGTAGAACAAAGTAGGATCAACTGCCTGGCATCCGAGGCAGCGGTCTGGGTGCCAGTCGCGGTGTATCCAGTCCCGAATCTGAAGGCCTGCTGCTTTGCACAGCCGTCGGGGGTAAAGGCAAGGGCGGTCGCAACCGCGGTGTCGACGGAGCAGATGCTGCCGAGGGAGCAACACCGCGGTCTGCCATGACCCGAGACGCACTGGGGGGCTTGACGGCCAAGGGAGGGACAGGTGGCACATCCTCGGCCCTGTGCCATGGCGGCATTGGGAATTGGTCGATGTTGACTGAGGCGGTGCTGGGTGTGGGGCCGTAGTAGCTGCTGTCGCTCCAGCTGATCGCGCTCATGGGTACAGCAAGCGACTTTCGCGGGTCCCAGACGTCGCCGTCTTCCCTCGCCTCACGCTCCTCTGTATCGGACCGGTAGAGGATCGGCGTCGGCAGCTCGATCGATCGCGAACGGGGCCGGGCGTCAGTTGGGGGTGCCGAATACGCGATATCGATGGGAGATAGGGAGGGGCGCACGGTAGAAGCGGAGGAGGGCTCGGAATGCAGGCTGTCCCGTTCGTACTCTGGATACACGTAGTCCACCCACGACGCTGTCTCCAACTCCTCGTTCCCGCGCTCACCGCCCGGCGTGATCTGCGGCCTGCGCGCAATAACGGCAGGTGCCAGCTCCCGTGCTCGGCCCTCAGCGCTCGGCGGCCCCAGGAACGGGTTCTCCGCGTGCGGCGTCGTCACTGAATCCATGCACGCTGATTCGTACGCGGGCGACAGATCCAGGAACGAGTCCTCCTTGAGCAACTTGCCCGGCGCGCCGCTGCTGACGTCCAGCGCTGGCACGGCGGGACGCTGAGTGATTGCGGGAAGCGGCTTATCACGACCCCGTGATGGCGCGCGGTCGTCCTTCACTTCGGAGGTAGTAGAAAGAGAGGGCCGGTGCAGAGGGAGCTCTACATGAGCGGTCAACGCTTCTTTCTCGAGGTCGAGCTCGCGGTCGGTCCAGCGGCGGCAGCGGAGTGAAGCGAGTAGGGCATGGAACCAGGGCAGTGACGGCGCCGTTGACGACGAGGATGAGAAGCGCGAGCGACGGTTGCGACGATAGCGGCGCCGAGCAAAGTAGTAAACGAGCGCACCGACCCAGGAGAGGGCGAGAAGGATGATGAGCGCGATCGAAGCTTTCGTCGACGCGCTCAATCCGTTGCCGCCGCCGCCGCCGCCGCCGCCGCCGGTGTTGGCCCGTGGAAAGACATTCCTGGACATAGATGGCAGTGGTTTGGAGTAAGAATCAGATTGAAGGGAGTAAGTAGCCAAGGACAGACAAGATCAGGACCTGACACAAGTGGGGATCGCCCGCTGTCGCCGACCCCGTCGTAACTTATATGCTACGATGCAACGATACCTACCCCGTTCCTCCCGCCAACATCAAACCGAAACCGTGCCGCCCGTAATCCGAATTTCATTTAAGAATTCGATGGCTGGGTCCCGTTCATCGCCTCCGCCTCCGCCTCCCCCTCATTCGACTGTTTCAGCTCCAGATGTCGATCACGAACATTTTAGAGAATGTCTCTCTGGGAGTATGGAGCGCGCGCACAACCACTGCGTGGGCTTGTGTCAGATAGAGGAAAGGATAAGTACATGGCGAGCGCGTTGATGGCGAAGCTCTCCGCCTGCGCGTGATTTCCAGCCCCGGTAAAGTGTGTTGCACAGCCACACTGATCTTCACCCTCGCGTTTCTTTTAAGTCAGTCAGTTCATTTGCGTTTGAGGTAATGGCCATCGAAAGGACGTGAGCTGCTTATTGGTGAGCAGCTTTGGTGCCCTCCATCTTGCACTTCGTTGGCTCTATTGTCTTGTAGTCATGCGCGCAGCGGAGGGTCCCCCTTCCGTTTGTAGAAAACAACCCGACTCAAACAAAATTTCACGCGAGGCCTCCATGCTCGGGTGACTCGGCGCGCTTTCTCATGCTCTTCCGTTTCGATTCACAGATTGAACACGCTCAGGAGCTGTTCATCGCCTATGTATGCATCCCTGTGCGAGCGCTGCATAGGCCTCAGTCACCGCTTTCTCCTAGAATGCTGATGGGCCGAGAGCTTTCTATTCACCGTGCTTGTTACCGCGTCTCCATGACGACTCTCGACTCTGCAACTCAGAAATATACCGCTGAGGTGCTCGAGCGTGGTTCTCATCGCGCATTCTCAACTGGAGAAAAGATCATTTCGTGAGCCTTGGAGGGATGTCGACGTTCATCCCGCTCGTCTACGACTCCAGATGCATGAAGGCAATTTCAAAGTCGAGCTTGTATGGAGCCTTATGGCTTTCCAATTCTTGTGGACGCGCTGAAGCGCTGAGACGTGAGTCAGTTGCCGTCCTCCAAACCCTGAGCTCATGCGAAAGAGGTCCTTATTGAGATGGAGACGCGTGATTCCCCAGTCCAAATCGAGGCTGATCGGGTTGTATAAGCTGTTGTGCAGATCCACTTGTGGCCTCACTTTTCATGAGCTCCTCCACATTCATGGAGCTCGAATCGCGAGTCCTTGAATATCGCAGGCTATGCTGTGGGTAGCCCACCAACTCCTCCAGCAAACCCGACAAAGAACTGGACCGAGACCCACCCAGACCCGGGTCAACGATCAGCAATCCATCGGACCGATCTCCGATCGCGAATGATATCGCAACCAACGACCATGATTTTTTACATAGCAAGGACGGAGGATCCGATGCCGGTCCCGACATCCTCCTACCGAATCACCTATATCGTTAGTCCACGTACCAGCTAGTCACGACGCAGCAGCCCTTACCCGCCCCGGTTTCTGGGTGGCCCCGCCGCCCGCGCACACCCAACGCTATAGCAGCCACAGGGGGGCAGGAGCGCGAGACGAGTGTCGTCTGCGCAGCGGAGGTATGTGTCTGCTGCTCCACGCATACCTGCGGAGCGACTCACCCTCATCTGCACGTGCAGCATCCGCGCCCACCGCCGATGAGCAGCGACGCGCACCGAGCCTACCTGCCCGCTCTCTACGATTCCTCCGCTTGGAAACAGACCGCCGGGCGGATCTTCCCCGTGCCCTCTTCCCCCGCCCCCTCCTCCTCTTCCTCACCCCCTGCTTACTACTACTACGACCACCTGGCCCCTGACATCCTCGGCCCGCGCTGCGCAGACTCGTCGTCCGCGATGCTGCTGTGGAAGCGCGCTCTGTGGCGCTGCCTCGGGACACACCTCGCCACGGCTGCGACGATTGGCCGCAGCGTTGCGCATGCGCACATGCTCCCTGTGTCGCTGATGCTGTCGTGTGTTCTGTCCCCGGCCGTACGGCCGACGTAGACTCGGGAGCTTCCGGAACGCATATATCCGAGGGCCAGTGCGTCTGTGCTCGTGTCTTGTGCGTCTCATTTGCTAACGGTTTTGGAAGATTGCAGTCACAGCTATCTGAGGGACTGCAGGTCATGTATTACTAGCACCTCGAATCTTAGATTGCGCATATATCGACAGACTAGAATACTACATTCAGTCCTTCTCGACTGTAACTCTTTGCAGTTGGTACATATAGAGCTGGTCTACCCTTCCCTCTAGAACAGTGCCAAGTATCCAGTCCAATAACGTCAAATCTCCGCGAAACCTACAACTGGGGGCAAAGAACGAGGAAAGCTCGACGACGTGAAAGACATCGCATCAGAGCACATCCCTCACTACAAACCCTTTCTCTTGGGTGCATCCTTGTACCACTCGGGCACCTCATGAGCCCGAACCACAGCCCGCTTGCGCGATTCCCGGGCCTCCATCTCCTCCATCTGCTCCCGATCCTTACGGTCTCGCTCCCGCTGCGCCTCTTCAGCCTGCTCCCTCTCCCGCACCTTCGCGTCAAATGCCTGGCGCTCGCGCACCCGCTGATCCGTGCTGAACGCTATCGGAACTGGCACCGTCGGCGCAGCATGCGACCGCCGCAGCGAGTATCGCGCTGCCTGCGAGGCGTGCATCGCCTTGAAGTCCGGGATGGTATACGCCTTGCTTGTCGCCGCAGCCGTCGTCGCAGTCGATCCCGAAAATCCGGCGTCCTGTGCATGCCAAATCAGCGAACGAAGCACAACGGTAAAAGTGAGCAGCTGCGCACCATGCTGTCCGTCTGTTGTCGCGATGGGCCGGCTTCACTCTACGCGAGATTTCAGTTGAAGCAGACAGCAGGAAGGTGAGATCAAACGCACAGCACTAGCGCCCAGCCCCGGATTCCACTCGGGGCGCTTCGAGGAAGAAGCCCTCGACGACCGAGGGAGCACAGGCGCCTTGGACACTGAGACGCTCATCTTCCGAGTTCTGGGTGCTGGTGCGGGCGCAGACACGACCCTCCTCTTCCTCGCAGCCGTTGCAGTGCCACTCGCAGGCAGGCGCGGCTTCGGCTTCGGCTTGGGTGGTACAACATCAATCTTGGCCTTCTTTGACACAGCTTTCGGATCCCCAGTGGCCGCAGTGGACAGTGCTGCCGCAGATGCAGATCGTTTCGTACTAGTCCGTGTCGTCATCGGGACTGACTCCCTCACTAATGCCACTTTCCGGGGTGAGAGTTGCGAGAGCGTGAGCGGGGTGTTGTCCGGGGCGGTCATTTCGGGTTCGGCTGGATCGATTGCTGTGGACTCGACTCCTCCATTCTGGTTGTCAGCCTCGTCGAATGTCCGGTCCTGGACTGGTGATACCGTATCTGAGGCAGATGTCGGCTTTTCTTCTTCATCGTGGACCAAAGCAACGGTGTTGTCATCCGCGACTGAATGTGGAGATGCTGTACTGTTGTCTTCCCTGCACTAGATGTCAGACGTGGGCGCTTCGAAAGAATGACATAGACATACTCAAGAGGCGGAGCCATCTCGACATCAGCAACCACAGCAGATGCTTCGCGCATCTCTGACAACTCCTCCTTTCTGCTTGGTGCATCATCAGCAAGTGTGGAGTTGACAGACAACTGCAGGCAGGCACGCACACATCTGATTCCTTGTGTTCCACGTCTACTATGGACTCCTTTCTGTTCCGCACGTTAGTAACAAGACCTCGAAGGGGTTGTGCACATACGCATCCACGCTTTGGTCGTCGGAAACCTGCTGCGGCTCCGGAACCTGTGTGGTCGATGGTGTACTTTCCACGGCCGGACGCGGCTGCAGTTTGGGTACTGGTACCGGAACAGGTTTGGGCTTTGTAGTTCTAGCCACCACCGGCCTTGCAGAAGTAGTAGAAGTTGCCTTGACCGGCCCCTTCATCGAGCCCGGTTTCGGGATCCCAGCAGCACTGGTCTGCCGGACTGTGGCCTTGGATTTCGGCGGCCTCAAAGTTGGCTGCAATAGCGTGTCAGCATGAGCCGGACCGGACACAAAAGAGTGTAGATCTTTGTGCGTACCTTCAGTTTGCTGGGACCAGGGATCGTTGTGATTGGCTTGTTTTCTTGATTTTCATCCACAGTAATCTCAGCAGGTTCGGGTGGCGAGTCGGCCTGGTGCGCCATAGCTACTTCGTCCGGAGGCAGCAGTTCGTGTTGCTTTTCTGGAATGGAAGGTGTTGTGTCCTCCACCACATTGTCCGATGATGTGTGATTCTCGAGTGATGAATCAGGAGCCTCAGTCGTCGCCATGTGTGCTTCAGGAATGGATGCTTGGAATGGCGATGGCGATGTTTGTGCCTCCGGTGTCGGTGATTGAGCTCTGGGCGTCGACGTGCGGTCTTCCGAAGCGCTGCGTAGAGAGACAGGCAGCTCTGCTGCCGGAGAATCGGTGTATGACATAGAGACATCGTCCAGGGCAGGCGCGCAATGGCCTGGCGGAGACGATTGCGCCTGCATGGCAGCCCTAAACTCTTTCTCCTCCTCCTCCTCCTCCTCCTCCTCCTGCTCAGTCTGCTGTTGCAGCTCTACATTGTCCCTCGTCGTCGGGAGTAACGTCTGTTTGGCGCGGCGCGGCGTGCGTAGGGTGACCTTTACCGGCGAGCGCAGAGCGGGAGCGATTTCGTCCCGCGTGATATCCCAGGCCATGCTCTGATCGTCGTGCACACCCAGTCGAGCTCCTGCGCCGGCGAAATCGAATCTAGCATCAGCGCCCGAGCCGAATCCAAACGAGAAGTCGCTCTCCCCGGCCGTCATGCCCATGCCCATACCCATACCCATGCCCAGGTCGGTGCGCATGAGGTCGTCTCCGTCCGCATCGGGGATCTGGAATGACAGCGAGAAGGACTGCGAGGAGTCGCTGAGCGCAGACATGTCGGGTGGCAGGTGCCGCAGGATGCTTGGCTCCGCCGCAGGAGGCATGGCTGGCGTGTATGTATAGGCGGGTGTCGATAGATGTGCAGTGCGTTGAGGTGTATGCAGCAATGCGTTGCGCTTGACCGATTCAGATGAGGGCCGTGGACGACGAGTGCTGGTTTGTTGATTTGCTGACCAAGCAACGCGTTGAGAGATGTCACGTGGGCTTTCTGACGCGTCATGCGTGTCCCTGTCACAAATAAGAACTGGAGGCCTAGGTCATCAAGCAGATACATACGTATGTACATAACTGAAAGAAGGCCCCTTCCATATGAATGACATGGATTTCATAACCTTGTTTTGATTCTTCCGGCGGACCTTGGAATGTCGGCATTCCGCCATGTGCATTTCAGACTCCGTTCTGCACAGGCGTTGGGAGAGCCACGCTTCTTCTGGTGTGAGAAAGAGCGGCAGCAGCTCTTCGCCGGTTCCCTGGGGGATCGTCATGCTGATTTCTCGTCTCGCTCGCTGGTTGCCAAGCTCCAGCCGACGTCGTCTCGGAGGGAATTCCTACTGGCGTGCTCCAGAAAATATCGAGCGAGGTTCTAGTTGAATTAATCCATTGAGATCGGTTTTGAGTAAGTATTGCGGAAAAAATTATCTCCCTGAAACAGACGTAGGTGGCACGGGTGCGCGATTATATTATGTTGTATACCAGAGATAGCGACTATACGTAGATGATGATAGGCCGGTGAGTAATTACTACACGTGAGATTGGATCCGATATATACAAGAGAAGCGAAGAGCAGATCGGAGAGCGCGGGATACTGATAGCAATAGAGAATGAAGAAACGTCATGGTCATAAAGCTCCGACCTGCCTCCATCCATGCTGGACATGACCAAAGTAATCCACCGGGGACACGGGCTGGGGCTGATGCAGATAGGGGGTAGGCTCGGCGTAGGCATTGGATTGCGGCGCGCTGCGCCGGAGAGAAGAAATGGGCACGGTCAACGGGCTGCTGGGGGTTTCATATTGCGCATAGTAGTGCTGGTAGGAATGATGCTGCTGTTGCTGCGGGTCATAGTAGTAGCCCGAGTCCACGGTCGGCGACAGCTGATACTGCGGATACTGCTCCACTTGTCGGCCATAGCGCATCTCGAGTGGAGCCTCGTGCTGCTCCGTGTAAACCGCATCGCAAGCCGCAGGCGGAGACTGGAGCTGGAACGCCGATTCTGATCGCATTTGCCCCTCCCCGACATACGGCTCCGCCTGCAATCCACGATAGGCTAGATCCTGATGGTGGTGGCGGCTCTCGTGGTGCTCGAGGCGAGGCTGAGGATGATCATGCTGCTGGTAAGAATCCGGGCCCTGGTCCAGATGCATTTCATAGTATCCGTGCTCTGGGTGGTAGACGCCATTGCCGTAAGCAAGCTCTCGCTGTCGATCAGCATCAGCATCATACGCAGCTACAGGCACCGAAACAGAGGACGGCGGGGCTCCGGATGTGGCGTGCGACGAAAGATGCTGATCCTGTCGATCATAGGCGTCGAGATCTATAATGCGCTGGGTTCCAGCGTGCACACTTGATGACGTCGAGGACGAGACAAGGGCAGGGAGATGTTCTGGTGAGTAGCGCGGAGACGAGATCTCCATGGCCGGAGAAGCCACATTGGAGGCCGGAGAAGTCTGGCTGGAGAAATACGAGAAGGCGGGCGATGGTGCAGCGGAAGATGCCGGAGTGGCAGCCACAGAAGATCCCGCTTTCGAATAGGCAGGCGACAGAGCGTTCGCCAATGCCGACCCCAAAGTGTCAATCGCAGGCAGCACCGCTGGCGTCTGCTTGCTCTTCCGCGCGGGTTTCGGATCCGTCTTCGGAGCTGTCTGCGACGCAGGCTCTGCGTGGGGCTCGGGTGACAGCCCCTTCAAAGCCCGCGGGTCCGCGGGCACCCGCACGCGAAACCAGCCGCTCTTCTGAGCCTTGCGCAACTCAGCCATGTGTGCCTGTACGCCCTTCTGGGCCTCGATATCCTCCGCCAGATCCTCTAGCTTCGGGCGCGGGTACCCGTTCAACAGGGGTTCCGGGGTGACCGCCCGCTCAATGTACCCGCCGCCACCCGTGACCGCGATCCCGACGTCGATGTATGCGGGGGGCGGCGTGGCCGGCCGCCGTCGGGGATCAGTGGGCAGGAATCCAGAGCCGCGGAGCAGGTACGGCGTCGAGTCTTCTAGCGGCGGCGGGGTCAGGGGCGGAGAGAATGAGCGCTGGCTGGAGGACCCGGACGACGAAGCGGACGACGAGAAGGAGGACCTGGATGATGATGCGGACTCGGCTGAGAAAACAGGGGACACGGGGGATGCTTCGTAGAGGTCCTGCGGGGGCGGCAGCTGGAAGCCCATTGCGCGAATGACGGATGGACGGCCGGACTTGCGCCGCGCGGCTGCACCAGGCGAAAGATGGATGCGGTAGCTGTGCGCTCGGCTTAGCAGCCGCAGCAGATCGGAAAGCGAGCAAACTCACTGCTGCTGCAAATTGTCCTGGCGTGAGCACGACGTCGCGCATCCAGGGAACGGGCATTTGTGTTTCTTCTCTCCGCTGTGGATCTTGACATGTCGTGCGAGATGGCCGGCAGAGGTGAATCCTCGCTTGCAGGTCGGACAGGAATGGTGCTGCTTCTTGAGGGCGTCTTCGGCATCGATTGCGCGCCGACTGGCGACCTTTCGCAGGGGCCGGCAACGTGCTGGAGGTGGTGCTGGTGCAGAGCACTGGCCTGCCACTGTGGGTGGTGATGAAATTGCCGAGTCATTCTTTGAGAACGCTGTGTGAGATACGGTCGAGCTGGCGGCTGTCATGGCCCTGGGAGTGGTGGCAGGAAATGCGCCAGGGTAGTCTCGGATGCTGGTAAGGTAGAAAAGAGACAGACGGAGAGGTTAAAGGAGACTTAAGCGACGAAAGGAAGCCCGCATAAAATGGGGGAAACACACAAGCGCGCGGCGTGCACACCACACGTCGATCGAGATCTGTATGCAATTGTTGTTATGTTATGTTGTGTGACCTCCACTTTCGGAGGCTTACGTCGAGGTCATTGGGCGAGCAATTTCGCAAGAAGCAGAGAAAGAGCTTTCGGAACGCTGTGACTCATAATTTCCACAAATCCGCTCATGCGATATGAATCGGTTTCAATTGTAACCAACGGTCTCTTGCCTCGGCATACATCTTCTACTGTTCCGCAGCGTTATCCCGATGCAATGTGCCCAGCCTCGCCTCATCCACGCTGCCGATTGAACAGACCAAAGTGACTCATGTCCTGCCCAGTTCATCAGAGAAGATTGTACCAAAAACAGCTTTGTCGTTCAAAGACGTCTTTGACGGACACATGTCGGAAAAGTTCCGAGCAGAACAAACGTATTGATTCGTACCGTCCGTGGGAACCACTCCCATAAACTCCCACTCATGGTCATGACCAGTCTCAAAGATCCCTGCACAGCTCCCGTATTTACGCTTGATTTCTTTGGGAAGCCACTGCCGTTTGAACACTTTTAGCGGGACGAAACAAGTGATCCCCGCCCGTCGCTAGCGAATTCGCCGATTAATTCACCGCGGATCCTTCGTGCTTCTTCTGTGCTATGGTCCTCAAGAGCCAAGACCGCCGACCCCCGCCTCCTAACTTGCAGAAATGGTGTAGATTTAGAATCGTAGGAGAGGTCGCCACTGGAAACATTCTGCGTGTCGAGTTGTCTGTATAACGCGACACATTTGATGCACGTTCCCCGACGCCGGGACACTGACTGGACCAACGAGCGAGGTTCGTGCGACGTCCGTGCTTCGCTGGTTCCGAGACCCTCTCCGAAAGAATCCAGACCCATACCCGACGAACTCCGCCTTGGAGTCGAGCCCAATGCGTTCTGTGTGTCCCCTGTCCGGACTGGTAACCTCTCCAGTCGTCAAGGGACCGGATTCGACACGCTATCTGGTGCCACCAACATCTCCCGGCCCCATCGTATGTACATGAGGGAGTGGGAAAATCCAGCTCAGATCGTGCATTCAAGCCTATTTCTGTTCCTGGACATCAGTGATAGTCTACTGGCTGGCTCAAAGCCTCCGGAATACAGATCGCATACCAGCCGATACATGCACTCCCAAGCGCTCACCACCTGCTTCCCACACGGCGTTGGGCAAAGCTCTCATTGTGGACCAACGTTCGCATAGTGGGGAAGCACTTGCTGACATAACAAAACGTGCGGTTTGCTGATCGTTTTGGCGAGCAAGAAGCCCGTCACGCTCCTTTTTAGGCGCGTAACGGCTCCCTCGATGGCAGGGACCTGATTCTTTCCCGTTCAAACCATCTGCGAGCGACAGGCTTCGTTTCCTGAAAAGATTCTTCTCTGAGTGCCCAAAACGGTGCCGATTTCGATGCCTCGATTTCGCTGACACGTGGAGTCCTTGAAAGACATCGGGCACCGATTGAGTAGGACTCGGAGGGACTACGTAACAATCAAACGACATTCCTCGATGATTCCTCCATCTACCGAACTGTTCGGCAGGATCATCATTTGAACCAGACCACGTGATCGCTTGGGTTTTCTGCAGTGCAAATGGGGTTACCCAGTGTGCCACGCGGGTCGGGGGCCGCGGCTCGCTATGATGCCGCTGATTGGCATGTGCCAAACAATGCCAGTTTCTTGTGCCAGACGCTCAGGCTTTGCATCTGTGCACAGAGAGTTCGGGGGTGACAAACTTCGGGCGCTTCTCCCCCGCTCCCGACATCTCCTCGCCGTGCTATTTGGAGTCTTATCCGGTCAAAGCTCCGTTCCAATTGAGACATACTTAGCTCCAGGGAGGACAAACATCGTTCGAGACACGGCCTCCAATAGATGAATCTCCGCAAAAGCCGGTCTAACATGTCTACGCTCGCTGAATTTAGCGCACGTATACGAGGATTTGCGGAGAGAAGACGCCGTGACCGGTGGGCACCGTGTCCTTGGAGGGCGGCCCTTATATGGGCCGAGGCGACATGCATTGAACCCCCGTTCTGCTTTCCCTTCCCTCCGCCTCGTCGTGCTGATCCTCAGCCCTTTCCACGGCATTCGACCCCACTCTAAAGTCGCTCAGCCATGCCTTCTGCTTCGACGTTGATGGCAGCAGCCGTTGTCTTGCTCAAGCTTCCGAGCGCTGTCCGCGGTCGTAAGTGTTCTTCTCCCCTGCCGCAAGCGCATCGTGTGCTCAATGGTATATGACCGTCCCTTCACTTCTTCCCTCGTTTTCAGACTGCGATGTCTCGGACTATCCCCCTGCCCAGGCTGCGCTATCGCAGTTCCCTGGTGTCTGGGAGCCGGCGCTGCAGCTGCTCTCAGGCGACTCGGCGGCTTTGGCGCATTTTCATTCTTTCTCATCCAGCATCCCGAATATCCCTGTAAAGGGGAAAAACGGCGTGACTCCCTCGTCCGTGCTCAAATCGTACAATCCGAGCGACCCGGATTGTTGGTGGACGTACTCCAACTGCGTCAAGTCGTCGAGGGCGGGAATTTGGCCGGATGTAGCGAGCGTTCCCGAGGTGCGTGAGCAGTTTTTAACGCCACCGAACAGCGTGACCGTTGAATTAATTCATCTCCCGCAGCCAGGAACTTTGGGATACGGATTTGACGATGGGCCTGCTTGCGAGCACGATGCGTTCCTGGACTTCATGGACTCCAACAAGCAGAAAGCCAGTGCGTTCCCCAGCTGTCCTCCCGAATTCGATTTGCTCAAATCCGCGCAGCATTCTTTTACATCGGCTCGAATGTCATGTCGATGCCATTACAGGCCCAGCGCGCCGCACATGACGGACATCAGATCTGCGTCCGTGAGTGCGGGACGGCATCCCTCCATCCCGTGTCTAATCTTGTCGCGCCGCGCCGTATTTAGACACATGGTCTCATATGGCCATGACCGCGTTCGAGAACGAAGCCGCGTTCGCAGAGCTCTATTATGCCATAAAGGCAATCAAGCTCGTAACAGGCTACACCCCAAAATGCTGGCGGGTGGGTTTCCGCTTCCGGATTCATTCCGCCCCAAATGAGATTGCGCTGATGCAATTTCCTCTCCTCGGCAGCCTCCTATGGGTGATGTTGACGACAGAATCAGATATATCGCGCAGCAGCTTAATCTGACCCTCGTCATTTGGGAGTATGACTCGAATGACTGGCAATTCGGGGAAGGGAGCATGACCGCGGCACAAATCGATGCGAACTATGATTCGTTCATCGCAGACGCCAAGAATGGCACGTTCACAGAGGTCGGTTCCGCGATGTTGTCTGTTGCACTGTGTTTCTCAACATGTCCTAGGTCGGCGCAATCTTGCTCACCCACGAACTGGACAATTTCACGATGCAAACCGCTGTCAATTACTATCCCAAATTGAGCGCCGCATTCAAAGTAAGAATCTTCCCGCACCTCTCTCGATATATTCACCTCACGACGCGCGCATTCAACAGCACATCGTCCCGATTGCCACTGCTCTGAACGTCACGCAACCCTACGTCGAGACGAACTTCACGATGCCAACTTTCGCTCAATGTGCGCCCAAGCTTTCCTCTGCATCTCATCTTTCCGTGAACTCGGCCTGATACCCTGGGTTCCAGACATCGGCGCGGCCCCGGAACTATCCGCTCTCCCGGCCCTGGCGCCGGTCCCCACCGCATCGCTGGCCCTCTCGGCCGAACGCGCGTTCCCGTCCTCCGCCAGCGTGTCGGCGCCGAGCGCCACCTCTGCCCTGGCAGGCAATTCGTCTTCGCCACCGTCGTCGTCGCCCTCCTCCACGTCAGGCGTGCCTTCGACGTCTCCGTCTCGGACGGGTGCTGTCGCGGCCCTGCTTGCGGGGGCTGTCGGTTGTATCGGCGTCTGGCTCCTGTGAGCTCATTCGGTAGGCGTGATGCCGACTTAGATAGTAGATGTCTCCTTGCGTTAGCCATTTGTGCGACGGACTTGTTTTATGGTAGTGTAGAAAGCCGGGAGGGGTGTAATGGAGTGAAGCTTTCCGTCAATGAACCTGGCTGGAGGTGCATATCTGTGGCTGGATATATACAACTCCGCGATTGCTCTGGTTACAGGGCACGTCGATCTCGCGTAGATTAGCCTCGCTGGCAGACGTCGTTGATCAGACAGCGCTGAGCCGAATGAGGATCTGCAGGGGCTGCAAATGGGCAGATCATGTCCGGCGTTCGTTTGTATCGGATTCAACAAGCTTCAACTCTCCGAGAAAACATTCTCTCACACAGGCGATTGATTACCCACGTGGTAGGAATTACTGAACGTGCATGCTCGGATCAGGAGTGTGTCGATGGATCGATCTTTCAGTCGTACATAAAAGCGTACATCGATGGAAACTCACAGAATTCTCAACCAGTCCATCAAATGGTCAGAACTTTCTCGGAGTTTCTTTTCTCTTCATAGATAGTCTATTGGACGTTGAAAGCACTATAAGGATGCTTCTCCAGTAGTCTATTGGACGTGCAAAGCAATTCAGCAACGCCTTCCTCCGGTGTGGAGGTTTCACACCTTGCGACTTAGCAATACACTACCCACGTTCAATCTCGAGACCCCAAACACTTCCCGACCAGGAAAGAGGCTGCTGCTGGACTTCCTTGGCCCGCTCGAAGCTATCGTGCAACATTCATTATCATGCTCATCCTCGACCGCGACTCAATGATCGAAGCTCACAATCGCTTCTGTCACATCTGCATTCGCGAAGGTGCGCCGACTTGCCTCGAGTGTGTACTGCTGCTGCACAGATTGGCTATCCAGGCGCATTTCTCCGAACCTGATCGCTGATACACGCTGACTCACACGCGATCGACCCCTGACCTCTCAACAGTTGGCTCCTGGGAATCTGGATTATCCAACGTGCTCGCACGAAGGCGAGAGCGAAAGACAGGGGCTTGACAAACAATCTCTTAAGATCGGCACTCGGCAAGCTGCCATGATGGGGCTGATGCAGATCGATCAATAAAGACCGCGGTCTGGGCCAGTGACAACTCCGCGGTTTATCCGGCGCCCGTCGTCGCCCGCCCCTGGGGAACTCGATGTCCGAGTCCACCCCGAGCGCGGAACCCGCACGTCTCTCTCTAAAAATGCCGCGCTTCGCCACGCAGTCCACTCCCATCGTGAGAGCCCCGGCACGCCTCGCCAGTGCGTTGTCCCTCCCCTGGGCCTGCGTCTATGTTGGGTGACTCAAGATGACTGATGAAACCCAGCGCCCGCGACCCACAAGCCCGTCCATATGGCCTCCTCCATGAGCATACATGGCAAGTGCACACGCATCTGATAGGCGGGCACGACGGATCCCAGGGCTATTTGCGGGTGACGCGGGTAGACATCGCCTTAAGTACCCGTCAATTGATCTGCGACCTCGAGCTCTTTTCCTTCCTGTCTTCCTCCATCTGGTAGCCCGTTCTCGGCCGTGCGCAGCCGCGCTTGGGATGCCTCCTCCTCCCGCCGACCTCCCGCCTGGTACGCTCGGCATAACACTCCTGCCGCCGGCGCTTGCGCAGCAGGTACTCATCTCGGATTACGTCTGTGCGGGCTCGCTTGGGGTGCGTGTCGCTTGTGCGCGCCAAGGGCGGAGAGGTTGGCTGATGCATAATCCTCGGGACGATAGATCGCCATCTGGGACCTCCTCAACAACTGCAGGGCGGAGTACGAGCTGCTTACGCGGTCTCGCTTGCGGCTTCCGATTGTCGCGTATGTGTTTGCGAGGTGCGCCGCGTAGTGACGACAGGCTGCGCAGCTTGGCCGGCCGCTCATGGACATTCTCCAGGGTCTTCAGCCTCGCATACATCCTCGGGTTTACGCTGCTCGGCACATACCCCCTCGGGAACTGCTCGACCATGTTCCGCGTCTTCGACTCGTTTTACCCGGTCGCGACCTCGGCGACGTCGCTTTTGTTTTTCTTCCGCGTCCGCGGGGTGTATGCGAGTGCGCTCGTCCCCACCATCGTCTTCGGCACGCTGTGGCTCGGCGTGCTCGCCACGAGTGTCACGATTCCCATCGGCGGCCGGGCGATTCCCATCGGGCCCACGGACTACTGCCTGATTACGAGCGTGGCGCCGTATGTGGGTGCCGCGGCCATCATGGTCACAATCCACGACACGGCCGTGTATCTGGCCATCTCGTACTGCCTGGTCACAAACACGCACATCGTCCAGACGAACGGGCAGCTCTTCCGCGCGTTGATCTGCGGAAAGTATCTGCCGTCGTTCTCGCGGTCGCTGTTTGTCGACGGCCAGGTGTACTACATGTGCGTTGTGCGCGCCCGTTCGCGAGACTTGTGCTTACCCATCCGTGCTTTCCAGGGTCTCCGTCATCTCAAACATCCTTGTGACGCTGATGGTGTACCTGCCCGTGTCGCCGCTCTACCACGGGCTTCTCGCCGTGCCCAACATGGCGCTCACCAGCGTCATGGCGTGCCGCGTGTACCGCAACACCCGCCTCGGGCTCTCCCAGCGCCCGACGGCGCTCACCCTGCCCACGACAACGACGCGGAACCAGCACATCGGTAACCACACCACCCTCAACGCCATTCCGCTGCAGTTCTCCGGCCCGCCCGGGTCGGAGATCGACACCGTCGACCTGGACGAGCGCGAGCATGCGCAGCGGACGAAAGTCGAGCCAGAAACGGGTGTGGTTGTGCACAGCGATCCTTGATCACTCTTTCGCGCGCGCGCGCGCCCACTAGCCGAAACGCGTGATGCGCCACAGCAATGGACCAGCGGCGGATCTCGCGCCACATGCGCTCGTGTGATCCGACTGACCGGATGCCCGACGGACATCTCGATGGACTCACCCATCCATCCCTCCTCTATCATACTTAATTGGCTTCGTCGTATCGTCGCATTCTTCGCTGTCGGATCGCACCTGCATATTGCCGCCACTCTCTCCGAAATCACGTGTATCATACTAGGGATCATCACAACGGGACATTTTGGAACGGGGAACGGTACTTGTAGAGCTTCCCAGAACGGCTGTGAATAAACTGGAACCATCGTTTGGATTCTCGCCGGACATGCACCAGTGCTGAGAATTGTGATGTTATCTTCCGTGCATTCTGTTTGACTCACGGCCAGACTTCATAGCGCTTTGTTGGATGTGAGTGTTACTGCAAATAATAAACTATTTTGGTCCAAGGACGCCTTTCCAAAACAGAGCGCACTTTCACCAGGGGGCTAACTGACCAGCGATCACGCATGCGATGCATTGGAACCTTCCCCCGAGTCACTAGAGTCCTTGACCATCGACGGGCGACCCTTACTGCAGCCCTATTGATCCAATCCGCTCTTCCTTGTTTTGATCCTTAGAAGCTGGAAACGAAGTTCCAGATGCTTTCCGTGATCTAACCATGTTACTTTTTTTCGTCTTCTGAGAGACAGGAAGCCAAAAGTGCGAGTGAATTTTTCCTCCGCTGCGAAGTCCGTGTTTGCTCAAATCTCCAGCGATTCTGAATATAACATCCAGCACGTTATACGATCGTATGACGTGAGTCCGAACGTCTGATCCTCCATGATGTCAAAGTGACCTTTGCAACTTGGCGTCCAAGCAACTGATTCAATCACTGTTGGCTCCATGACTTGACTTCGTGCCTACTACTCCTTGTAGTTCCAAAAAATTAAATAGCCAGCGAGTGGTTTACCTGTCTGGGGTGTCCCTCCTGAGATAGTTGTGCCGGCATTCCCGCGCGCGGCCCCCGGGGTCAGCAGAACGGTGTTGATATATTCAATCTTAATGCCATGTCGGGAAAATCATCGCAAAGCATGCAAGCCTCCAAGAGAATTTTGATCTCGTTGATGATGCCTGGCCAAAGAAAAAAGGTGCACGACGAACAAACGCTCGAACGTTGAACCTGTCACACGTGACTCGTTGCGAAATGAAACACTCACATGACTTGACACGATATGCGTCGATTTTTGGCTGTGCATCGTTTTGGGTACCTCACAGTTCAAGGAAAACTTCTTTATACAGGAGAAATAATATCCATGTTGCGCGCAATTCGGCTGGACAAGAACTTAAAATCGAACCAAGCACATGTGACCAGGTTGAACACGCACGTGGTTTCACGTCCGAATATTATCTCCTCGTTCTCATCTTCGGAGCTTCCCAATTGCGTCTCAGTTCGTCCCCGACCCAGGGACCCATACCAAGCCAACTCTGACATCCGCATCGCGGACGACCTGCGGGCTGCCACAACGATCACCCGGATGGGTGGCTGTGCACGCTGGAGCTGCGGCTGCGTCATCGACGTCACTCGGGACGGTATAAATACCCAGCCCGGTGCTGCGCTCATACTTCACACCTACGACCGAAACGACCATATACCGACCGCACATACCATGTCCCCCACACAGCTTGCCGCCCCCACCGCGCCCCGCGACACGCGCGTAGAGCTGACGTACCCGCCTCCCGCACACACGGGCTCGGCGAAGGTGACGGAGCAGCCGGCGCCGGTGCCGACGATGGGCCTCGGTGCGCTGCGCACGACAGATGAGGGGAGATCGGAGCGGCTGCGGGGCGGATGCATTCCATGTCCAGGTGCGTTGCGTGTCCGGAGCACGCCGCGTGCATTCATGTGTTGGAGTACGGTGCTGATCGGTCTTGGCAGATGGAGGATGCTGTTTTATCATACCGCTGCCTTGCTGCTGTTAAGCACGCACACCTTGCACGGCCGGGCATTCGACACACATTTCACTAGCATTTTCCATTTTGTATATTCCTCATGGACTCGTCGACATATCGTCTTAATGAACATCCACTGTATGACCAGTTCTCCCAGGATAATCGCAGCGGCGTGTCAATAGCAACAACAAGAAGTGCATGTACATTTCCAAAGTACTGCATGATAGCAAACAGCAAAGTATTATATCGTACTAAAATGATGGTACACAAACAATGTATATACACGCCTCAGGGCAAAGACCGCAGCTGGTCGCCCAGAGGCTCGTGCGATCCGGGGCGGTGCACCTGATACCTCTGCGCACCCCGGCCGCGGCGCCGCTCGTCGTACGGGCTCGCATATGCCAGCGCGTACTCGGACAGATCGGCCGACGTCCGGCGCACGCTGCGCTCGACGCTGACTTGCAGCGTCGCAGGAAAAGTCCGCGGATTGAGTTTCGACGCGGGCCGGTACGCCGAGTGTGGTTTCTGTGAGGGGCGGTGCGGTTCGGTCAGCTTCCGTGCGGAGATACGCGCAGGAGATGAAAGAAAACACGGACCGACATGGCCAGCTCGGTGTTCGCGCCGTGGCCGTAGCCGTGATGGGAGCTGCCGGACTGGGATTGCGAGTACGGGACCGTGAAGTCGTCCTGTGTGAACACAGGAACGGATTTGTCCCAGCGCGTTCCTCCACTTTTGTTCCATCGCATCTCGCGCAGCTCCTTCCGTGTGTTAAGCGAGATCAATAACGAGTTGGCGTAGACTGATCGATCAGTTTGACAGCGGTTCAACTTTTGAGAGCTCAATACGCACGTTTCTCGATGATAAAGTGGAGCCCGAGGAAGACCAGATTGTTTGGCATCGCCAGCCACTAGACAGGACAGCGAACGTTCAGCCTAGGCAGAGAAAAGACCATACGAACTCACACAAATCAGGGAAGCCGTGGTTGTCAGGCTTCAAAGCAGTGTGAGCAGGACCTTGAAAACGCTCATTCCGCCACTCACCACGTGAGCAACCCATTTTCCAGCGTATACAAAGTCAACAGATTGACCATCTGCGACATCGGCCCGGAAGCGGTCCTGCGACGCATGCGCTGCAGGAAGTAGCACAGGCAGCCGGTGATAAGCACATCCACCACAGCCGAGAGTGACAGGCCGGTGGTGAATATCCCGCCAGGATACTCATCGTTGAATGCCGTATAGCGCTGCAGGTGGATCCTGCGCAGCCGGTGAGCCGCCAAGCTCGTCCCGAATCTGACGATGACTCACATTTCTGCAGTCGAATCTGCGTAATGTCAGTAATTTGGGCGAATAGATGCGAAGGCCACCCACAAGTTGCCGCGACTGTTGCGCTACCCGTCAGTTACAATTCAGATAGAAAAAATTACGCATTAGTTGACGGACCAAGGCGGCAGCACGCCAGGAGGACCTGAGAAATTTTAAGATTTTCCTGGACATGTAATGGATGCAATGCACTTACAATTGGCAGTGTGATCCACCAGCTCCCACCACTCGCTGAAATGGGCGGATCAGAGGAGGAGAGGGCGAAAGGTTGAGGGCGCACATCGGAAGATCTTTCGGGCAAAATACAGGTGGACAATGAGTGTTTGCAAGGCCTGTAGAGAGCCGCAGAGTTACATTCGCCGCAAGCAGAGCTGAGGGAGAAACACACCGTTACTAACACCGACAGCTTCGGTGCTTCGTCAGTCCTTCAGATCTTGAGTATGAAACGAGCCCACGCACGCCGATAGACCTGCGAAATGCGCCCTGAGCCACGTAGAAAAGCAGATCAACACAGCAGCACGCACCAGGGAATAAACAGGGTCTTTGAAGCATCTCCGAACAATCGGATGAAGTATATATACAGCGACGTGACGATGAAGGCCGAGTGCAGCGAATCCAACAGCCTGGATGTGTGTGAGTCCCGGCGCACCCACCCCGCGCACCCGAAAAATTCACGCACCACACGCTCAACACCATCGCCCTCGACCGGACGCCCTCGCCGGGGTACAGCTTGAAGAAGATGATGCATTGCACGGCGACGACTCCGCTCAGACTGTCGTATTTCGAGTGGGCGCTGAAGGGGCGACTGAGATGAGGGTGACGTACAATAGCGCGACGGAGCCGCCGACCAACAACGCGCCGAGAGTCAGCGGAATGTCATAGGTCTCTCCCATCCGGGCCGCCTGGGAACGCGAGGCGCGGCAGCGGTATAGTCGAAGGGGGGGAGAGGAGGAGAGGAGAGGAAAAGGGAAAGGGAGTGAGGGCGTGAGTGAGAGAGAGCCGCTTTCGTGACAGGCATAGAATCGTTGGCGTTCCGGCACGGATGTCAAATTTGTTGACGGCCCGAAGGACGTGCCAAGCGGCCCAAGGCGCGCAAAGTAGAGTCACACTGTCACCGGTCACTCTCTGATTGGTGAGTATTCGATCTGATACGGATTTAGGGCGCGTTCGATGTTACAGCAGAGCGCGAAAAGCTTGGGCGCTGGTGGACGGCGCGAACTCGATAATACGCAGCGGATTTCGTCCCCGAGCAGTCTGTGCTTTTCCGTCGCCCAAAAAGCGATGACTGCGGCGTATGGCGCCGGCACATCAGGAACTATAGACTCATTTGTAAAGGTGGGACGCTGAACACAAAGATGGGTCTGTGATTTGATCAGAGGGTGTCAGTCAAGTTCCCACTTGGGGCTCGATGCGTGTCCAAGTGTCATAAGGGTGGAGTTTCATAATACTTCCGTGAACTTAATCAAGCGCGCGCATCAGCACAAACAGGAATGAATGCCGGACTGATCTGGAGCAGCCCTCATCGTGAGTGATCGGCGATTCAATGTCTGTACGATTCATGAGGACAGTTTTGGAATGTCGACATACACGCCACAAGCAAACCAATAATGTTGCATCTACCCACTAGCTCCGACGAGAATACGGATCAGACTGCGTTGGAAACAACTGTGGCCAGGGCCCTGTCGGCTGGCGAAAGGGCAATTCCCTCAGATCTGGCCCCACAAGTGTAGCGGCAGCGACGGCGAAGATGCGCCCATGCGGCGGGTACCGTAAATCCGGCGTGCCAATCCAGAACACACCGTCCGCATGCGCCTGGAGGCCGCCCAGCACCCGCTGGCCCACGCTGATCTGTGCACATGGTTGGCACACGGGAACATGAGCAATGGTGCGCAGAGTGCAGACGCACCGTGATGACCCAGTCACCAGCAACTCTCTGGAATTCATACCGCGTCAACGTGAATTCGAGGGTTTCCCCCTCGCCACGGATCGCGCACACCGTTCTTCAAGGCTACATCTCAGCCGCCCACACCGACGACGGAGCCTCTTCAGACTCACCTCAGCACCCCACCAGCAGGGCCATGCGTCTCAGACAAAACCTGCTCCTTCACCGCCAGCGCGCACTGGACCAGCTGAGGCTGTGGGCCGCCGAGCAGCTGCTGCGCGGGCCCCTCCATGCTCAGGCACCCAGAGAACACCTTGCCCGTGCCCGCCGCCAGATTCACGTGCGGATCCAGCAGAAGCGGAGAGAAGACGACCTTTTCGCTCAGGCGTGCCGCGTGGAAGATCTGGCCGGGGAAGCCGTCCGTGCGCTGCTGCGGGAGGAGCACGCTCACGAGTCCGTCGTCGGCGTCGTGCGAGACGGAGAGCAGGCAGTTCGGGTGGATTAATTGGGGGAGGGGCATGGTGGGCGCGGTCCGTGCAGCTTGCGCTGTGTGTGGGGGTGGGGGTGGGCGGGACATGCGGTCAATGCAAGTGATGGAACTGATCCATTTGATCGCGATGATTTGGGCACCCCTCTGTGAAAGGAGCTCTGCGCACGTGGTTATTGCACTTGGCTGCTAAACTCGAGAGTTCACTCACTTTTCACTCTGTTAGGAACGTACTGGAAGGTTCCCACAATTGCTGGACGATCACATGATCGTAGAGAGTGAATGACGTATAATGACGTCACAACATCTCACAAGACGATCCGTGCGTATCCGTCCAGTTTTTGAGAATCGTAGAAGGTGAAATGAGAAGTATGCACAGGAGAATATCTTCGAAATATTCATACGTTGTACGGGAGGACTGGTGTCTCTATTCTTCTATTCATTCAAGATCACCATGCAATACGGAATTAATGAGACTAGTTCTTATCACAAGCACCCACCGGTCATGGTGGGGAGCACATGCAACATCGATATCAACTCTTGTGTCATGATGGCAGCCCGAAGATATAAAAGGCCGCATCGCCCGACTGCATCTCCCAGCTAATCCACTCTACGATGACTGACTCCACTCAAGTTGAAGTACGCTCTCTCCGACTTCCTTTCTCTCTTCATGGCTGATCCCTTTCTTTCCAGCCTACCACCACTACCACCACGACCACCACTGCCCCGGTGATCGCAGAGGTACGTGTGCCCGGCGCGGTCGACTCCACTCCCTCAGGCCCTGACGTCCCCTCCAAGGAGCCGCACAAGAAACACGGCGTCAGCGCGATCGTCGACAAGATCATCCACCCGCACGGACACGCCCACCATAAGTCCCACGAAGCCAAGACCGAGGACGTGCCCTCGGTCCCTGTCGCGGTGCCCCAAGAGGCGAGTGACGGTCCCGCGCACATGGCTCCCGCCGGGAGCGCCGTCGGAGGTGTCTTGTAGGCACTGCCCGGCGCACACCCACCGCTCATCGATAAGCGGCTATCTTTATTGCGCGATGTTTGGTGCCCGAGCTATTTTTGTACTATGCGGGTGTGGCTGTAATATGTAATGATCGGATGCGGTAATACTGAAAGAGATTGATTGAGCACGCTTGACGAGAGACTATGTGTCGAGTACATATTCGATCGTGCAATTGGAAAACATCTCTTGCGAAGAGCACCTGGACTCGTTCCTTCAGGTCGTTCTGAATTCGCCTCGCCTTAGAAGCTTACGAAGGATTTTCAACTGTTCAATACCGAGATTGTTCATCCTGATTTGGCGGGTTTAAATCCGGGAACATTTTGCTTCATCATTATCGCATCTAAATCCCACTGAAACTCCGTTGGTTTTGGGTTGAAACTCTCAATCACAAAGCAAGTAAATCCACGCCTGCCTTTTGCATGATACTCGCGCGTTCCTAGGCAGGGGATCAGTTCGAGATCATAGAGAAAAAAAAGGTCTGGTCATCTCGGCGTTTCAAGAATCAAGACCACACGGGGATCCACCAGAGAATGCTCGAAGTGGAGAGGTGCTTGCTTACAGAGCTGCCGATCAGTCTCAAATCTTCATGACCACTTGAAGTACACAAGCTTGATCGGGAGCGGACCGTCATAAATTCGGGGACCTTCTTCTCAATCCCAAAAGCTTCCGGAGCAGCACCCTTATGCAACGGACTTTCACGCGCATGGCATCAGTGTAAGGGGAGTCCGGACGGTGGCCACCATGTCTTGAATACGCCTAAGACCCAGCACCGGGGATGAGGAGCAGTGCATGCCCTCTCCAGGGCCTTTCTTTTCCGCGAAAAGCGAAGTCTTTATTATTGCGCGAACGAAGTGAGCCGAGCTGGGAGCGGTGGCTCGGGACCTAGCGACAGTTATCACACAGAAAGTCCAGACGGATGGTTACGTGACTAACGCTGTCGAGCACCTCCTGGCTGAAATGATCCGAACCCTGCCAGGGCAGACCGAACTGGCGGCGGGAGTGCAGTAACGACGAGCGAGCTCACTTGGCCATCGACGATAGTGAGGACCCTCTCACCCGCGTCGGGGATGCTATGGGAGGCCGTGAGGAGCTCGAACACGTTCTGATTATGGATAGATGATCTCGTATTTCCTTAGGAATGGATGTTTTGAAATGAGTTGACGATCAGGAAAGCCCGCTTGCCGTGGAGACTTCGAGCTTTTTGTCTTTGAGAAACGGTATCGAGTAAATTTCTCAAGGCCACGAGAGAAGAATATTTCGAGTCACACACCGAGGGTCTGATGGATAACGACCAGGATAACACGCTGAGCGTGGATAGCAGCTGTAACGAGTCTTCCGTCTTCCAGAAAGACGAACATCTCTGTTATACCTGCCCCCCTACTCGTCAAGTGTCCAAGCACAGAGATTGGAATACAATCTGAAACTTCAATGAGGATTAAGCGCCTTGATCCTGCTCGCTGAAGTGTCCAAGGCTCACCCAAAGCGCTATGAGCTCGCCGAAGAGCCACCGGGCTCCGGGCGGGAAAGAGCATTCGGCCCGTGGTTTGGATAGAGAATGAGACTCAAATTAAAAAGACGCGGAGGTAACAACTGCTGCGACGCATACGTTGATGGCCGATGGTGTCAGCGACAACTTAACTGATCGGACGGATTCAGGCAGCACGATCCAGAGCTTGAATATGTATGGTATCCAAGTGGTCCGCAACGCAGAACGACCACTTCGCATGGTTAAATAGTAATGTGATGACCTCAGGGCTGTAAATCCGATCTGAATTGGCTCTCAGAATACTGACTAGCAGATCAACGAGTTGCGCGGGCCAAGCACAACACCGCTGAACTGCTTGGTGCGGGTAGTATCATTGCCCATTGAGAGGCCGAGAATGGGTGCCTGGCGCAATGGCTAGCGTGTTTGGCTTCGATGCCTTCTTCCGTCACCAAAAGGTTACAGGTTCGAGTCCTGTGGTGCTCGCTTTTTCTTTTATCCCCAACTCTACAATACCCTTCTCTCCGCCTCTATCTCGGCTCGCTATGCATATCACACTTCCCTGGGCTTGAGCTGCTCCTCTACAGCCTATGACCCTGGCAATGACAATTTTCCGCTGGTCAACTTTCCTAAGAATCACCCTTCGCCAATGACGCCCGATTCGAAAATCTAGAACCTGAGCCGGGCCAACAGGAGGGCCACCTGCAGTAAACACCACGCAGTGCCGGGAGGAACCCATCGTATCTTGGAAGCGGTTCTCAACCTGATAGATTTGCACCCTCAATACGAGCGCTAGAATCAGGATATTCTATATAGAGCAGATTTGGTCCACGCGACATGCGCCGCTTCTGGACTTCGTCATGACTGCTGGTCCTTGGCGACAGAGCAAACTCTCACTCACATCCGGTCAGCTGGCTCGATCGACAGAGGCAGATGGAAGTAAGCAGACTCGGAGGATAGGCGCTGAAGTAACTGGATGAAGCAGATCCTGAGCAAGGGCCGGGAATTCCGAACCACGCAGTGGAGTTGACAAGCTGCACGTAGATGTTCGATGTAAGTAGGCCTCGAGCGTCTCGAGCTCCCACCGGGTGCTGTTTTCTGCACGACATTCGCACAGGCAGCCGAATCCTACTAAGAGGCACGGTGAGTGTGCTGTGGAACAAGATGATGGCCGATCAACGGATGGTGCGTATTTCTTCTCGGCCGCTGTGCGGATTCGATGAGAAGGGTGATCGGAACCGGCCCATGTGGGCACAGAACGATGCTTGTTTAGTGTCGACGTAGGTCGACGTACGTAAATGAGAGTTGGGCAGGGGGAGCGTTCAGATGAGACAGGGAACGAACAGCTGCCAGAGGCTTCGCTCGTTGGACTACTTAGCTGTTCTCCAAGACCGTAAGCTCCTGATAAAGGGAGCCGGTTGCAGCTGGGTCAGGGCTCGTGCTCTGTGTTCTCCATGCGCTTCCGGGTCCGAGCCGTTGGCTCCGCAGCTCGTGTCCTGGCCTTCAAGCGCTCCCACGGACCTATGCGGCGCTTTCTCCGACCCTTTCGTCATTCCCCGGCCGCCCATGGGCGGTCGTCAAACTCGGGGTCGGGCACGCCGGTCTCGATAATCTCTGTCATCTGCCCCGAGAGCGTGTGGACGGACATCTCCCGAGCCTGCAATCCACGCGGGGATCTGCTCAATTCACGGGAGGTCAGATGTGGCTTCATGTGTCGACGGGCTTCGAAGATCCTTGCAGCGGAGCTGATTCGCGCTTCGCGCCAGAATAAACGTTTGATAACGGTGCCGTTGATTGTCTAGATGATTAGAAAGCAGCGGGATTATTTCTGTCCATGGATCTAGAGCCGCTCTCTCGCTGAGCGGATCGCGCTCCGGTCAGGGTCAGGATGACCGAGAATGAGCCGTGAGCTACCTGGAGCGTCGACGACGGCCACACGGTTCTGTTATCTGTAGAAAGAATCCAGAGCCCTGGACCGTTCTGCAGCTTCTGCGAGTCGGCATCATCATTTGATGTCTGAGATTGTCACGACTCATAGGCGTCAGAAGACCGGGCTCGGACGCGCTGGTACTTATGACGACGTACAGGATAATTATCTGGGTACATGTAATAGAGCGGTCTGTCGGTGGGACTCGTGTGCTCAGCTCGAAACGGCAGGAGCAGCATTTCCTAAGAAACCCTGTTTAGAGTTCTCGTATGGGGCGCGATTGTGGCGATTATCATATGGCTCAACCCTCAGCTGATATCGGTGTGACAAGTTGTGACACAGTATCTGTTGCGCAGCGCCACGCGGACCCGAGTGTGGCGGTGCACTTTATCGCATGGAAGCGGCTTCTTAACCTAGTAACCTCGCGATGTAACGACGACAGATCACTCCAAAATTGCTAGTCTCAGGTTCACGAGGCCGCAGCGAAGGCTTGGAACTGAGCATCCGATCGTTCAAGATACTCTTGTGCACTTGGGCGACGCGTATTTTCCGTCGTCAAATGCAGACGCAAGCAGCCCGCTCTTCGTCGAGATCTCGGTGCCCTGGTCCCGCCCGCCGACCGGCGCGTTTCCAGCAGGACCATCCATCAAAGGAATTGTTTCCGGGAGCCCGCACACACACACTTATCGCATATCTCGAAGAAAGGTCTGATCGCTTCGAAGCCTCGTCGCCAGAAATCATATGGCTGCAACCTTCGCAATTCCGGGGTTGCTTCGGCGGAGCATGTCGCCTTATCATCGTAATTCAATGCGATCCTCCTCCGTGCAGCAATAAAAGGCGGCTGGGGGCCCGTCCATCCTCACGGTTCCTCAGTCGGTACCTCGCACTTGACCCAGTCAGCTGGTGAGTCGCCTTGACTACCAAAGAGCTAACGCCGATTCTTCTTCGCAGATACGATGTTCGCCTTTGTTGCTCTCGCCATCCTCTCGGCCGTTGCGCCCTTCGCGTCTGCGGTCCCGACGCCCTCGGAGCACGTCCTCGTCCCGGGTGGCTACCGCGCGCGCTCGGAGACCAACTTCTACCAGGTCCCGAGGGTGGCAGTGTCTCGCACGTCGACGACAAGGTCCACGTCCTGGACGCGGCCGGCAGCGTCGTGCACATCGTGACCCCGCAGTTCGCCACCCCGACAAGGTCAACGCCGATGCGGTGCTCCCCTGCCGACCGGCTGGGTCGCCTACGCGTCGTGGCAAAACTCGGGTTCCGACGCGATCGCGTCGTTCACCACTAGCTGGACCGTCCCTGCTGTCCCGCCCACCGACGACGGCCAGACCTGTTCTACTTCAACTCGATCGAGCCCACCTCCGGAACGCCATCCTCCAGCCCGTGCTCCAGGTTCGTGTGGGCTGTTTTTCGCGCTTTGACAAAGGCTGACCCGCGACTAGTACGGTTCGTCCGCCGCTGGTGGAGGCTCGTACTGGGCTGTTGCGACCTGGTACCTCGTCGGCAACAGCGTGATGTACACCAACCCGGTCCGCGTCAGCGCCGGTGCCAACCTGAACGGCATCATCACCCTCAAGTCGCACTCGGGCTCGAGCTACAACTACGTCTCGTCGTTCACCAACGTCGGCTCGACTTCCCTCACCGTCAACGGCGCCGCGCAGCTCACCTGGGCCACCGAGACCCTCGAGGTCTACTCCGTCGCCTCCCAGAACGACTTCGCCTCTGGCTCGACCGTCTTCTCGAACATCAACCTCTCGCTCGCCAGCGGAGCTGTCCCGTCCGTCAAGTGGTCCACCGTCAGCAGCAGCCAAGACCACCTCACCACCACCGTCAACACCAACGGCGCGACGAACGCCAAGATCACCATCACCCACAGCTAAATTAGTCGCGTCCTGTTCTAAATATTGGGCGATGGGTTTCATGAATGCAATGCAATGAATGATGGAAATCACTTCGCGTCCCGAGTGAGCTTGCGCAGTACATTTGCGCGACGTTAGATGATGCACATGAAACAAGAAAGATGGTCAGCACAGCCTGCTCATCTTACTCGCAACGAGGGCTCGTTTCTGAGACAGCTAGTTCGCACGACCGGCCATTCAGCGCCTGCAGTTGCACGTCATCACTTCTACACATTGCGATGTAGCATTCCACCCCTTCACTCTAGAGCTTGGAACATTCAGGGTGCCCCACCGATCCATTCCACCGCGTTCACATTGCCCAGGACCGGAGAGTCGGCTCGCATCGAACCGCACCCAGCGTTTGATACTGACGAGCAATGTCAGTAGCACATCGCGCAGGCGCAACGGAGAACTTTGTCAGTCCAAGAAGTGGACGCCAAGGTCTTGAAACTCCATCGCTGGGCACAAGAGACGGAGTGGGACGCCGGCCGTTGGCATGACGGGTCGGTTAGCCAGCGAAGCTGGAGACTTCTGGGATAAAGGGCCATGTGCTCTGGCCACGCACACCGGGCAGTGTGTGTCTGAGGAGAAACGATCGAAGCCGAAGCAGTGGCTTGGAGATGACGGGCGAGAGCAAGATCTCTGCAGCGCATTCGAAGGCTAGAATGGCAACGGCCGCGGATGCTCAACAACTGGTCTGAAATCCCGGCGTTGATGGAAGCGACGACAGACCGACAAGACTCCTAGTGCGCGGTGCAGCGCGAATGTGCCCGGATCGCCTTCACATGGTATGCCTGGCATGCTCGATTGGCACAGAGAGAGACCAGGTTGGGATGCCATCAGGACTTCGGGGAGTGAGATTAGCGTTAGAAAGCCGCCCCAAGTCGCATCAATGATCAGTCGGATTCCGCCCAAATTCAGAGCTTCCCATCCTCCCGTTATGGCAGCTGATCGGACATGCACAAGGAAGGACTACGGGCCTTTGGACGCGCAGCAAGCTGGATGAGACCACTTTCCTATCTTATTGACGGACGCTCGAAAGGGGGTGGGATTACTCCTCAGTATTGTACGCCTTTGAATCACACAGGAAGATGGTCGGAGATTCAAGAAGAGGCATTTTCGCAGTCACATCAGCTGTCTCACGCGTACCACGTGGCGTGACCGTGTCCTCTCACCGACCTTGCCCCGCTTCGCACAGTCTGCGGCGCGCCCATCCCATCTGCACCCTACCGAGACCGGCGAAACGCCGCAGACCCCCACATTGCTCTCCCTCACCCGCCGGCCTGACGCCCCTCCGCTCCCTCCCGGAATGGCGCTGCTAGATACCCCCCCAACACGATCACCGGACGATGGGCTCGGGATGAAGAAGGCACGCACGAGCGGCCGCGCGAAGAGGCTCTCGCTGCGCGCGCTGGAAGCCGCAGGGCCGAAGTTCGTGGGGAACGACGTGGTGCTGGGGAAGATGGAGGGGTATCCGGAATGGCCGGGCATGGTGCGTGCGTCGATCAGGATGGTCGCACGGCGGCCGCCTACCGGACACGCACGCGCGGGTGGTGCTGACCTGTTTGCTGCAGATTGTGAACGAGGATGAGCTGGCGGAGTCCATCCTCTTGCAGCGGCCGCGCGGCGCGCACAGGTTCTTCGCGGTGCGCTTCTTCCCCGAGGGTGAATAGTGCGTATGCACGTCTTCTCGTGCGCGTCTCTGGGGGTACGGAGTGCTGATGTTTGCGCCCTTGGTCTCTTCCGTCCAGTTGTTGGTTAAGCGAGATGCACGTGAAACCATTGGAGAAGTGCGCCATCGAGGGGTTCCTTACCGCCATCCGGAGGGGAAGGAGGAAACCCGTCGAGGCACTCCTTATACAGGCTTACGAGAGCGTGAGTTTCGCGGCAGAGACTAAGAATGGAATTGAGCTTTGGCAGGCATTGGCGCCTGAAGATTGGAAAGCACAGCACACCGAAGACGAGAAATATCTCACGCAGCCTGTTCTCGAATCAGGTCTGCGTTTCTCTTTCCAGGGTTGAATTCCATTTCACTCACAGCGCCTCGCAGATTCGGCGAGTTCACCGACTCTCGCAGATTCCAGTCCTCCGCCAGATGCAATGCTCTCCCCTTCCGAACCGAGTGGACCTTCTCGGCCAGGCACAATAAAATCACACACAGAGATGCTAGCTGACCTCAAGCTCGAGGCAAGAGGCAAGTACAGACTGTTCGTCGAACACCCTGTTGTGACGTCATAGTAGATGTTACGTACGCATCAGTCGAGGTCCAGACGACCGATCTCGAGTACGCGTTGAAGGAGAAGAAAACAGTTCGCTTCGATTTACCCTCACCCTTGAAACCGAATACAGAACTCGACGCTAACGCAGAAGCATCAACGAGTGTCACCCCAGATTTCATTCGACCGCCGACACTTCCTGAACAGCGGCCAGCTGACGATGGTGAGCTCCTCCGTGAGCGTTGTACAGAACTGACGAGCTTCAGCCGAACATGTGGTCACGGCGACTGAAGTGACAGAGCCAGCGGCGCCCGAACGGCATGCCCCTGGTCCGAGCCAGCCTTCTCCCGCGTTTGATACTGTCGACGCGCAAGGCCAGCTCCAGATGCTGTACGACAGAACGCGAACCGAAAGAGACAAACTGCAGCAGCACCTGCGCACCGCGTACAGCGCGTTTTTCGGGCAGAAAGCGCGTCACACCGATAGCGTGAAGGAGCTGGAAGACGAGCTGTTGAAGAAGAGCAGTCGTGTTGCCCAGGTGGAGGCGATGCTCGCCGAAAGGGATGCCTGGATTGCGAGCATTGATGTGCAGATGCGGTCGATGAAGCCCACTGCTAGCAGGCCCGCCGAGTCTGATGAGAATTCGGAATCTGCATCGCGGAAGCGCATTCGACAGCTTGAGGAAGAAAACGAGGCGTTGAAGAAGCAGTTTTCGAGTGTTGAGATGGTTCTCGCTGGTTGCACGGCCTTGAAGGCGCCAAAACGAAGGAAGATTGATCATAACCCAGAGCCTGACTACCCTTGAGTGCGTCAGGATCTATGCTCTTGTCATTTTTGTGTATCGTAGTAGTATCATTTCAATATTACCTGGTTTCTGTGCATTGAATGCACGTTTTCGCAGAGAATCTGGCGGCCAAGTATTCTGCCTGACATGTCTGAGCGTCCGGTCTTTCGTTACCCATGACATAGGGCTAAAACACGCCGAGGCAACGTGCAGGGTTACTTCAACTTATCTTCCATCGATAATTTCCATCCGCTCTCATGCGAATCGATCTGGACGGAAAGAGTAACATCTCCTTTCCGAGCCTTCGATCAGGCAGGTAAGACCGAGATGCCACCTTCGAATCGGAGATCAGAGGATAGCACCGAGCGCTATTTGAACTCGCATCGGTCGCTCACTAGCTGCAAGATACACAGCACAGACTGTGCCAAGCATTTCGTGGCTGGATTCACCGGGAGGATCGTGCCAGGGACAGGCGATAACCATCCGGAAAAAAGCGACGAGATGCGTTGTGCACTGACAGCGCACCCGATACGAGGACGTCAGGCCTCAGAAGTAGTGGTTGAATGTCGCCATCCCTCGCGGCTCACAGGCTGTCGTGGACTCACACGACAGACAACGACGATCAAGGTTTTGATTTGATTATCTGAATATAGCCCGGTGGCGCGGAGCATCGCGGTCCAGCGATATGTGTGCAGAGACGAGTCTCCCTCCCCTAGTCTGGTGACACAGACCGTGCTTCTGGGCCCGGCAGGCAGGTCCGGATGCATGTTCGACCCGGGGTTGTCCGTACGGTTGGCAGTCAGTCAAGTAACCGCGGTTCATTTCATTTCCTATTGCATGGAATTCAGGCCTGTCGACGGATGTCGGGCTTTTATTAGATTGAGCTGCATGGTCAAGATAGAGAGCGAGGACTCGGATTTCCCACACTGCTTCGACGCCTCGGAGCTCGCAGAAACAAGAAGAAACGGGCGAGAAATCACATCACCGAAGATTGAAGTCTGTCATGTGAACATAGGCCCCGATTTGTACTTCTCCCGCTTTGAGGGCATGAGGAACAACTCTGTGGGATGGAATTGATGCACTTCATGATCAAGGTCAATGAGAGACGTTTGGATAAGATAAGATAAAGAGATAGTGCCGTTACTTGGGCTTGAAAGCCATGCGGCACCTCCAAAAACGCGTGAGTGGCGGTCGAAAGTGGAAATATAAGCGCGTATATCATCTAAGCGCATATACCATCTAGCCGTTGTGGTGCTGTGGAGATGAATATGGTAGCCGACATCTGAAGTTCCGCGCGGCAGTTTCATTTCCAGCCTCCAAGTCGGCTCAATAACCCGACCTCGTTTTTTTACCGCTGCCAGATACGCGAGGGGGGGGACCCACAGGGAAGATTCCGAAGTCTGTTGGTCGTAGTGCCGTTTATGAAGCAGCCGGCGGAATATGATAAACCACCACTCATCAGAACATGTTCGCGGTCCGAGGACGACGACGATGACGACATTTGCCGGCAAAAAATCCCGTGGCCGGGGAGTATGTCCGAGCACATCTTCATGTCGCTTGAGCGAGGGGTTGGAGCCAAGAGAAGTCAGCAGAGCCTGGACTGCGGAGCGCAGACACGTACGCCCTGCCAGAAGACACGTTGGTAACAGCTCAAATGCAGTCAAGGAAGAACTTGATAAGTCCCATCGAAAAAGAACAAAGACGGACGAGAAGGAATCAAACGATCAGGTGGCGTCCCTGCGTGGAACGCTTCGAATCCACCTTGAGTCCACTGCCTCGCGAATCCTCGCCCTGTAAGTTTACAGTCGAGACAAGGTCGGAGGGTAGCGAGCATAGTTAAAACGTGCACTGACAGAGCGGCCTCGATACTGGGGAGGACAACATGAGGCCGGGCACGCAATGGTGATTGGGTTTGCGTGAGAACATCGCCGTCGTGGGCCGCCGCCCCTGGAGGAGACTGTTGCGCGGGCCCAAACTGCCGATTCAGGGAAAGCGACATATCTGGGAGGCTGTCGCTCGCGCAGAGGCCCCCCTGGGAAGAATCCGAGGAAAATTAAAAACATGTGTTGTGGAGAGCACAAGGGATTTGGCAGGGGCAGAAGACCGTGTGCGAGTATCGGGCGACAGATGTTGCGCAGAATATCAAGGCGACCCCAGTTGTCAGAGATGGTCCAATATCGGCACGCCTCGAGGCCGCCCGCGTGATACGGCTCACGGAACAGCCGCGCCGTGACGCCTGCCTGCTCTTGCGCGCTAGCTAAGCGAGAGATCGCTCTTGCCATGCCCTTGCCCTAGAATTGCAGCGAGGCGAACTCGAGTCCAGATTGAAGATGCGCAGATGCAGATGGAGAACTTGATTGCAGGGACGGATTATCTTGTTTCCATCCCTATTTGGCCCTCGTAGCACAACACGCGAGGAAAGGGGAGCGGGAGCAGAGGTCTAAGGGGACCCGACGCACACGACGCGACTCGGCTAATACGTACTTTATTATGTGAGTCCCAGGCGATGCCGGTGGGTTCGATTTACACCAGACAAAAGGCGCCCGTGGAAAAGGAGGAAGGAACAGAACAGTCAGAAACAGCAACGTGTGCATCTTCTCGGCCTTCTTGATTGGGAGTAAATTGGATTTAGCATCCGGTAAAAGCGCGACATCTATCACTCAACAGTAGTTGCTCAGACCACCACCACTCTCCTCTGTATCCTGCTGTTCTGCCTCACCAGTGGCAACAGCTCCGACTCGCAGTGTGAGTCGATTGATATGGAGCAGAAGTCATTTGTGTTGACAGACTCCGCGTTCGCGTTCACAGCTCCATCACGACTATTGACGCTTTCCTTTGACGCTCACGACGACGACGTACACCCCACAATGCCATCTGCCATCCTCAATCTCAAATTCAAGGTCCGTGTTTTGCCCGCTCGACGCGTCGCACGCTGACTGTGGCCCGTCGTCTCTTGCTTCCTTTTTGGGACTGTACTCACTTTGCCGCTCTCCACTTGTCCACAACGACTCCATCAACGCCCACGAAACCGTCTGCCTCCTACCTTTCGCCGTCCTTTGACCATTGGTTCATCTTGGCCCCGCGACCTACGATTGCGATGCCCTTTCTTCTGCAAATCAGGGCAACAAGTCCTTCGTCCCTTTCAGCAACGTCAACGACGCGGAGAGCTGACCAAGACGTGGAAGGTGCGCATTATCGCGCCATTCGCGTGTTTCCTGCTCATATGCGCTAGGTCTGCACCAAAGTAGCGAGCTACCTCGAACAAGGTGACCGACTGGAGAACCTTGCCTGGCGGTAGGTTTCTTGTCTTCCTTGCTCTTCTTGTTCATCTATCATGTCTTGTCCCACGTTTGTCCATTGTTCTACGTATGCTCTCTTCCTTCCTGCGGCTCAGCCAATCCTTCTCTGTGGAATCTCCCCCTCCTCCCTCCGGCTCCTATCTTGTACAGCCTTTCCTGTGTTCTCTAATACTTTCGCTCTTTGGCCATTACGCTAACGCCTATTGTACAGACTGTGGCACCTGCAAAGCCTCATGGTAGACTCTGATAACGCCAAATCCAAGCGCGAATTCCGCAAGCTGTCCAAATCTATGGGAGATAAACTCGATCGTGAGCGTGGACGGTGCGTGTTTGCCTTTCACGTTTTCTCCTAGGCGCTGATGAATGAGTCTCTGACAGCTCCATCGAGGATCTTCCCGCGCCGGACTTTAAACGCAGTTTCTCGAGCGACCTTTTGCAGCAAAAGGCGGTCGAGAAGGAGCGCACAAGGGAAGCCGCTGCCCACCAGGGCCTCCAGCACCGCAACCTTTTCACTTTCTCCGTGGACGTCCCCGGGGGTCCGACTGCCGGTCAGAACGAGACTTCCCCGAGCGCCAAACGCAAGCGCGTGCCATCAACAGCGACTCCTACACCTGGAGTGCGGCTTCCCACCGTCTTTGCGAGCACCGGCGGCCCGGACGTCATTGTTGCTTCTTCGGGGAACCGGTCTCCGGGCCACTCGACGCAGCTTTCTTCCCATTCGCTTTCTTCTACACGTGGTGACTATGACAGCATGCGGGTCGTGCGGCCGACCGTGGAACTACATCTCGATGAGCTGCTGCATGCTGATGATGGCGACGACGGTGAGAAGGACATGGATCTCGAGGACTCGGTCTCCTCGTCTTCGTCCGACCCCGCATCGGGCTTGGGAATATCGATGGCAAACCCCAGCGGCGTCAACTGGTCAGGATGGGATGAAATCATGCAGGCCGCCTCTACATTCCCGGATTTCCCTTCTGGTACCCATCACTTCCACCAACCGCAGCAACAGCAGCACCAACACGACACGTTCTCTGCTGACTTTGGGATGAGCATGGGCCCCATATTGGGCCCCAACGATCCGGGGTACAATGCCGACACCTTCCTCGGGTTTGCTCCCGGACAGCTCACTCTCGATCCCTCTGCGACTCTCACAGGCGATGTAGACGCCTACGAAGCTGATCACGTCCGGGTAGCCACGCCCACGATTTCCACTCCGTCTGTTTCGTCTCATTTCCAGTCGCCCACCAGTACCCCCCGCTCACCCCATCGGGCCGCCGGGCATCTCGGATTGCTGCGTCGCGTGCTGCCGAATCGGAGCCCGAGTCCTCGGATGGGGACGACTCTGCGGACTCGGATTTCTACTTTGACGGCAAACGCGCGGCGAAGAAGGCCAGTGGCGGCCGTGGAGGTGCGCTCCGGAAACGGAGCAACAGCTCTGCCGTGGCTGGCGCCGGAGCGAGCGGTGTGTCTGTCGGCCGTCGACGGGGGAACAGCGATGCTGCTGCCGCTGGGTCGAAAGGGTCGAGACGCCCGCCGCTGAGTGTCCGTGTGCCGGCCGGTGTGCGGTCTTCGGCTGCGGCATCGTCGTCGGAGAAGCCATCGTCGGCGAGCTCGGGTGCGGCGCTGCGGGCCGGCGCTGTTGCTGGTGATGCGCTTGGGGCTGGTATCAAAGCCGAATGCAGCAACTGTGGAGCGACCCATACTCCGCTTTGGAGGCGAGGGCTCAATGACGAACTCAACTGCAACGCCTGCGGACTCTACTGCAAGCTGGTTTGTATTCGGCGTTGTTGTTTGTATCGCATGGTGCTGATTCGAGAAACAGCACAAGCGGCCCCGACCGAAGACGATGCGTAACATGGGAGAAGGCAGAGGCCAGTCGACCCGAGCCGAAGTCCCGGACGTCATGGGTGGGTCGGTTGCTATACTGTTTGATCTTTTCTAAGTGCCTTCCAGCGCAATGCTTCAACTGCCACACGACGACGACCCCGCTGTGGCGCAAAGACGACGAAGGCCGGACTGTGTGCAACGCCTGTGGCTTGTATTACAAGTTGCACGGAACGTCGCGTCCGATTTCGATGAAAAGCGACATCATCCGCAAACGTTCTCGCCACGAAGTGCAAGTCCGAGCGCAAGCACAAGCCCAGGCGGATACGCCTACAGCCAGTCCCACAGCCAGTCGCCAGGGCTCCCCCGTCCCGGGATCGTCATCCCATTCGAGCTCGGGGTCGCCGATGCTCGCACCTGACAGCAGCACATCTGAGCTGACCACTGCGCTCGGGCCGCTGCCGAAGCCCGCGGCTGGAGCGTACCGATTCCCGTACCACGAGACCTACGCGGACGTGCTTCCATTTGGAGGCGTGGATGTCAGTGGTGGAGTGGATGGCGATGCGCGGGTCAACAAGCGCCGGCGGATGAGCGTCGACTCAACCTCGGAGCCGCCTTCCAGTGCCGTCAGCTACGGGTCGTCGTACAACGACTACACGGACGGTTATTCGAGCGCGACATCGTTTTCGATGGAGTTTCCGTTCAGCGAGCGGCACCAGCAGCAGCACCAGCAGCAGCAAGGCTCGTTCTGGCATCCGCCAATGGCACTGAAACGCGATTCGCCCGAAGCCCAAATCCATCCGCCGATGCTCCCGTCCTCCGACGACTTTCTCCACCCGCCGATGATGCCGGCGTCCTACCTGTACCAGGACGAATCATTCAACTCCTTCGTGCACCCGCCCATGATGCTGCCGACTCTGAGCGAGGAGGGCATGCTCTTTGGGTCTGGTACCCACCCCCCGATGATGCCCTACGACGATCTCTACGCCCCCGAGGGCAACGGCATGCACTACTGAAATGTATTTTGTGTTTCCATCTGTACCACTCCATAATGTACCATGTCCTGTACTCACTACTGCATACATTTATCTCAGCATAGCATAACTTGTGGATGTTTATTTCTAATCGCCTTGTGTACTGTATTCTGATGTCGAAGGGGTGACTCCCTCGAAGGTGCCGGACTGGCGCTTCCCCCGTTCCGCGCGCCCCGGTACGTGCCGGACAGCGACGATGACATCGATGGTAAAGTTTTCTCCTATTTCGAGATCCTCTGGCCTAGAGGCTAGCTCTGCATTGCTCATTACAGATCATACATCTCAAATCTCAGTTACATCTACGGTATGTCGCTGCAGTAGAAAGCGGCCCCGCACATCACACGTACAGTACAGTGCGTACGTGCTTCCTATCAAAGCGGGCTGACACAAAGCATCGCCCGTTTCCTCCCTTCCGCATCGGCGGGCATCAGAGTGTTGACGAGCACGGCTCGCATGCGCAGTGCCGGGTCGTCTGGGAGCTGGAACACGAACTTGGACACCAGCTCGGTGAGGATCACTTGCATCTCCAGGACACTGTACCAGTCATGTCAGCCAGTCAGCGTAAGTGGGGGGATACTTAGTCGCAGCTTACGCGAAACGCCAGCTAGATGGAGATCGTAAGAAAAGAGGTCAGCGTCGGGTGCAAGGGCAATCAATCGCTCACCCGAGACAGGTGTGAGGGCCAGCGTAGAAGCTCAATCTGCAGCGCAGAGCAACGCGTCAGGCGAGCGCGGCGTGCAGATGTTGGGGGAAAACTCACAGATGAGCGTACGGACTCAACGCCATCGTTTCCCCGGTAGCTGCAACCTTGCCATCGAGCCACCGACTGGGATCGAACTGGTTAGGATCAGGACCCCATCGTCCCTCCGACCTAGCGCAAGCAGATGAACAGCGGAGGGGGTGCCGGATATGGAAGGGGCTTTACCGTTGATACGAGCCAATAGCGATGGTAATCAGCTGGCCCTTGGGAATGACCAGCTGCTCTGCAGTACGTCCGTTCGACAGCTGGACCGGTGTGCCCAAGGGGATCGTCACATCGCGCAAAGCTATCTTATCGGCCAGGGCTTCGGCAGGGTGCATGCGCAGTGCTTCCTAGAATCCCATTAGGTTAGCGCCCAGGCCGCTCAGCAGACCAGACCAGACACCGCAGCGCACCTTGACGACAGCATTGAGAAACGGCATCGCATCGTATCGGATCTCCGTGTCCTGAATCGCGTCCAGCACTTCCGCTCGCAGCTGTGATTGGACCTCGGGGCGTTTCGCGAGCTCGTTGAGTGCGAAAGCGAGCGTGTTTGCCTGACCGACGTCAGGATGCGGGGAAGAGCTGAGTTTGATCACCCGAACCGTCGTGTCCTGGCCAGCGATCATCAGAATGCTCGTTTGCGCGGCGAGGAGTTCGGGGCGGAGGGACTTCTTCGCGTTCTCCGTCACTTGAAACGAACCGCAGATTCAGCACTGTATCAGGCTTCCACAGAGAACCTCAAGAGCTTACGGATCCTGCCAAACAAGTGATCACTCTCCTTCTCTTCGAGAACCCCAGAATTGAGGCGCGCGGCGATCGTCTGTCTCCCAACCTCCTCTGAGAGCACCCTCGCTTGGTGCACAGAGGCGAAGCGCTGGACGGGCAAACGCAAGAGATACTTCAGGAGACCGGGGAGCACGACAGCGAAGGCATCCGCGATGAAATGCATCCGGCCTAATCCGGACGCGAGTGCGCTGGCGCGAATTTGAGCAAGCAGCGGTTAACGGTGAAAGAGGCGAGGGTCACGCACAGTACTTGCGAACTGACGTCCACGAATGAGGGCCCAAGATCATCGAGCGAGAGACCGAGGACAACTGCAAGATTGAGATGCGATTCTGTGTCGCAGGAGCAGAGGGCCGTTACCCTGTGAGATGGCCGACAGCGTTGCCTCGGAGAGCAAGGGGGAAATGTTCACTAGCGCGTTCTTGCGCTGCGCCAAAGCCCCCTGCAGTTGGACAGTGACCTGTGGAGACGGATGTCAGTGCCCTGTGCAGCAGTGGGCTTTGCGTTGCTCACGCCTCGCGCGACATTCTCAAATATGTCCCGGTAGCTCTTGACGATCGCCGGCGTGAATCCGGGGTTGAGAGCGGATCGGAGCTGCCTGTGGGCCTCTCCTGCAAGATGGAGAATGAGAGTCGGCGCGAGAATCAGCGCAAAGGCGCGTGTGTGAGAGGCCCTTACCTCTTGAGGCAGACACATTGTCGTCCCCGTAGAGGGCTTTGTCCATCGCCATCAACATGGGCGAGAACTGCACATCGTCGCTGCGGAAGATATGGTTGATGGCCACGGGATCGGAGAGCATCAGTCGCTTTTGCTAACCCAGCCCTGTCAGATCCGGACAGGCACTACGGCAGAAGAAGACCAGGGACGCACGCCGAGCACACCACGCAGCAGATACACCGGCCCGTGCTCCCTCTGCCATCGGAACTCGTTGTCGCCGTAATTAGTGGTGAGGAGCAGCTGCGGGAGATGTCCTGCGTGCGGGGTCAGCACCAGTGTCTAGCAGTGCCGCACAAGATTACGTACCAAATAGCCAAGACTCCGAAGGAGGGCTAGGAAGCCGGCCCAGATCGTTCTTGGGTCTGAGGAACCATCGGACGACATAGACGCCCAGCAGTGTGAGAAGGGACAACGACGTCAAGCTGGATACGCTCTGCATGACTAGGGAGGGGAGACAGACGCAAGTCTCTCATGACAGTCCAATATAAAGTGAGGATGTGTGGGCCGTCTTAAGGCCGTTAATACAGTTCCCCGTGAGCATCGTGGCTTTGGGGGACTGACAGTCGTTCACAGAGGGTGAGCTGTCAAATGATCACTCTCACGTGAGACTTCGACTTGATCCCGCTACTAGGAGAATCTCGTACTCATCACTCGTGCGACTCATAATGACTTCCACCCCGCTAAAGCGCCATGTAGTGAGGGCCATGGCTCTCTTCGCACGGATTGACCGATGGCGATGAAATGAGTGATGTACTGGACACAGACAATAGAACGATCGATTCTTGCGTATAGTGTCCTCTCAAACGAGGGCTTCTAAAGTGACAGGTCGCAAAGCAGGACTGTATTGACGTCACGGTATTCTTAACTTTCCACCGAGAATATCTCTGGAAAAATTGGACAGATATATTGAACCGTGACTTGCATGAAAGGCTAGCACAAATTCATGATGAAAATGGCGCGAAACCACCCCGATGTTTCGGATAAGATCGCACAACTTGGGGAGATGGAGACAAGTTCGCCGAATCTCTCGCTCCCAATGAAATTTAGACGCAGTGCACGAATGCCTGGCAGTCACTCCCAAGGGTGCACAACTCTGTAGTCCCTACTTCAAGTCCAAACGATGCAGACTTTGGCTGGGACCGCCGCGGATGTGCAGCCGAGGGTGCGCCTAGCAGGATATGTTGCCTGATTTGGTTTTTTGTGCGTTCCTAGTATCTTCGGTATCTTTTCATTAGAGCTCCTCGGTACATCGTAAGAGAAATTGATCTTATTTACATTGCACTCTTCTCACAAACGACTGACACAAAGCATAGCCCGTTTCTTACCCTCTGCATCGGCAGGCATGATGGTGGTGGCGAACATAGTTCGCATGCTCATCGCTGGGTCCTCTGGAACCTCGAAAACGAATTTGGATATGAGCTCGGTCAAGATCACCTGCATCTCCAAGACACTGGAATAGATCAGTCAGTCAGTCAGCGTCGAAAAGCGATGCCTGAGAGCTTACGCAAAACGCCAGCTGAATGGCATCAGTGATCAGACACAGGGCAGCCATGGATGCATAGGTCAAAGACTCACCCCAAGCACGTGTGAGGACCGGCGTTGAAGGTCAGTCTGCAGCACACCATGTCAGAAAGATCCGGCAGCGTATGAAAGTAGGCCCCAGCCAGACTCACAAATTGGCGTACGCGCTCGAGATCATCGGTTCCCCATTCGCCGCCACCTTGCCATCGATCCACCGATTCGGATCGAACATTTCAGGCTCGGGGCCCCATCGCCCCTCCGATCTGAATCACACGGTAAACCAGAGGAGGAGGATGTGTATATGGAGAGCATCCCTACCTCTGATACGACGCACTGCTGACAGTGATCCACTGGCCCTTCGAGACGACCAGCTGCTGCACAGTTTCTCCGTTCGACAACTGTACCGGTGCGCTCAGTGGGATCGTCATGTCATGTGCAGCTATCCTGTCCATGAGAGCCTCGGCCGGATACAAACGCAGCGCTTCCTGGGTTCCATGAGCATTCCAATGACCGGCATCACATAGCCTAGAGCAAACCTTGATGACAGCATTGAGCACAGGCATAGCATCGTATCGGATCTCCGTGTCCTGGACGGCATCCAACACTTCCGCTCGCAGCCGAGATTGGACCTCAGGGCGTTGCGCGAGCTCATAGAGCGCGAACGTCAACGTGTTTGCCTAATCGACGTCAGCAAGTGACCAGGAACCAGGATTAAACGACCGGACCGTCGTGTCCTGGCCAGCAACAAGCAGTACACTAGTTTGTGCGGCGAGTAGCTCGGGCCGGAGGGATCTCTTTGCGTTCTCCGTCACTTCAATTGAGCATCAGCACCCTATCCAGCCTCCGGATGCGATGTGCCAAGGCGCTCACAGATCTTCCCGAACAGGTGATCATCCTCTTTCTGCTCCAGAATCCCCGCGTCGAGGCGGGCTCCGATCATCTTCTTCCCGACCTGCTCCGCGAGCGTTCTTCCTTGATGCACAGCGCGGAAGCTCTGGGTGGGGAGACGCATGAGGTATCTCGGGAGCCGAGGGAAGACCGCAGAGAGAGCATCCGTGAGGAAGTTCACCCGCCCCAGTCCGGACGCGAGTGCACTGGCAGGCCGGCGAGTAAGTAAACGGGTGCACCCAGAAGAGATGAAGGAGTGTACATCACTTGTGAGTTGATTCGCACAAAATCGGGCCCGAGGTCTTCGAGCGAGAGGCCGAGGACGACTATGAATTTACGTGATCAACCTCTGTTCTGAGAGTGAGAGTTTCTAGTCTAGATACCCTGTGAGATGGCCGCCAGCGTTGCCTCAGAAAGCAGGGGAGAGACGTTGACTGGAGCATTCTTTCGCTCTGTCAAGGCTTTATCCAGAGATAGAGTGACCTGTAAAGCCGAGTATGAGTGAACTGATTGGCGACGAACTCGATCTCACTGACGCCTTGAGCAACGGTTTCGAAGACAGCAAGATAGCTCTTGACGACTGCGGTCGTGAAGCCTGGGTTGAGAGCGGCTCGAAGTTGCCTGTGGGCCTCTCCTACAAGAAGAAGACAAGGATGAGAATCTGAGTGCTGGAGCCTATGAATGAAGACTCGCCTCTTGAGGCGGACACATTGTCATCCCCGTAAATGGCCGTATCGATCGCCATGAACATAGGCGAGAAGTGCACATCGTCGCCGCGGAACATGTGGTTGATTGCCACAGGATCGGCGACCATGACCCGCTTTTGCTGTGGGGTCCCGTTAGTATCGGTCAGCGCTTCGACCAGCGGAGAGAAGTGACGCACGCCGAGCACACCACGTAACAGGTACACCGTCCCGTACTCCTTCAGCCACTTGAACTCGTTCTCTCCGTAATTGAATGTGAGGTAAAGCTGGGGGAGATGTCCTGCACACGGCGTCAGGATCAGGATTCAGGTAGCGGCGGCGGCGCGGATGAACCTACCAAACAACCATGACTGCGAAGGGGGACCGGGAAGACGGCTGAGATTTCCCTTATCCCCAAGGATCCATCGGACGACCAAGACGCCTAGCAGTGAGAGCAGGGACAGGGATGTCAGACTCAAGACGCTCTGCATAATTGGCAACTCGGAGGGAGACGGATGTGACTTCTGCGGCACAATCTCACTTTAAAGAAGATATGCTAAGGGCGCCTTAACACCATCCATGTCTGTCTCCGTGACATCGTGGCTCTCAGCACTTGAGGGCCAAAGTTAAAGTAGTGGGTGTAGTGTAGGTGATGCCATGGCAGGTGCGCTGACCTAATTGATTGATGTCGCTTCACTTTGCCACCCACTATGGCATTGTGGAGTCTCCTATCCTCCAGATGCCTCCATCCTCTCTGATTCTGAAACAGCGCTGGCTCGTCCAAATGACGCCGAGGAGAAAGATGGCTTCATTCATGCTGTCTATCAGTCCGAAGCTGTCAACTAACCAGTCCCATGTGTTGTCATGAGAAGTTTGTGCCCCTGATCTGCGGATCACTGCCCTTCTACTTGGATGAAAGGCTTCTACTTACCGGTATGAGCGAATGCTCACAGGATTCACTCCAGCCGCCATTCGAATGCACCTTCGAAATAGATCACAATTTTCGCGTAATAAATAACGTTATACATACACATATCCAGAAGTCTGAAATATCAAGAAGTATCGCCTCACGTAACAGACCGTAGTATGCAATGTACATTGATCCCACCATATCCTAAACTCGTCACCGAGCATATCACACCGTCCGGGGCTTCGGGAATAGCCGTTTCGCGCTGAGCCACAACTGCCTCGGCAAGGAGCGGCAAATCGATCGACGGGTTGAGTCTCTCGAATGACTGCAGAGGTGGTATGCAGCGGTTGGCGGGCTGGAAGGACTGCAGAAGCTTGATCACAGAGATCAGACCCGAAGCGGCCTACCGAATTCGCTTAACATCGTGCGCCTGAGAGAGGGGAGAGAGAAGACGCGACGAACCTCGCAGTTTCCCACATTGCCTTTGTTGGAGCCAAACGTAAACCGGCTGGAAGCAACCCCGAGCTGGGACCGTGCTTTCACGAGTGCCTCTAGTTCCAGCGCATCCCCGATTCGCGTTCCGCTTCCATGCATCCTGAAAATCAAAATCAAAACGATGCTACCCTGGAAAACTCGATCTCGATACTCACTCGGCGTAGGCAAGCTTGGCTGGATCCAAACCACAGTCGCGCCAGGCCTGTTTGACCACTCGGATCTGTCCGAGGGTGCAGGGCCCTGTGGGTCCCAGCTTTCCCTCACTTCCATCGGATGCAGCCGAGATCCCGCTGATCACGCCATACACCGTTCCTTTTGAGTCTCCTCCGGGCGTCTGCTGCTGCTCGCGGCACAGCACTAGAGCGCAGACGGCTTCCCCCGGGACGGTGCCGTCGGATCTGTCGTCGAAGGGGCGGCAGTGGCCGGAAGGGGAGAGGATCTTGTTGGGTGCTGTGAGGTAGCCGGTACTGGATGCGCGGCGATCAGCACTCGCGTTTTTAATCCGAGCGATGCGGATGAGACTTGCCTGGTTGCAGAGACGCAGACCGCGCCGACAACAGCGACGTCGCAGCGTCCGAGTCTGAGATGGTCGACGGCGAGGGACAGCGCGACCATTCCCCCGGAGCAGGCGGCATCCAGAGTCACATTCGGGCCTTGGAGGTTCAAGTCGTATGCTGTGCGCGCGGATATGGACGGCGCATCGTGTTTGTTATCTGCCGCTCAGTTGATCAATGAAACCGAAAATGCAACACATCCGCAGCCTTACCTCCGATGCCAGAGACACCGACATATAAGCCGACACGATCTGCGTCGTATCTATCGAGATTGATCCCGGCGTCCATGAGGGCCTCCGCGGCAACTTTCGTAAACAACCCTTGTCCAAATCTGACCGGCGTCAGCCACACGCCACTGGCTTTGAAACCGCGCAATTAACGCTTACTCTGCGACCCCTTTCCTGCGAGGTCCGTGTTCCAGCAACATGCCGCGTCGGGGGACATAGATCTCCGAGTCATTCATCGTGTGATTCACTCGCGAGTGGAAAGTCGATATAGCCTCGGTGCGGTTCATCATCATCTCGTGCAGCGCTGCGGGAGATGCAGCGCCGGGGAACCGGCCCGCCATCCCGATCACAGCAATCTCGTTCCCAAGCAGCTTGGGGCGGGAGGTTGATTGAGCTGCACCCGGAGCTTCGGAGATGGATTGCGGATGGTTGGTGATGTTGCGGATCAGCTGAGCTTGCTGCTCGATGGTCTTGTGCTGGAACAGATCGATCAGCGAGAGTTTCCCTGCGGCCGTGGGGAAACGAGTGCGCAGTGACGCATGGATTTGACTGAGTATGAGACTGAAGGGGATCAAACTAAGCTCAGAATCTGTGTGGTCACTCCGTACCTGTTTCCTCCGATATCGAAAAAGTCGGCATCGTCGGAGAGGCGGTTCTCGTTAGAGCTTCCTGGGCTCGGAAGATGGTGCATCCAGATATCATGCACTGCTTGTTGGATTTCATCCCTGAAATGATACTTGTGAGTGCTAGAGACGATGAAACATGAAGACTCCTGAATCTACCTCTTTGCTTCTAGTACTACTTGCGAGGGTGCGATATCAGAAACTCGCACTCCGAGAGCCGGAGAGTTCCCGATAAGCGCATCCATCATCTCACCCACCCTCTTGTGGTCGGTCTTGCCGTTCACGTTGAGCGGGAACTGGCTCACAGGTACCGAAAACACGGCGCTCGGCACCATATACCCGGGAACGCGCTCTTTCAGAACACGCTTGAGCACTTGGACGTCCGTGTCGGGCATCTCTGGTGCAAGGAACACGCAGAGGCCGTGCCTAGGATGCGACTGCGCCGAGACGGCGGTGGAGAGCGATGCTGCGGACGCGACGTGACGCTCGACGTCCGCGAAATTGATTCTGTGGCGTCGAATCGATTAGTTTCGCGACGGAGCTCGAGCTTCGGACGCGAACCTGAATCCACGGATCTTGACCTCTCTATCAACACGTCCAAGAAGCATGACGCTACCGTTCGGGAGCATCTTCCCTCGGTCTCCCGTCCTGTAAAGGCGCGCCCCAATGAGCGGATGGACACAGAATCGGTCAGCTGTAAGGTCCGGCCGGTTCCGGTATCTAAGCGAGATAAGATAAGTGATCGGTCGCGAAGATAAGATCCGAGATGACAGACCCTCGACCGACTTGGGGTCCCGCAATGCAGATCTCACCCACCTCCCCGTTAGCCAGTGCGGCAGCATGAAATTTGTCCTCTGAGCAAACGTAGAACGACATCTTATCGTGTGCGTGTCCGATGACGCAGGCAGGCACTGGCGCCGTCTCACTTTTGGAGATGCGAGGATAGGTGTGGTGCGACATCACCATGGCGCTGCGAGTTTAGATCAGCTTTGCGAAAGAGGAACTCTGATTGGAAGCGCACCATTCAGTCGGCCCGTATGCATTTTGCACGACAACGCCCCTCTTCCTCCACACCTCGACCAAGCCATCGGGCACCATCTCCCCGCCGACGGACACCACGCGCAGCCGTCCGATCCCCCGATCGCCATCCGCAGGCACGCTCGCGAGCACGCTGGCGGTCAGATTCACGTGCGTCACGGCGTTGCGGACGACGACATCGAGCAGGTACTCGCCCACGAGGGCCTTGGGGTGCGCCGCCAAACACAGGGTCCCACCGAATGCGAGACACGGCGCCCACTCGATGAGTGACGCGTCGAAGGTGAAGTTCGCCCACTGCAGCATGCGCGCGCCAGGGCCCAGCCCGGGCAGGAACGGGGACGCGGAGGAGTGCGAGCCCGTGACGAAGTGCGTGAGATTGGAATGCGTGATCTCGACGCCCTTGGGTTTGCCTGGGAGACATGTTTAGAGTCCAAGCGGACGACGAGGAAGTCAAGTCCCACACACCTGAACTTCCAGAGGTGAAAATTACGTATGCCAAGTCGCTCCCTTTCGTGACCTGGCGTGCTCGTGCGGGAGTCGCCGCTGAGCGAAGATGGTGCTCGACTTCGCGAACGTGGATCACCCGAGCCGAACTTGACTCGACTGGCAAGTCCTCGAGCAACCAGTCAGAATCCTCTCCGTCGACGACGACAAGCAGCGGCCTAGCGACTTCAACGATCTGCTTCGTTCTCTGGCGTGGGTGATCCAGATCCGACACGCAGAAGGCGCCACCGGACTTGAGCACCGCGAGAATCCACACCAGGACGGAAAAGCCGCGCGTCAGATGAAGCTGGATCAAAGACTCTTGCTGGATTTCGAATTCACGCTGTAGATCTAAGCGACAGAAAGCGCTAGTGAGTAAACTAGACTTTTCCTACATGGAAGGAAAACGCACAGGATGCGATACCGGAGCTTCTTTGATCGAGTTCCGCGTACGTCATGGCAGTTTGGCTCTCCGCCGAAAAAAGCGCAACAGCATCCGGATTTTGAGCCGCTTGATAAGTAAACAATTGATGCCACGGGGTCTCGCTGATTTGGTCCTCGTTGTGTAAATCCAACGCAGGTGGGAGGGTGCGAAGATGACGAACGAGGCCAGGGGCCATCGTTCTCAGAGAAAGCGGGCCAGATTCTGGAACGAGTGTGCACAAGGAGGCAAAATCTGACTTGAAGGAGGTCATTGTGGACTCAGAGAAGATGGTTGGATCATAAATGACCTGAAAAAAGGACAATTTCATCAAAACTTGATGCAGATCTTGTTTCCCAACCTGCGACTCACCCCGAGCTCAACCGCATCTACACCCTCCAGGAAGCAGAAGAACAAGTCGTGTGCACCTTCCACAGGCAGCAGCTCGCACTCGTTTCTCGCGAGACGGGGGGACAGGGTCACCGCGACTTGTGATCGAGGGATCTGCATCCCCTCCACTCTAGCGGCGTCCTGTAGATCAAGCAGGCTGAAAAGCTCGTGCCTCTTCGCAGCGGACACATATTCTGAGATCTGCTTGACCAACATATCAAACGTGCCGGCCCCATCCGGCCCGAGAACTGCGGTAAACGGAACGCGAACAGGCAGCGCGTTGACGAAATGCCCGAGCGCGTGTCCTAGGCCTGCAGGCCGGCCAGCAAACGCGGTTGTCAGCACAAAGTCCGCGGCGTCCTCGCATCTGGGCGGGGCGCACTTTGACCGCACCAGGACGCCGATCGCCGCGAGCATGACTCGGAACCAGGACGTGTTGTACCTGGCGCTCCACTGTCTGAGGTCCTGGAATCCGGATCAGCGTTGGTGATTTAATTATAGGGATTGCCGGTGCTATGACGACTGACGGCTTTCGAGAACAGGGTCCATGTTTCAATCGCGCGGTAATCTCTAGCTGCGTCGGACATAATGGACCGGCCATTCTGTGGCGTGGCAGCGGGATTCAGATTACCATCTGGGCTGCATGACACATGCCCAGAGCCATTGTTGATCCACCGAACGGGTGCTGTATCGCGGACTTGACTAAGCCAAAAGTCGCGCGCTGCGGGCTCGGCGGCAGCGTAGGCGGCCTGGTCATTCGCCGTGTCAGCCCGAAGTTTCTGGGAATGATGCGGGAGCTGATCCTCACCCGCAAGATAGTTGCTGTATCCCCCATTGAGCGCAAGCCACAGTCCATCTGATCCCAGACAGGATCCGACGGGGACGCCATGAACCGCAGCATCTCATCCGAGAGAATGCTCATGCTCGTCCCGTCCAGCGCGATGTGGTGCGCCACCACATAAATCGACATCATCTCGGGCCCGAGGACAACAAACCAGCGCACGGCGAACTCGTCCGAGAGGGGAACTGGCGCGCGAAGCCGGTTACTGAAATGAACCGGAGATGTAACGTGCAGTATCTGGATCTGGAGATGCGCAACCGCAACATTAGGTGCCCATTCTGCAACATAAGGCTCTGCATGCCGAACATCGGCATCGTGCCAGGTGCTGCGAAGAGCGGGATGACGTCGCACGAGGTGTGTGATTGCTGCAGATTGTCGTCAGCTGAGATCTTGTTGAACGATACGAGAAGAGCACTTGCCCTGGAGAGCAGTCTCCAATCTGTATTCTGAGCGATCGAGCTCGAGCTTCATGGCGAGATTGTACATGGAATGATCAGGCGACATCTTGTAAGCGAGCCACAGTCCGAGCTGCGAACGGGACATGCCGTATGTCGCGAGATCGTCAGGTGCGCGGTTCAAAGATGGAGACGAAGGTGCGGGGCCAGTAAGAAGATGCATTCTGGGTTTGGAGCTCGAGGTGCAGTGACTAGGCGAGCATATCGAAGGGCGTATTTAAGCAGCCCACAACACACTGCCTCTCACGACCCATCTTTCCGGGAAGTTGGAGACCCGGCTAGCATTGGCATTGGAATGCAGCAGAACTAGACCGGGACACGGGTGCATCGTGGTTTCATGCATCGAGAACAACACACAGAGACATTCCAGGAACAGTGGCATCGGAGCGCTGGGTACGAGATGATCGGACGGCAGACACGGAGTGACGCTGTGCGCTTGTAAAAAAAGGCAGCAGCCGGTTGTTCCCAAGCGCCAAAAGCCACCACATTAGCGGGTGACACCACTGCGCCGCCGTGTGGGCAATGCAATGTACAACTTCAATAAACGCCGAGAGAACGCCTAGACGGATCAGGTGCTAAGGCCATTGCAGAAGTGTATGTGCGAGGGAGATGGAGACCGTGTGCGTAGAGCAGCATCTTGCGTCGCAACGGGATGTCGGCCCGGTGCGTCATCCAGATCACATCGCCCATTCAGATCTGTGCTCGGCGAATATCTCCGTGGGAGAGCCTCTTCGGATGCCTACTCTGCACCTTTGTGAGGGAGGTACGCACATCCGGGGATACAGGTCGATGAGTCACCGGATTTTCCGAAGGCGTTCCGTCAGGGAGAAAACGATCGCGGCTGTATCCTGGACAGATGAGGAAACCTTAAGGTCTGAGCCTGTAGCGATGGAACGCACCAAGGCTCTTGACGCGGCTGTTAATGACTTGAGGTTGTCGTCTGTCCACCGAACGTCACAGAGTTTATCTGCTTCTCCGGTGGACACTAGCGTCGCCACAGATGAGCCGCGCTCCATTAATTCCAAGCCATTCCCATCTCTGGATGCACACTCTCACCACATCGGATAATTCGGATTTTGGATCCGAATTGGAGAACAGACTAATGGCAGTTGAAATTGCGGCGGTGAGCATGAAAATTGAGGCGAGTTGAGCCTCCGCAAGATTTATGTACGATTGAAGGGCCCGAAAAAGGAGACATGGTCTATTTTGGTGACTTCTATCATGATCGGGTGTCAAAGGTTCACCTGAAGAAGTTCGTCATGGCGCGATCGCTCGGGAATTCCCGCTGTGAGGAAGTCAAGCGTCGTGTCGGGGTTGCGGCGAACGGCTGCTCGTCGTGCATAGCAGAAATCGAGGCGCCCGCACTGGGTAAGTAGGTATCATTCTGTGCCGTACACTCGGCTGCACTACAGTAGCTTATCTTCCAAGCTCGAAGCGTGGACATTGAAAGCATGCGAAGCACGCATCATATTCAAGAGAACATTGCTTGAAGAGCCAATCACATACGAAGACTAAAAATCGCACCGGCCCTTCCACTTCTTCACTAGGTTCGGATGGGCCGATTGCACGACTGAGAATATTCAACATGCATATATGAGATCTAACACCTCAAAATGAACCTTCTCCTTTAGTGCTCTGACAAGTTTTATTCGTGTCAGTCTTGCCAAGAACCTTTCTAGACAAAAGACAGTGTGCATTTAATGTGCGCAGATAGAGGCTAAAACGCTAGGTCGACAGCCGAGGAACAGCAGGAACTGTTCGAAGTCGCATTATTTCTAACGCTGACGTATCCAACACTTTGACAATCCAGGCGGCATGCACCCCGGTGCGGGTTCTCTGCTTCAATTATCAGCAGTCCAGACCGGTCCAGATTCGTCATTTTTTTTTTGCGCGGGACGACACGGAAAAACGGCAGTGTCACGAGACAAGTTTTGATTTGTTGTTTCAGAAACACCACCCCGAGGTCAGGAGACACACTTGCGGACGAGGAGGATCGATCACCTGGGCACATATCTGCCTGCGATTAAGGACGATCTCGATAATCCAGGTAAGATGCTCCATGATCAGTGGAAATGGATCAATACACGAAGCCTCGATTTGTACAGGAAGCGACCTGAAAGGTTTTGGAGGACCGGATATCTCCGCCACGGACGATCAGGATTTATTACACTGCTGAATGACATCAGCGCACAACGAAGATCCTTCAATCAATAAATACTACGGGGAGTCTCGGAGTGACGATATCTGATAGCGATCTCCATCTCCCTCAGAAAAAGGTTTCTCGTCGATGACAGCGGTTTCACACGATCGCAGAGTACAGGGATAACCTCTTTCCGTGGGTTTGCCGCTTGAATGAAAAGATGAAACTGTCGACAGTTGATCGGCGTGTGGTGCGGCGCACTCCGGGACTAGAAAATTTCCGAGTTCGCGTCACTGCCTGACCGGTTTGAGCGCGGTGTTTGACCTGTGATAAACGAGAACAAGGATGCTGCACTACCTGACCTGGCTTCAGTTTACCCGGATGTTGCCACATTTCTCATTTTCAGATGCGCAATTGGCATCGACGAATCGATCACAACGGCCTGCATGGGAACGGTGGGGTCTGTGCCGCGGACAGGGGTGTCGAGCTTTCGTCAATCAATAAGTACGACAGAAGTCAAAAAAGCGGATACAGTAGCTTCGTAGATGTATACAACAAATGCAGTATTCGTGAGGGTAACCATAGTAGACCAGTGAAAAACTATGAGGAAGTGTTCCGACGTATGTAGCAAGTATCAAGCATCACTCCACGAAAAGGCAATGTCCAATGGGTCTTCGGTGTCTGTGCTGTCTGCGACGGGGATCGCCACAGTAGGATCCGCCGTAGTCTTTGCAGAACGCATCAACAGGAATCCGGGACACACAGACGGTGAACTCACCGTGCGCGATGCTAGCGGGGCACACGAGACTGGGGACACCTTGGCATCCACATCTTCAGGCTTGTGTTTGTCCTGACTCCCACGAGAAACGCTCTCCTCCTCTTCTTCCTCCTCCTCGTCATCGCCATCAGACTCAGCAGCACTCTCCTCCGTCTCTGTCTCGCTTTCCGGCCACTCACTCTCCGCCGCGGTGAATGCCGGGCGCCGCCATGTGCTGCCCAGATCCGGATGCATGTGCTGCTGCGCGCCGTGTAAGGCCGAGAAGCGGTTGTCGCGATAAGCGGACGAGCCATCGAATTCGGGCCGGCGGCGGGACGACGAGCGCGATGTGTTGGGTGACGAGAAGCGCGAGTCGTAGCCCAGTGTCATGCGCGAGGCTGGGCGCACCACCGCCGGGGTCATCGTGAGGATGGGCGGGCGGCGGGACAGAATGGGCTGCGATGAGAGGACCGGAGAGGTCGATGGTTTTGCGGCGGGTGTCGGCATGTCCGCGTCAATCGCAGGTTCTTGATTGGGAAGGACGGGAGAGACCGGTGTCGAGGATGACGGAGAGACGACTTGGAGCACAAATGGCGCTCGGGCAGTCAGGTTGACCATTTTGCTGGTGGTGGACCGCGTTCAGAAGGCGGCTCGAAGACGTGTCTGCACGCGTACCTTTCCTTCGCACGTACTATACTTCCATAGCGCTCTTGCAGTTTCTGGTGGTCGATTCCGTCGTTTGATGGGGGCAATCTATGTCAGAGAGGGGGAGGCTGAGAGTCTGACGATGCGCGCAGCGCTGCACACGCACGACGTGAGGTCTTCACTGGCGCTCGTCGGGATCAGGTTCGTCGTCTCGGTCGGATTCGCCTGCACGCGGGTCAGCCCTGCTTCCATCTTCTAGAAGCGCAGAGGGGATGACGGACATCAAGAGGAGCTCGTCCATGGCGCGGGCCTTTGGCGCGCGGAGCCAAGCAGCACGAGAATAGAGTAGCAAGCATTACGACGAGGACATGCGGGGAGGAGGAGCAAGTGAGGAGGAAACTTGTTCCGAGGAGAAAATTGTTAGTGAAAGGGCCTCGCCTGAATCGGACCGGGGATGATCGATGATGATCGATCAAGGCTCAGCGTCGCTTATCTTGTCTCGACGCCTTCGTGATTTCATTTCCAATCAACGGGCGCAGCCAGCAGCAAGTTGCTTCAGGAATTCCAGAGTACACCTCAGGAGGAATCTGCAAAGGGAAAGCGTCAAATACAGCGCGTTATCTCTTTTTGGTTGAGGAGATGCTACCCCCTTTTCGATCTAATCTTATCTCAATCGACGATTTCCTTATGCGTCACACTTCGCTGATCGCTGGTCAAGCAAGTAACTTCCAGAGTCTCAAGCACAAAAACTCAGATAAATTCACTTACCAACAGCACAAGTGGCTTGTTTTTTTTTGTGATGCCCCCCATGTTTCTTTCTTTCGAATTGATGAATTAAGCGCCCGTAAAGCAATCGACTTGGAGAAAGTCGTGTCGACGATTCGGATAAATAAGAGCTGGCATGAGTCGAGTCATGTGCGAGATGGATAAACAGCCGCAACGGACCTGCTGGTCTGACAAACAAGTGCTTGGAAGTGATCATTGATATTGAGCGGCCTCGAAGCCTTGTCGTCTTGCAGCCTCAGGGTTGGTCCTGCTCGACCTGCAGATTAGCTTGAGTGGTAAATAGTCTTTGACACGTACAGACGATACCCAAGCCCTGTGTAGTGCCTGGAAGCTCAGCGCGGCAACCCTAACCCATAATCGAGTCCTCCACTGCTTTGACCAGAGGGCCAGACATCTCAGCCAGTTGCGACGTACTGCGTTCGATAAGACTTTTGGGCACCCGGTCCATGTCTCCTTTGGCTTTGCCATCGATCGGCCCGACCTGCTTTCCCGGAAGTTTTGATCGTCTTCCTCGACCAGAGCACCAGACGACATCACACCGCCCAAGCAAATGAGGGGAGACTTCATGATACGATGGGCCTGGAACTCAGACATGAGTGCGGAAGGGTAGACGACCTACGAGCTACTTGAAAGCCATATTCCTGGCAGCGGTACCGTCGGGAGGGCTGCAGCATCAGATTTTGCATCGAGAAAGGGAAGGAGGGGGCAGGAGGAGTACGGGATGGTGGCGGCCGACAAAACGCCAGTGGCTGGAACGCTCGTTTCTATATCCACTGCAGCGCTGGGATGGAAGATGCGTGTGTGCTGTGTGGCAGCAGCGCGGGTGATTCATGGTGGTGCGTTCGCTCTTACATCTCGGTCTTAACGACGACGCATGTCTTCAGCAGGAAACGACCAATTCGCTCAGTGTACATTGGAAACGCATGGGTACATCAGGGACGAGGAGGCAGGATTACATATGCGGACGAGGGACGTCCGTTGGGCAAATGCTTGGGGAAGAGGTGAGCAAATTCCCACATACGGAACAAGGACGAGGACCCACTGACCCAGTAGTTTACAATTGCAGTACTTCTTCAGCCCCCTCTTCAAGCAGACGACGGCCGCCCACGCTTTTTGGTCCGCGGCTTTTTCGCGCCCGTCGTCTCGTCCCCGGACAGGGCGTCTGCACGCGGATCGGATTCGTTTGCTTTCCGCTTTGTCGACTTTCTGCTTGGCTCGGCGTAGTACGCAGTGAAGCTTTTGAGCTGGGCCTACAATCCGGGCGGGCGGGCGGTCGTCAATACCATGCTTGACTGGGACGCAAGAACGGCACTGCATACCTCCGTGCCAGCTTTCAGCTGCAACCGCTTCTTCTTGATTTTGGGGCACCGCTCGCGGTGCTTGGTCCAGGCATATCCATAGAAGTCCTTGCGGCCGTCCAGCTGGAAAGGCTGCCCGCACGCCCGGCACAACGCGCACCTCGCATGGAACGATTCCACCCAGGGATCAGTAGCAAGGATCCTGATCCGCTCAGCCAGTGTATGGCTGGTCTTCGTCTTCTTCCCGCCTCTTCTAGCCGGTGGATTCTCAAGGCGCCGCCGCACCTGTTTCGAGACAGCAGTAGCCCAGCCTGAGTCGGTATCGTTCTGGAACACGGTGCAGTACCATACGACGCCGTGCTTGTCGATTCTGCGCACCGGCGGCAGTTGGCAAGGCTCGGTCTTTTCTCTGCGTAGCGGAGGGGAAGCGGAGTCTGTCTCGGATGTCGCCGAGTGGGCACTCGACGGTCCGGAGGGAGTCTCCGCAGAGAGACTGGTCGTCGGAGATGACGACGTGGGCGGAGGAGCTCTTCTCGTCACCGGTAGCAAAGACTGCGTTTGTGGGCTCTGCCACCCAGAAGTCGACATCGGCGACAGAGAATGATCTGCGGAGACCAGAGATGCTGGGCCGGCCGACTGTGGATTGGACGCCGGCATCGGATTGTATCTGGAGCACAGAGACGCAAGCTCGGCGAGCTGTGATCGAGCAGAATCTGCTGTGAACTGGGGGCTGGTGTCGACTCGTGATTGGCTCGAGAATCCAGAAGGTACATCGACCAACGGCGCGTAGGGACCAACGAGATTGGTCTCTATCTCGTCGGGGGATGGGTCCTCCCATACACGGAGATGGCGCAGCCTGGGGATGGAGGATCGCACTCTGGGGATGTAGGATCGCGCTCTGGGGATGGATCGCGCACTGGAAAGAGAATGACGTCGGCACAATGCTCAAGACGACATCGATGGCGTACCCAGTATCCTCCATGGCACTATGGACGGCTATATCTCGTTGGCCCATCCGAATCTGATCAAGATCGTACCCATATCCCTCGGGATACCTTGAAGACGATGAGGGAGCGAATGCACGGGCGTTACTCGGGCTCTTACGCAGGATTCAGATCCAACGGCTCTAGACGCATCGTCATGCTACTCTCCAACGTCGGAACTGCGGCCTGGGGCAATCTGTTCTCTTGTCAGCTCCCGGCGCTCTGAATCTTCACAGGGGACCCACTGTGACACTGCCCTGCCACATTCTGCTGCATGGCTGGCTTTCAAGGCCGGCAGCGCGGAGAGATGGCTGAATGAATGGATGTGCATGCATCCCCGCTGTCCGCAGGGTTCCTGGTTCACCCACATATGGGTGCCAGTGGATGCCCTGGCCATCAATGTCTGCTGATCAGTACTCGGATGCTGCTGCGAACGGTTCATCGACGGCGGATGCTGGGTTGAGGGCGGGAGGAGACTGTGACGGGGGCTGCCACCACCCTCTAAGGCAGAGCGATTTATGAGGGAAGAGGGCAAGTCACCTCACTGGTTGTTGATTGTGCGAAGCAGCATGTTCTTGTCTCCATTGGGACCACAATGATCTCGTCGTCCTTTGTTTGTTTTTTATCATCACGCTCGAAAGCCCTGGCCTCCCTCCGTTTATGGTCTATCGCTGGCTTTTTCCGGAACTCGCATCCTTTTTGCTTTGTCTCTTATCCTCTGGTGCGACCATCTCATTGCGGCCCTCCCTGATTTTCTGTTGGCGCCCCACGATCGCACCCCAACACGTGGGGTTCGGCACACTCCTTTTCCCCGAGTCAAGAAGGCCGGCTCTTTCCGCTTCGGGGCCAAAGGTCGAAACCAATCATTTGTCTTGCCAGCGGATGGCCCGTCCACCCACAGTGCCGACCAGGAGATATGCCCCGCGCGGCCGCGCCCTCGTCGGTCCACCCCTGGCCCCCGTCTCTGCATGGGAAGTGACTGCTCCCGGGCAGGCTCGTGCCAGCGACAGTGCATGAGATTGCACGCGGTGGCGAGTGTGTGTGTGTGCGAGATAATGAGCTGAGATCGACCGCCGGCGTATCGGATTGGCCTCGTGTCTGGGGTAGCGAAGATGGCGTCGGAGCTTCAATTGCTACAACTACTTTCTACTGTCGGTCCTCTGTTCACCGAATCCATACAACCACCCTCTGCTCGAGCAGAATGCTCTCGCCGTGTGCTTGAGCTCCATTCTTGGCCCGCCGAGACACGATTTTCAGACGGTCTTACAGGTGGCAGTGCTGCAGCGATTACGAGAGCTCACAGATGCACACCTGAAAGGTGCCATCGAGTTGAAAGATGGCTTCCCAACTTGTTTTTGCCGAAAAAATGAGCTGGTCTTGTCACTGCAGGGGGACTTAATTTTTTTCCGTGGAAAATGCGTGACAATCTAGAAGTCCGATTTTCACCGTTCTGTTTTCAGACAAAAAATATATATTGAAAATAGACGTCGATTTACAGCTCGATTTTTACCATGAATAGACATCTATTCCTCCCGAAAACAGAACTGTAAATAGATCATCTTTTTCTTGATCGATTCCCACCGGGAATAGACGTCGATTTTCACTGGAAATAGAGACAAAGAAAAGATGATCTTTTTTCACTGAAAACAGATTAAAACCACTGGAAGAATCTGTTGATTCTGGCCCCAATTTGCATCCCTAGCCTTGCAAAAGGCTACTGGATGCTACTCACAACATGTTGGAATCATGCTGCAGGACTTGTGATGTGAATTGGGGCCAGAATCAACAGATTCTTCCAGTGGTTTTAATCTGTTTTCAGTGAAAAAAGATCATCTTTTCTTTGTCTCTATTTCCAGTGAAAATCGACGTCTATTCCCGGTGGGAATCGATCAAGAAAAAGATGATCTATTTACAGTTCTGTTTTCGGGAGGAATAGATGTCTATTCATGGTAAAAATCGAGCTGTAAATCGACGTCTATTTTCAATATATATTTTTTGTCTGAAAACAGAACGGTGAAAATCGGACTTCTAGATTGTCACGCATTTTCCACGGAAAAAAAATAAGCCCCCCCGCAGTGTGTCATACTTTCTCACAGGTCAGGTGTCACATCTGCCAAAAAACAGGAGGACTCGGTCACGCAACACATCAGAGCATCGTGATCTTTCCATCCTTCCTCAACTGGGGATCTTGCTGACTCGGGAACGCTCTTCTTTTTTCCGCACGGAAAGAGGAAGGTTCTCTGCTTGGCCCATATTGCTGATCATAAACCACTCCATCATGCGCGTCTGTCAATTTACCTCAAGTCGCCTGGTTTGTTCAGCTGCGCCGCATGCTCCATACGCCAGAGGCCGTTTTCGCAGACTGTCAAGACGAAACAGAACGATTTATGCCGCTGGGTAATCGGGAGGTCTATTTGGTTCAAGGTCACGACTCAACTTGCTCACTGCGTCACCCAAAGTGGCCGCCCCCACTCCAATGTCGAAGGGGGTTTCCGACCCGGTTCGCGCTCTGCTCCAGGTCCAGACTGGATACGACTGATCAGGGTCTGCTCCAAAATATTTCTCGACCCTTTTCTCCTTATTCACAACCGCTTCAGTGTATCTACGCCCACTCTTCCATTCAAGTTGCGAAGTCTGCAGAAATCCCCCACCATCCACCGCCCCGGATATCGATCCTCTCTCCACCTTGATGAGAAGTAGCCAGCTCTTTCTTTGGGCGCTGCCACGGATCCAGAATGATTGATTCTCATCCCTCTGTCCTGTCCGAGCGCACGATCCCCAGCAGCTTGTCGCGGCCCCACTCGCAACACGCCTGCGACGCCGTCGAAGCCGAAGGAGCCGAGCGGGATGGCAGTTTCTTCATTGTGTGCTGGACCGGGGGCTACGTGGATCGCACGAGGACAATAATGGCTTATATCATCGAGTCGGCGGGAACATATGGTGTGACGCGTCGTGGTTTCCGTCTGCGACGCAACCTATTGGATGTTGACGAGACCGACTGTAACTTGCGAACTTAATCGACTCGGTTTCCATGGCGAGTTTCGGGAAGAACGCCGCTGCAGGCTTGCGAGGATGTCGTCGACGGGGAGAGTTGGCTTGCGAATTCGCTGGCAGGGTCTGATTCAGTTCGATCTCATTGACGGGACGGAAATCATCAACGCTCTCACATCCCATCTTGCTGAGCACGACCAGAGTGACACCGCACTCAAAACCATAGTTCCACGGTCTCCAGCTCCGCGGGTCGAATGTCGGCGACGGGAGCCCACACCATCTTCAACGCGACTATATCTAGTCTGAATCCATTCTCCGCCAATCAAACAGGATCGTGCGGGTGGCCATGGAATGGTGCCTCAATCCTCTCGCTTTTGGAGACGTATGTCCCGGCTACGATGAACTCAATCGACTGTGCCCAGGTCACAGCTCGCACCTGAGAGTCGGAGAGGAGCGCGCGTTGAACGACTAGTGGATGGATGTTGTCTACACCATGGCGAATCCCCACGCCCTGACGAAAATGGACGCCAGAATCGAAAAATCCTACTGAAGGGTCACGGCCGTCGAGTCCGAGCAAAGCACGCGCCAATTCTGAACGCAACGGATCCAGGAGTCAAGCTCTCCGTAGAGCCGGGACATGGAGCGCTGTGTTCAGGCCAAGCTCGTGCTCGCTGACGACTGCTCCTGGAGGAGTTCCGACTACCCGAGATGTAATCTGGACACGCTTTCCTCAACGCAAGTCGGTTTGGCTCTGCGAACAGTCATTCATTCTATAGTGCTAATGCTATCGACTCACGTCGAGAAAGTCGCTGAATGAGTACGTCGTCGAAATACACATGTATGGACCATCTCGAAATTTGAGGTCTGAACTCTACGATACTCTTCTGGGATGCCTAACTCCACATGGGCAGAGAAAGGTTCTTAGAAAATTGATATTGATAAGAGTGCAAATTAAAATTAAAATTAGCCGATTAATGCGCCTTGCCTCGTGACAATGCGCTCGCACCGATAGCACAGCCTTCGAATGATCAGGAACTTTTTGGTTTCAGACTACGACGTGCGACTAGGCTCTTCCCACATCCCTCCCCCCTGGTATGGAGCAGAACGCTGGCTAGTCGTTTCAAGGGATCCAGCCTCAGAAGCTTAGCGCTATGCTCCTAGCGCGGATGGAACCTCCCATACTAAATGAGCCCGGCTCTGGAAACGGGGTCACAAAACAAGTACTTTGCAGTGCAACAAGGCTACAACCGTCATTCCGCGCCCTCGGATCTTTTCCTTTCCGGATTTCTTCCTGCCCAGACAAGATCTGTCGTGTTTCAACCATCGCTGAGTCCCCGCCAATCACGACTGCAAATCACAGTTCATCATGTCTTGATGCGTATGCGCGGTATAAAACGTCGGGCCGCTTGACGACCATTGCATTCTTTCCTTGCTGCTTCCCTTTCTTCGCTGTTCTTTGGGGTTTCCTTCGTTCTCTTCTTTCTCTTCCCCCCCTTTTCCTCTCTTTATTCCATCGCGTTCTTGTCTTGACGACAGACGCCCGATCTTCGCACAATCCTATTTCTTTTGTCGTGCAACTGCCTTTCAGGATGAAATCCGCTTTCCTGGCTGCACTCCTGGCGATGGCCGCAGGATCCGTGGTCGGTGCGCCCATGGCGCGCGCGGGGAACGGGCGCCGGCTCGCGCCGACGACGCTCACGAGTCTGACGGCGAACGATCTGCAGGCGCTCACGCCGTTCGTGCACTTCGCTGGGGTAAGCATCCGGGTCTCGTGACATCGTCCGATTGCTGACTGGGGCACCTGCAGGCGACCTACTGTATGTTGATTGGCGCGGCGGCCGTATCGGAACATGCGTTGACTGACAGGCTGCAGGTGGACCGGCGGACAAGCTGATGAGCTGGACGTGCGGAGGTGCGCGATGCCAGTGGTTACCGATCCGTGAACCGGGACTGATCGGGTGCTAGCTCCTTGCGCGGCGTTGCCGGGCTTCAAGCCGAGTCTCGCTGGTGGAATGGGAAATGCGGTCCAATTCTGTCGGTCCCCCTACTACGATCGATCGAAAACACACTCTCTAATCAGACCCTCCCAACCCAGTCTTCGTCGGCTACTACCCGACTAGCAAGAGCATCATCGTCGCACACGAGGGCACGGACCCGCTCGCGCTCAAATCCGATCTGACGGACCTGAACGTGCTGAAGGGCTCCCTCAACGCGACGCTCTTCCCCGGCGCGCCTGCAGGGATCGAGGTGCACAGCGGGTTCCGTGACGAACATGCGAAGACGGCGGACGCGATCCAGAGCGAGGTGAAGAAGCTCCTGGCTTCCACCGGGTCAACACAGGTTACGGTCGTGGGGCACAGCCTTGGTGGGGCGCTGAGTGTGTTGGATTCGTTGTCCCTGCGGCTCAATCGTTCGTGCTTGTGAAACACTCTTGAATTTTCAAGTGAAATGTCGACAGTTCCGGACTCGGTGAACGTCAACTCGGTCACATTTGGAACGCCTCGCGTGGGCGACGACGCGTTTGTTTCCTTCTTCGACTCCAAGGTCACAGACTTCAAACGGGTCAACAATGAAAATGTTCGTAGTCTTTCTCCGGTGCTCGACCTTGGCACTGAACAATTTGGCAGGACTTAGTCCCAATCGTACCAGGGCGTTTCCTCGGTTTCTCGCACCCTAAAGGCGAAATCGTGAGCAGCCTCAGTGATCTCCTGTACGAAACTAATGATCCTTTCTTCCCTCAGCACATTGTCGACGACTCGACTCAAAAGGTCGTCGCCTGCCCCGGCAACGACGACGCCACCGACGCAGAGTGCCAGATCAAGTCCGTGCCCAATATCTTGTTCGGCAACATCATCGACCACCTGGGGCCGTACAACGGGATATTCCTCGGCACACCATTTTGCTAAGGGTGTTGCTTGCCCACGAGGAGCGAAAGGAGACTGGATCGAATAGCCACCTAACACTTGATGGCTGTGCTGTTCTTGGGATAATGCATTCAACTTTTTTTTGGACAGCGGTCCGCTCTGGCCGCTTGATAACATTCTCACTCGGAAACCACACGATTCAACCCTCCAGACGGATTTCTCGTCGACCGTGTTTACCTGAGAATATGGAAAGAGCTCGTAATATGGTACTTTGCCCATACCCACTATAGTCCGGTCTCGTCCATATACAACACTCCTGCCACTTGACATTCTCATGTACCGCGGCTGCCAGTATTCATCGCGGATTGACCAAGTGCATTCATGACAGATCCCACTGCCTCAGTCATAGCCGCTGTGCCCTTTGACCACGTCAAATACAGGGCCGCCCTTTTTGTACATCGCACGCAAATCATGGACAAGCGAATCCGGGGCTTCATATGCGGCAAAGTGGCCTCCACGCCCGTGTTTGTTCCGGTAAACAATGTTTCCGGTGGCATTGGTCCAGCTGAGAGAGAGAGATGCAGTGGATGAGAGCACGTTTAGTGCTCGATGGAGAACACATACCTGACTGGAACAATGCCCTTTTCGCCGGGAAAATGAGACATACCCATCGGAATGGTCGGGTAATCTGCGGGTCCATAGATGTCCTTCGTCACATCTGACCGGCCCTCTGCAAACTCGTAGTAGAGGCGTCCGGCCGCAGTGGGCCCGGCACGGGAGAACCAGTAGATAGATATCCAGGTCAGGACTGTCCTCATAATTGACTGGCAGACCACGAAGGATAAAGAAGCACACACCTTCATCGTCATCCCAAGGGTATTGGTCCGTCCATTCTACCAGCTTCTCGTATATCCAGGCCAGCAGTCCGACGGGGGAGTCGGCCAACGCGTAGCCCACGGTTTGAGGTCGCGTAGATTGCTGGGCGAAATAGCCTCGTCCACGGCCGTTGAACCATTCCGTCTCCGCAAGGCCAGCCTTTTCCTCCTGTGTCAGTCCTTTCAAGCACAAAGCCAGCCATGAAAGCGGCTCATAGTAAAGCGTCGGTGGACGGCCCCTAGATTGAATGAGATCAAAGAACGGCGATGCATGGGCTACACACAAGGGGAAGTTGGTGTGCCAAGCTTTATTGTGCTGGTGGCCATAGCGCTTGGCGATGCGGCGAGTGATCTGCGAGAGTATGAGGCGGAAACGCTGTAGATGGTCCCTTGGTCAGCATACAAGGTAGCCCCAGTCGCCTCCTTGTGTGACTGAATAAATTCGTCAGAGTCGAGACGTTTGGAGTCAGGTCATCTAACCGTATTCGTTGTAGCCTAGTGCAAGCATGATTTTGTGGCCAACCTTTGCCTTGTGAGACTCGCAGACATAAGTATGCTAACGTTGCTGATACGAACCTCAGCCTGCTGCGCGATTGCGAATCCTTTTTTTCTAGGGGCCTCGGAGAACCCGTACCCAGCTAGACTGATTGCAACAACGTGGAAACTCGGATGTTCGCTCGAACGCGCGACAAGTAACGGCACTATCTTCCTGGCCTCGAAGAAGCTGCCCGGCCCTAGCGAGGAAAAGCACCAGTCAGTTCACTTGAACATCCGATTCTAACCCGAAACTCACATCCGTGCACGAACAACAGCGGGATCGCGCCCTGCACTACGCTCCTTTGATGGATGTAGTGGATGTTGAGCGTCCCGTGCCCGTCTACCGTGATGTCGCGCGTGAATTGGGGCAGTTCCGCGTTCAGTGCGGCCTCGTGCGTGCGCCAGTCGTAGCCGTCGCGCCACCGGGCGACGAGCCGTTTGATGTTCGCCAGTGGAACGCCGTAGTCCCAGGCCGCCTCATCAAGCTCGTCCGGGAGTCTCGTAGCTTTGAGCTTTTGGTGCAGAATGGCCAGGGCCTCGTCTGGAACGGCTATAGTGTATGGCGTTTCAGACATTGATGAGAGTAGAAATAGTTGCGCGAGCCACGGAAGAGTGGATGGGAGAGAAAGAAAGTTTGAATCTCGTGGAAATTTTGTCCCTTTTTAAGCGAATCGGGTGGGTACCCTGGTTCCGTTGTTGAGGTTCCGCCCAATGGCATATCCTCGGTCAGCCGCACTGGGCTTGATTGCGGGACTGACGGTTACTGGAACACCCCGCAGGCCCGGTATGAACTACTTGCTGACATCACTGCAATGAAGCGACAGAAGCTCAGTAAGACTTGAGGTAGATTTACCCGTCTGTTTCTGATGCGTCGCTGACTAGCCAGGTCACGATGGGATGGAACGATGGACGAGACCAAACACGGACAGCGTGGCATTCACATGTGGACAGTACATTCTTTATTGCAAAATCCACGCATCATTGCTTGCGGATGTCCTGACTTCCTCGTGAAAGAGGGAGTCGAAATAACTGTGCGAGCAGCGATGAAGTGGGGTTGTAAAAGAAGAGATTAGAGTCCCCTGCACACGATGACACTCTGAATATTGTGCGTGATCCCGGATCCGTTTTAGTGGTCCGCTCGGCGTTATGCTGTTGTTAAGCTGCTGCAAAAGCCTCAGTTCGAGCACTGACGGTGGCTGCAATATCGTACAGGCCCGGTGTGAGTTGCTTGCTGACATCGTTGAAATGAAACGACGGAAGCTCGAAGCGCCACGCGTCGCGTCTCTAGGAGCGAACGGTGTGATTCACCACACGGCTGTTCTTCCTTGAGAAATGCTTTTCAGGATTACGGATCGCTTCCAGCTGATTGAAAAACGTTAGACAGTGCACGATTATTTCGATGTGATCGCGGAAAATCCCGTAGCACAGCATATTTCCTCATTCAGTACTTTTCGCTCCACCGCACTCCACGCGACATCTGTTTTTAGCTGGAAGGGACGGACAACCCTGGAATTCCACCGTTCCGTGGATTGGACCGAGCTCGAAAGATGCTGCGTTTGCAGATCCTAGTCGCAGCCGAAATGCAGGAGGCGGATAGACCGCGCGAGGAAATGACAATGCTGTGCTACGGGATTTTCCGCGATCACATCGAAATAATCGTGCACTGTCTAACGTTTTTCAATCAGCTGTCAAGCGAGCCATCACGAGCGTTCCCTGATCGGACCAAACAATGACAACGGGCCCTGACTGCATAGTACCCTTGCGCCTTCATGAGAACTGCACCGACTCTCCGACCCGTCAATGAGAATCTTCCTACCAGACTTTCACCCAAGGTGCGTCGGTGGGCAGCCTCTCACAGAACGCGTTCTCTCCCTCACTGTGATGGTTGTGACAGAAGGCACCTCGGGGCAACCTGTCTTCTCTCTCAGAAGCCAAGCAAGCGGAATTCTGCCGCTACGGAGGTCATTCTCTCTGACGGATCTCTCTTGGCGACCTCCTTTCGGCATTCGTAGTTTAAGCGTCGGCATGGGTCTTGAACGTTGAAGTGCTAGTCTTGGGAAATCCGGTCATTTCAGTTTACGACGCGGTCCGTCTGTGTGGTCGAGAAATTTGTATATAAAGTTTCCTCCTGCGCTGACTCTCTCATTAGAATCAACTCCAGCCATGATCGCAAACATCCTCATCCCCGCTGTGGCTACTCTGCTCGCATCCGTTGTCTGCTACGCTCTCAAGGTTTGGTACACCAACTGGACCTCGCCCCTCCGTTTCATAGACGGTCCGCCATGCGCCAATTTCTTCATGGGGCACTTCGCATTAGTCTTTGTGAGTCAGATGTACCGCAATAGGCCGTTTATGCGCTGATTTGATCTCGTGTCTATGCAGGATGTCCCGGGTATCACGGACCAGTGGCGAGAGCAATACGGCCCAACGTTCATGGCCAAAGGCATCCTCGGCGTGAGTTATCAACAACGGTGGTTTTCTGAAGCTTACCCCGCTCTGGCTTTCAGGAGGACGATCTCTACATCATGGATCTGAAAGCTGTATCTCACATCTTTTCCCACGGCGCCATCTACCAGAAGTCGCAGTCTGCGCTTGCTAACCTGCGCGTGCTCCTGGGAGACGGAATTCTTGCGGTCGAACAGAATCCCCACAAACGTCAGGTAAATTCCATGGCTCATTTTCTGACTCTCGGATCGCTGACGACTCCTGCCCGGTACTCAGCGCAAGATTCTGGTTTGTCTACTAACGGTTCACGTGCGGTCGGAAGTCCGCTAATGCCATGGTGATAGAGCCCCGCTTTTGGTCTTCAGCAGCTCCGTTTGATGAATGAGATCTTTGTGGAGAAAGGGAATTTGGTAAGAGCGCGTTCCGTCAACATCCATGACTTGACTGAGCGAAATCCGAGTTGTGCGACGTGCTAGCGAAAGAGGTTGCTGCTGCCGACGGGGTCTTGACTGCTAATGTGTCGGACTGGTTCCGTCAGATTACGCTGGACATTATCGGAGAGGCTGGTGCGTAGAGCGCACGGAACGCATTGCTAGGCGCGCTTTCTGAGTTTCGCAGGATTCGGATATCAGTTCAACTCCCTGAAGTCGGGCGGCAAAGACGAAGCTGAGTTGAGCGCAGTCTTCTCTCGGTTGCTCAACGACCCCGACGTCAACTTCAATGCCGCCTTCAAGGCCGTACAGGCTGCGATCCCGGTGCTGCGGGCCCTTGTGCGTGACTTTCGTTGACCAAAGAATTGAAGTTGACATGGATGGCAGCCACTCCCTGGATGGACAGTCACTCGTTATGCAAAGAAGAAGTTATACGCCATAGGAAAGGAAATCATGGAAAAATCGAAGGCGGAATCTGCTGCACTCGGGTCTAAGGAGCTGGGATCGGGCCGCGACTTATTGTCGATTCTTATGAAGGCAAACATGTCCAGCGATGTGCCCGCAAGCCAGCGCATGAGTGACGCCGAGGTCATTGCCCGTGAGTGTCCCTGCTTTGCTGCTCTGCGTGGAGGAGACCAAGTATCAACATGTTTGGCAGAAATCCCTACGTTCTTCCTTGCTGGGCACGAGACTAGCAGCCTTGCGCTTGCCTGGGCGGTGCACGCCTTGTCAAACGATCAGACTGTTCAGGAAAAGCTGCGTCAAGAGCTGCTCTCCCTTGCGACCGACACCCCGACCATGGAAGAGCTCGATGCATTCCCGTTCCTCGAGAATGTGCTCAGAGAGACTATGCGGTTATATTCCCCGGCCGTCAGCACTCAGCGTGCGGCGATTGCGGACGATGTGTTGCCGCTTAGCAAGCCGTACATCGACCGTCAAGGCGTCCGACATGACAGTCTTCCGTTCGTTTCCGTTCTTTTATCATCACAGACTTGTGGCACTAAAAGCATCTCAAAATCAACAGGATCCGCAAGGGCCAGCTTTGCACTATCCCGATCTTGGCCATCAACACTAGCAAGGAGCTCTGGGGAGAGGACGCGCTTGAGTTCAGGTGCATTCGGCTCTTTGTTACTGCCTACCTTCGTTCCTTTCTTGACGATCTCACAGACCCGATCGCTGGAACAATCTACCGCAAGCTGTCCACGCCATTCCAGGAGTCTGGGCCCACCAGCTGACCTTCCTTGCCGGCCCGCACAGCTGCATGGGCTTCAAGTTCACCATTGTCGAGTGCGTGTCATTCTCGTCTCCAGCTGTCCTGCGCCTCTGATTCACTGACACACCGCTCTTCTCCCAAGGCAAAAGGCAGTTCTCTTTGGCCTGTTGCGCCACTTCGTCTTCTTCCCCGCTTCCGACGAGGTCAAGCCCGCGATCAGCACAACGTTCCAGCGTCCCATCTCGTATGTTTCGGCTAGTGGAAAGGCGGATCTGGTCTCCACCGGCGGTCTGCGCATCACGATCAAGCCATACAAGGGTGGAGTTGGTGCTTAAATAGTCGATTGGCATACTGTGTGCATTGCGTTTGTCTCGAAGGTTGTCCTCGGAGTAGCTCTCGATTCAATGCGAAATATCGCGTTTCCGCGTGCTTTCCGAAATGCCTCCGTTTGAGCTCAGAGACCCTCAAATTCTGAAGATTGTCACTGATATCGAATGACGCTGGAGTGGTCACTCGTGGTGTGGTGTGATCAGGATGAATGCATCATGTGACTACGAGTGTCGGCTCTGTCAGACGAGGTCACGTGATCCCTACTCCATGTGCCCCCACTTAAAATGGCGACGTCCTCGTTGCCTGCTGCTTGTTTGAGCTCCTCTTCTGCCTGGCGTATTCGCCATCTCTCGACCTCTGCTAGCTCCTCCTTTCTCATGGCCTCCACCTTTTCCTCTTTGACTGTGCCTTTCTCTTCTTCTGCCCTCCGCACTGCTTCCATGAGCTCTTCCTGTGTCCTTGCTAGTGGTGTTCCTGCTCTTGGCACATATCACCTCAGTCTTCTGGCATGGAATGCCCCGTTGATTGTTGCTGCTGTTACCATTTCCAATGTGTACAAGTTCAGCATTCGATTGCTGACTCTGTGCAGCTCCAACCATTGGCAAGTCAGTTTCCGTTTGTTGCTAACCGTGTCTGCAGGGTCATTGCGGTAGACTTGTACCAGGTCCCCTTTCTTGAACATCACCGTTTCTGCCCGCAATGCTAGGACCTTGTGGTCAAATGCTGCTTTGCATCCCAGTGCATACTTTACACGCTCTGCATATCCGTCAAGTCTGACTTGGTCTATGTATGCCATGTGTTGTATTCTCTCTTCTAATGATACCGGTTGTGTTGCTTGCTCTGTTGATGTCCCTGTGTTGTGTGCTATTAGTCCAAATAGTAGTTCTTGTGGCAAAAACTTGACTGCCGGTAGGATCTGGTTGTTCAGTATCTCTATTGCCTTGTTGAAGATCTCTGGCCACTTCCTCAGCAGGTTGTCTTTCTTCGTTGACTTCCATTTGTCCTCCCCAATGTCCGGTGTGCACATTTGTGCTAGTACATGCAGCAATAGTTTGATGGCCCCCTCGACTAAGCCATTTATCCATGAAGAGTAGGCTGCTACCTTGTGGTATTGTATGCCCCGTCTTTTGCACAGCGCTTCAACTTCCTTGTTGTCAAAGTGTCTTCTGTTGTCTGATATGAATACTTCTGTTCTGTGGAATTTGCTGAATATGTGTTCCAATGCACCTGTGGTCATTTTAGCTGACCCTGATTCCTTGTATTCGAACCCCCAAACAAATTGTGAGAACGTGTCAAGGAAGAGTCCAATTGTTTTGTATCCTCCTTTTCCGTCCGGCATGGACAGATAGTTGCCTACAATCAGTTCAAATGGTTGTCTCCGTGTGATTGGGTCCATCAGTGCGTGTAGATTTGCGGGCCCAAATCCCTTGCACTTGGCACAGTTCTTGATTGGCTCCATGATTGTGTTGTCCAGCTCTGGCATGTGGTATCTATCCATCATTGCAATCTTTACTGAGTCTCAATGGAAGTGTCCACCTTCCACGTGTATTGCTGCTGCCAGCTTCCCTGCCTCTTCCTTTGTTACACATTCTCGTCTTGGCCTCCCCCTTAGCTATGTTCCTCCCCCCAGTCTCCATAGTTCCCCGCCTTCAATGAAGTACTGCGATGCTCGATGCTTGGCTCGTTTCCTTTCTGCCATCATCTTCCCCATGTCTAGTTTGGTGATTGCATCAATGACTTGTATGTACAATAGCTCGTTCTTGAATTGTTCTTTCAATGCTGCTGTCCCTTCTGGTAGCGCAACTACGGAACATGTTAGTTCCTCTTCTTCTGCGCTTACCTTGAATAGGTTGTTCATGAGCCCTGTTCTTGACTCCCAGTCTGGCAATATGGTGTACTTGCTCCCATCTCCGTTTCCTTTTTGTGTTCCTTTGGCCGCTCTACTCAGCACATCCACGACCGCATTTGTTGACCCTTTGATGTGTTCTGCTCCTACAATGTTTTATCCGAGTAGTCAGTTCAGCCACCTTGTATGTGTTGTGTTCAGTTTTTTGTTGTTGATGATATCACTTAGCACCTGGCAGTCTGTTTCAAGCCACACTAGTTGTCCCCAAACTATGTTTGAGAATTTGTCTAACGCAAATTTCAGTGCTGCAAATTCTAGTAAATGCAGTTGATACCGCTCTTCTGCCTTTGATGTTCTCTTGGATGCGAACACTATCGGGTGTCATCTCACCACCACTTTCCCTTTGCTTGGTTTTGTTTGCATTTCTTGCAATAGGACCCCCACAAATGCATCTTTGCTGGCGTCCATCATGACCATGAATGGGTGTTCCTTCACTATGTTGTATAGTGGGGCCCTCAGCACTGGCGCTGAGATTAGGGTCTGCTTCAGCTTTAGGAAGCATCTTGTGTGTTCCTTTGTCCACTTTGGTCATAGGTCATAGTTCTTCATTATGGTTCTGTACACTTGTCTGCTTGGGCTCTTTGGCATTGGGACTGCCTTCAACAAGTTTCTTAGTGGTGCTTCCTCCTTCGCGTAGTTCTTCATTATGTCTTGGAAGTAGCCTGTAAGTCTGAGGAATGCCGCCAGATTGGTTGCGTTCTCTGGCATCTTCTACCCGACTACCACTGTTAGCTTGGTTGGGTCTGGTGCTACGCCTTCTGGTCCTACTAGCGCTCTGGCAAAGACCGCCTTTGTCATGAATAGCTTTGTCTTTGCTGCTGACAGAGATAGTCCTTTCTTTTGTACTGGATTGAATACGCACTGTAGTTTTTCCATCATATCTCCGAAGCTGTCCGCTGCTGCTCTCCCATTGCCGACAAATAGTTCTATCACTTTCACTAGTAGGTTGCTTAGTTTATCCACACACATGGCTCCAAATTCCGTTGGTGCATCTGTCAGTCTGAATAGCATGTGCATGTATGCGTAGTAGCCCATCTCCAGTACAAACATCACCAGGTAGGGTTGTGTAGCTTCGTCCACCCGCAACGCAAAGAAGCCCAATGCAAAGTCGAAGACTGATATGTATCAGTGCCCTGTGAGTCATCTCTGTTTGTCTCTTATGTTGCCTTGAGGCACTGGTACCACCTTGAGGAGTTTCTTGAGTTTGTGGAAGTTCTGGCATATTCTCCATTTCTGCTTCTAAGGTCTTGCTGTTCTGTTCGCCTCGTCTGTTCTGGTTTCTTGTTTGATCTCATATGGTCTTGGTAGTCTTGCTCTCTTGCATGCATCGTTGAGTTCCTGTTTCAGTTCTTCATATGATAGGCCTTTGGTGTTGTGTTTCTTTCGTGCAAGTTTTATTGGTGATACACATTCCATGTCCCTCGGGTGTATCTGTCATAACACCCCTGCTTCAACCAGCATACAAGTCTGCTTCTGAAAGTATGCCTCCTGCAGGGGGGTCATGGGTTTCTGATGGACCTTTGTGCTAAACTTATGCTTTGCAGGTATTTTTGGTGCGTACACTGCTCCGTCAACCGGCAGGACTTCTGCAACAGATAGTGCAAACACGTCTGCATAACTGGCAGTGAATTCTTGCACCGCTTTCCTCTCTTCTGGTGTTACGTCTTCCCTGATCTCGACCAGTCACAGTATCACTTCTACCCACTCTGGCTTGAATGGGTCTTGCACTCTTGTGAATATGTCTTTTGTTCCTGCATTTTGTAGTGCTTCTGGACTTGCTATATCACGGAATCCTCCTGCGCTCTCCTCAGTCATTGTTGCTACCAGGTCTGGACTTTGCTCCTGTACTTCCCTTGCAGGGGGTGCCGCTGTCCCCCCTTTTTTGGTTTGTTCTCTGGTGCATGTGCTGCGCTATCTCTTCTGTTTCCTCCTCTGCTAGCTCGTCTAGCCACTGTGCTGCCCAGTCTTTGTCTGTTGCCTTTGTCTCCCGTTTGCCTTCTTTGGTGTTGCTTCTTCCAAAAGACACACCCCCGTGAATCGTTCCTTCCCCTCCTGCCGGCCTTTCGTCCTCACTTTCTTGTGGTGCTGGTTTTGTAATGTTGCTGTCTCGCTAGTTCCCTTACTTTGTATTGTTACTATGTCTTCTGCAAAGTCATGTACTGCCTGTGATGCTGTCAGCAATGGTTTTCCAAATAAGAATGCCCAGTTGCCCCTGCTGTTGAATATCTCCAGCTCAACGTTGAGCATGATTCCTGCTATGCGGATTTGTCCTTCCCAGTGTGCTTGTCGTGTTACCAACAATCCGTCCGCCATCCTCAGGACTTTTGTTGATTTTGTTCCCCCTCCCAGTTTCTTTTTGTATCTTTACCAGACCGCCACGTCCATTGCGCTCACCACCGCTCCCCCATCAAATAGTGCTTCCATTTGCACCTTGTTCCCTTGCTTGTCCAGTACCTCAATTTGGTGAGTGAACAGATGCGTCTTTCCAGTGCCCACAGTGTACAGGTCGAGTAGTGTGTATTCTTCCTTTGTGTTGATAACATGCGTTCTGTGTACATTATGGGTGCCAGGGCCTTGGTCCTGCCCCAGGCACTGAGTCAATGTTAGGGCATTCACAACGACCCGCTTGGAAAATCCTCTTTGTCTTCGTCATCCATCCAGCTGCCCAGTAGTGTGTTTACCGGTGTTGGCCACGGTAAGTTCTTTGCGCATATTTGTTGGAATTGGCTTTCGACGGTTGGGATCTGCGTTCCTGTGCAGGTTGCTGCATTGTGCTTGGAGTTTGTGAGTTTTCCACATTTGAAGCATTCTCTGCTTCCCGGCCAAACCGTCCCTGGTGAGAGCGGTACTCCGGTTACTTCCACTTGGCCTCCTGCTCAGCCTCTCTGTTCCCAACGCGCCATTCTCATCTTGTATGTTGCCACGTCTGTCTCCAATGTTGTGAGTAATGGTGTCGCCATCATCATCTTGGCTACGAGCTTGGCCAACTTGTTCTTGCCTTCTTTGTCTAGTCTTTCTGCTGAGCTTTGGAATACCGGTGGTGGTATTCTCTGCTGGTCTGTAATGCTTGTGCAGTTCATCTGGGTGCAGATTTGGGCCGTCGGCAACTGGGGCATTGCTCGTTACATTGGATATTGGCTGTTAGTTGGCAGTGCGTCAACGTGGCATTTTGGTTTACTAGTTGGCAGTGCGTCGACTCAGTACTTTGGTTGGGTCAGTTGGCAGTGCATCGACTCGATATTTGGGCTTTGCGTTGCCATCTGGACGCTGTCGCTACAAAGGATTTTAATACTCCATATTAAGCTCTGACTTGTTATATTGTTGGTTGCAGTTGGATTAGTGTTGGTTTTGTTCTTATAGAAGATATTGGTTGAGACACCACTGTTTGCTATATATATATTCTCGTTGTCAACTTTGTCTTCCGCAACTATTGATCTGTGTCTATTGAGAGTTGTGATACTGGTGCTCTGTCCACCCCGAGGCCCTCACATCTTTCACACATTGAGAAGCTGATTACAAGGAGTGTGAACGTGTTTATATTTGGGTTTACTTTCTCAGTAGATTCACCTGTGAGCGCGCCCTCAGCATTTCATCTGGAGCCCACCGCGAGGGGCTTCTAAAGTTTCACAAACTTTGAAAATCAATAAACCGGATTCTTTACCGCGATGTCGGATAGAGACCAAGGGTTTAACCCGCGAAGCAGTTTATTTCGATCCCAAGCTCCTGCGCGACCCCTCGAGGACCAAGCGGAGATTGAGACTGAAGGAAACGCTTCAACCTCAGGACCTTTCGAAAAACCACGAAGGTCTGCAAGACATAAAACACCTTTGTATCTACCACCCTTGCCTTCCAAGGCAAAAGGAAAACAAAGAGTGAATTCGACGTTGAAGCTCCCAGCTTTAGACGCAGCTACTTCGAGTTCGACGACAATCAGTCGATCTCAGACTAGCTCACAAACCCTCTCAGAATTGTCTAGTAGCGTCACCGCTACAAACACGAATTCTAACAACATCCCTACTCCCCCTGTGACTTCAGTCGTGACAACTATGGCTCCAAAGACTGGGTTCAAAATCCCTCAACCTTGGGACACAAGTAGACCTATACTTGATGAAAAGGATCCTTTGTTGATCGAGGCATATTTGCGTCACTGCGTGCAGATTGTGGAGGATGGTGGCATTACAGATGTCAAACAAGCAAAAAGTATGTACATCCATTATTTGCCGTTGCGGCAAAGTGATGGACGTATGGGAAGGTCTCGATACCTATTCCGACGACACGAAAACTGTCGCGGAGTTTGAGGCCGAAATATTAAAAGGATACCCTGAGGTGTCCAAGCAAAAAACGGGGACCATGGCAGATCTAGACCGACTCTGTCGCAAGAACCGTGGAATCAAAATCACGGATGAGGGAGATTTGAAGCATTTTGGCCTTCAAATGTATAGTCACTACAAGCGACTGTCAGTCCCTCCTGCCATTATTACCAACAAGGTCACGTGTGAACGCTATATGTGTACTTTAGACTCCGAGTTCAGTACCGTCTTGCAAAATGCTCTGGCTACAAGTCAAGTATTCAACAAGCGCTACCAAACTCGTGCCAGGATAGCGAACGCTAATGTCCCCGTGACTGGAGTCAATCGGCAGGACAACCCCATCCAGTTGAAAGAATTAATGACGCTGGCAGAAGAAATGGTGTCGACGTTGAGCAACGAAGACAAAATTCCCATAATCGCGCGACCTCCCAAGGTTCGCTTCGACTATGAGACCAGTCCACCCAACCATGCTAAGGTTGAGGAGTTGGAAAACTCGATTTCCAACTTGAAGGACTCATTTCTTCTACATTAAAAAGAGTTACAGACTCAGTTGCAGGAAGCACTGAAGACGTTTGTACAGACTGCTCGCAAAGCGCCTATACAGTGGTCGCGGCCAGTAGGCAACAAATCTTCTGTGCCCCACTTTGAAAGTCGCGCACAAGGAGGAGCTGCCGCGCGGAACAACGACTGTCGCTACTGTGGACAAACTGGTCATTGGTCGAACTGTCAGGCTTCTTCCCCCGGCCATCTCCCTCGAATCCCCGCAAGCGGTCTAGCCAAGCCCGATTCCTTGCACCAGGGAGTGCTACTGCCGTATGCACTCCTCCCCCTTCACTTCGGCCTTCTCCCTGCGGATGTGGTCTACTGCCGTACAGGCTTGTACCAGATGCCCTTGCGCTCATCCGCACCACCCTTCTTCCCAGTCAGGCATTGGTCCTCGCCTCCGATGTCTCCACTGGCCAGCCTGGCACTGGCCTGGCCACTGGGCTCCTCCAGTGTGGCCTTCCACTGTTGGTGTCTCAGGAGCTGGCCATCAGTGGCCCCTCTGAGCCACTCACTATCTTATCTGGGTTTGTCATTATCTACTTGTCATCTGCCATTGTTCCATGGCAGTGATATCCCATCATCATCAGTCACTTGTCACAGCTGACTATAGAGTGTGACACCTGGGCACATGGATCCTTGAACCGTTCTCTAAGGATCCCCCTCTGTGCTCAGACTCATGTGATAGTTGTTGTGTGCTGTGTGCTCTCTTCCTTCGGGCTGGCAGGAGTTGCCCTTACACGAACGAGTGCCCGCTCAAGAGGTCTCACATTGAGAAAAATCTTCTCAAAGTCAACACCAAAGGGATGTGGAGGCTCTTTGATGACAGTTTCCTACCAAATGGAGAAGGGACTCAGGGACAACGAGTAGAAGCTTACTGGAAGAAGAAGGGCAAGTCCGTTGATAGGCTGGCTACCAGACGCGCTCTGCACCAACTCTGTAAGGGCGTATTTTTGCGCTTTTACAGAGTTTACTCTTGAACCACTCGGTGTATCGTGTCGCGGTTGACAGTGTTGCGCTCAGTAGGACTTAAGGGTCTACTGCCCAGTCGACGACTGTGGATAGTGTCGACGATAGCAAGGCAGTCAGATCACTACTGTGGAATTGGTCTTATGAGTCTACACCAGGCTCAGGGCCATTAGTGACGAACGCTTGGACCGCAACCATTCCCCCAAAAAGGGATCTGTCGTTGCGTCGACTTCTCGAAAAGGGTCATTCTCTGCAGATGGGAACTTGGGCTGAAGGGCTGAGCAATGCGCGACGTTCTCAATAATAGAACTACTACTGGACAGGACTTGGCGTTACGAGACTTAAACCATCTTGTCGCGGCAACTCCCGGTTCTGAGTTGGACGTTTCCTCAGATCATGCCACGACGACGACTTGTCACATGTCAGGATCCATTCGATCACGGGACATTGAGGACGCGTCGCGGTGACACTCCCAAGTGCCACGGCGATGCGCGTCAACACCCAAACACACTAGAAATCGACACGGCTAGATCCGTGAGCCAAACCATGTGGGGGACGACTGGCGTGCCTAGGGCCATACGGCTTCTTGGGGCGCCCACGTTGGTCTCACATGCCAAGACATACCCGTTGGCCAATCCAGCACGTCGTATTCCAAAAGTATGACGCGGCGGGTTGACCCACATCAAAAGTATCATATGGACTATGGGGCGGGGTCCTGATCACTCAGGACCTGTCCGATCGTTCAACTTTTCAATTACCCTAAAAGGCAACCGATCTTAGATAGCGTAGCTACTATGCAGTTGTACAGGACTCTACTAAGCATCGTCGTAGACAGTATAAGTAGCACGTCGTTTCTTTGTATTAGAAAGCTTTCCCCCGGACTGTGAATCACTCTCATTTCAGATTGTTTTGTACAATTTGCGTGCCGCGTGATTCCACCCTAAGAAGTTCTGCTGCCCCTGCCCGGTCACGACGAGTTGCTCCCTGAGCACTTGTAGCTACTGTGATTTGAGTTTGAGTTGAGACATCAGAAAGTCGGATTCGCCGCATCTGGTTTAGTCGCGGCATTTAGTGTCGTCGCCTTCGGGCTTTGTTGAGATTGTTCCACACCTCTAGCTTGGCAGTGCGTCGACTAGTTGTGCTCGGGTTGTTTTGGTCAGTTGGCAGTGCGTCGACTTGAGAACTTTGGTTCCACACTTCTTGCTTGGCAGTGCGTCGACAAGTTGTGCTCGGGTTTTGGACATTGGATATTGGCTGTTAGTTGGCAGTGCGTCGACGCGGCATTTTGGTTTACTAGTTGGCAGTGCGTCGACTCAGTACTTTTGGTTGTGTCAGTTGGCAGTGCGTCGACTTGACATTCTGGTTCTACTAGTTGGCAGTGCGTCGACTCAGTATATTGGTTGTATCGGTTGGCAGTGCGTCGACTTGATATTTAGGGCTTTGTGTCGCCATCTAGACGCTGTAGCTACAAGGGATCTTAATACTTCGTATTAAGTTCTGACTTGTTATATTGTTGTTTGTGGATTTTATTAGTGTTGGTTGTGTTTGTATAGAAGATATTGGTTGAGACACCACTGTTTGCTACATATATATATCCTTGTTGTCGACTTCGTCTTCCGCGACTATTGGATCTGCGTCTATTGAGAGCTGTGATACTGGTGTTCTGTCCACCCCGAAGCCCTCGCATCTTTCACACACTGAGAAGCTGATTACGAGGAGTGTGAACGTGTTTATATTTGGGTTTACTTTCATAGTAGATTCACTTGTGAGCATGCCCTCAGCATTTCACTGTCAACTTCCAAGACTCCTACTACTTGGATCAGTTCAATAGTCGCGACAATGATGATATGTCCGACTACCCTGAAGAAGTGGCAGATGAGATACGCTCCCTTCGTAGTCAACTCATCCAATACGAGAGGAAGTCGTCGCGACCAACCCCAGAGAGTTGTGCTGAGCCAAAGACTCAAAGACCTGCATCTGGTTCAACCAGTAATGCAATGGAAAGTGCCATGGGCCAGTTCATGCAGAAAGCCATGACCGACGCCATGGCCGGCTACTTCAACAACATGAACAGTGGTTATCCTCAGACTCAGGAGCAGTTTATTCAAACCCATCGTGGTGCGAATAGCCAACCTGAGCGCGACGATAACAACTCGGGTTTCTAAATGGTTCAAGGAAGGGGGCTAAACCTACAAACTCAGCCAAGCCCTCTGAGGACCATGATAAACGAGCTGAGCGACGAGAGAAACCGAGGAAACCTGTGATTATTGAAGAAGTTAGTGATTGCGACGATGATGAGGAATCAGTGCGCGACAACATCGAAAAGAGAAAGGAACTGCCATTTGAGAAAGTCAAGCCCGTTCTACAAGAACCAGTACATTCTTCAAAAGCGCGCGTTCCAGATAAATACCAGTTGCGTGCACCAATTCAAAAGAAGGCTGTGGCAGAAGCAGTCTACGACAAAATGAAAAACGCGTCAGTCGACGTCACTGTGGGTGAACTCCTAGCAGTTTCGGGGACTGTCCGCGACTCCATCCTGAAGGACTCTTCGAAGAAACGAGTACCGGTTCAGAAGTCCATGCTTCAAGAAACTCGTCGCGTCGTTGAAGACGTTTGGGATGGAGAACTGAGCTACAACCTAGTCAGTGCTAAGGAATTGCCCGCGCCTGTGTTCTATCATAACACAGTTGAAGGAGAAATTCCCATTGGCGCAGTTGTCGCGACGGACCCATATGAGATGTACTTGGAGTTGATACCCTCTAATGAGAACCCAAGGCATGTCTATGTTGGTGATTCGTCGGCTGCTCTCAGAACGATAAACGGACGGATTAACGCGCGTCTCGATGCGGACTGCATCCTAGACAGTGGATCCCAGATTGTCTCGATGGCCTTCTCAGAAGCCGTCGACGCACAATTGAGCTGGGACCCGAAAGTCGTCATCTATGTGGAAAGCGCAAATGGATCTATCTCTAAATCACTGGGATTAGCGAGAAATGTACCCTTCAGGTTTGGGACCATCCTGGTCTACTTGCAAGTGCACATTTTCGAAAGTCCAGCTTACAAGGTGCTGCTCAGCAGACCGTTTGATATCGTGACAGAAAGCAATATCAAGAACGCGGCCGACGGCAGCCAGATAATCACCATGCGTGATCCCAATTTAAAGACACGTTGTGCAATGGCTACGCAGCCACGTCGTGCAGACGACTTGCCGCGTAACACCAAAAACAACGATGGATCTACCGAGCCCTACAGTTTGTCGAAACCGACGACCAGTCCAGACGAACCAAATCCTGAACAGGATTTTCAAAGAGCTTCGAGGAATTGACCGCGTTGAGTCAAGGAGAAGAAGTCGCGGTGACTGTGTCGTTGGGAAAAGATGGGAATGTAGTGTTTGAGGATCTAAGAAAGCCGCGTTCTAGTGGCCAGTTTACCCAAACTGAGCTAGTAGAAGCATATATCTTGTCGTCGAAAGAGGACAGGGAAATGAAGAAAGATGTCGCTGCGTCGACTTTGTTTCATTCATATATGAATGAAAGACTCTCAGACGCGGCGACGGAAAAACTGACTGTTCGTACTTGGAGTGTACTAGAAGACGAATCTTCTAGTCGCGACAAATACTCTGTGTTTGCGAGAAAGAAATACAAGCCTGTGGACCAGAAAGTCAGACCGGTGTACACTATGGGTTCTGAGAATGATCGAATAATTCGAAAAATGGTTGGAGATCCTTTAGACACGCTACCTACTCTAAACCCGCGACCACCTGATTTTACCCCAACCGGTAGATTCACGGCGGAATGCAGGGATATTGTGGACAAGCTACACAAAGGGGACTTCTTATTACCAGAAGAATGGAAGTTGCTCATGCACTTCTATATGCTTCACAATCAGAGTTTCGCGTTCAATGATGAAGAATGTGGCGCATTGAGACAGGATATATTTTCTCCTGTCAAGATCGCGACAGTTCCCCATACGGCGTATCGCGAAGGCAATATTCCCATTCCCCGCAGCATGTTTGATCAA